GGTTTATTGGTTTTGACCTCATCCTAGAGTCTATTCAGACTGTTAGAGAGTCATTCTTTGCAAACAAAACAGTGTGTGTATTCTTATTTGTTTCCCTTTTATTCCATTAAAATACATTAAAAGACATTTATTCAACTTAAAGATGTAAAACTGTTTTAATATGAAGTTTTCCCAGATTTTCATTTGACAACAGCTCAGTTATTTCTTCATGAATTCAATAGTCCTCGTCAAGTCATGCCTTTCACTGTTATGCTGATATAGTCATACATTAGCAGTAAGTGTAGTGTCAATCATAAGAGGTCCACAGTATGGATGTTTTGTGGGCGGCAGTAGCTCAGGAGGTAGAGCGGTCATCCAACAACCGGAGGGTTGGCAGTTCGATTCCCCCCCATCACGAGTTTGTCCGTTGTGTCCTTGGGCAAGACACTTAACCCACCTTACTCCCAGTGTGTGTCCTCCACTGGTGTATGATTGTGAGTGCTGTGTGGTGGTGGTCGGAGAGGCTGTAGGTGCAAACTGGCACCCCCAGGTTAGCTGTGACCACTAAGGTAGTTTACCACCGCCAGGGTGTGACTGTGTGAGCGAATGAATGATGTCTGATAAAGCGCTGTATGAAATCTGACGCATTATTATTATTTAAAGTTACTGAAACATCCTGGTTGGTTAAATTGAAATCTAAATTCCCACGAACAGAAGAGCCTAAAGAGAAAACACTCAGTAAAACAGTCAGATCAGACTTTATTGTCACAGGATTAGAGAATCTGCAGACAGACTTTGTCAAAATCAGTTCGCTGAGTGTGGCAGAACCAGATCTAGCGCCTCAAGCCTCTTGTCCCCCTCGCATGTTAACATCCACATGCCTTTGCATTACTCCAGCCGAGTGTTTACATGCTAGTTTATCCAGATAAAGACCAAGTTCCACTTTATCTTTGTTATCTAGATAAAACAAACCTGTCAATGACACGTCAAGGTGCCGTCTGTCATCTAAGCTTATTTACATCCAGGTCATCATGCATTATAGTATAACAGCAGTCACTATTAACCACAGATATTCGTCCATGGTGGGTGACGCATATTAGGTCTCGATTTATTTTATCAGTGAGTACTTTGATGCCGTCTTGGAAAAGCGATGACTTTAATTGTTTCCCACCAATCAGGGAACGACGTCTCCTCCCTCATGTGACATATTCATAATGTCCCGCCGTAAATCTTTAAGTACAAAGTTTCTGCAAATGACTTTTTCTCCAGAATTGCTCATCGAGGGCGAGGCACTAACTTTATCATCTTTAACTTTTCAACTTATAGATCATTGTGTTTCTTCTACGAACTTTGACAATCGATCTCATTAAAGTGATAACTGTTGGATCTTTTTCAATAAGTATTAAATCTCGAAATTATTCACAAACTCCAGGAACTATTTCGTGCAAAAAGTCCCAGATGTAAAATTGCTAATCATGTCTCCTGAACGCTGAAGCTCCTCGACCACAAAACCCCCAAAACCACATCTTCAGTGGAAATGTTAGACTTCTATGGTATAAGCCCAAGACTGCACCTAACATATATCTTCATTAAGATTTGTCGCCGTGTTGATTAATGTCCCCATAAGTCTTACAAATTAATATGCTAATGATGTTCTAACGATATTTTAATTATTCAGTTCCATTTTGTTTCAGTTTCATACAGCGACATGTAAATCTATTATGGTATAAAAACTGACATGTTCCCTGGTGAGTGAATGTACCAGCCCGCTTGATTCACTTTGACATTTTTAAACCAAATAAGTAATTCACTTTGATTATCCAGATACACACCCGGCATCTTTGACTCCTCGCTGCTCGAACGCCAACCACACTTCTCCACTCCAGCTTTCCTTCAAGTGTGTAAAACTTGCACAAAGTCTGCCTCGGTGTCTCAATCTTTAAAAGGTCAGCGAAGAAAGACAAAAAGGTCAGGGATAATCGACCTGCTTTTGCCCTTTGAGAACAAAACTGATGATGATATCGCAGCTGGCGGAATGGATTCTGGTGTGTGTGTGTGTTTGGTTTGGAGGGGTAGGGGGGAGCAGGTGTTTCTCTGCATGGGTGCACGAATGTTTGGTGTTTTGCATGCAACAATTACTGGTGACCCTTTGAACCGTGAGTCCCTGGGTATGATGAGATTACGCTGGTTGACAGCACAAAACTGAAAGGTCTTCTGAGTCACGTTTTCTCCTGGAACTGCTGACACATCCACTACCGAGAAATACCTTCAGTCTAGTCCAAAGGCCCCAGTGTACTGCAGCTTTTCTACCACATGAGGGCGTCGCCGCACTGGCTTTGGGGCTTCAGCCAGGATGAGAAATATGTGTTTACAAAAAATAGGTGGGGGATGTTTTTGTGATTCAGCTCCTTGCCACAGGAGTGAGACCTCTCAGAGGCAGGCGGGATGTTTTTCAAAGACGAATGGAGGTGCAACAACAAATAAAGAGCCGTTGGGTGTTATGAATTTCATTTAGCGGCTTAATTCTCAAGAGTTAGACCAAAAATGAGAGTAAAAACACGAATATACTGCATTTCAAAGAGAGGAGTTCACTAAGTATTGCATGTTCAAGGGCAGCCTGGAGTCTCTTCACGCTTTCAAAGCAGACACTCACTTGCACTCTGCTTTTATGTGATCCAGTCTGAGCTTTAAATATTAGGTTTTAATTATGTTGTAATCTGCTCCATTAAATGAAGACAAGAAATGTGTGTCTACTGAGTCAGTTAAAAATAAACAGTCATACCTGCTGTATAAAACCTGGAGCCGTGATTGTGGGTTAGTGGAAAGGCGATTCCCCTGAGTCAGTGTTTTATGTCCAACCTTTACTGCGATGGATTCTTACTGCATGGCCGGTGTTTTGTCCATAAACGTAATCTTTTTAAAAATAATACTTTTCAAGGTGTGATGTTAACAAAAACTACTCATGCCATTGTGAATTTTTAGATATATCTGCTGCTATAGCAAAGGAAAGATAACTAACACTCTTACAGTGTGTCCCCAATCGCATACTTCCATACTAAATACTTAGATTTTTCAAATTAAGTATACTAAGCATACTATGTACTCAATCGCGCAGTGTGCGACTTTAAAGGGTGCAGTGCTGTCCCAAATCGCATACTGCCGCGCGGCGCACTCACCAGAAATGATGACGCGATTTGCCTCATGTCTAAACATTCATTGTGCATAACAGAAAAATAACAAACTATTAACATATAAAAAAATTTAGAACAAGAAAACTAAAGATACCCTATTTACATATTGAACATTTGGAAATCGGTAACTAAAGATAAACTTTTTACAAATTAAGCATTTAAAACTAGAAAGAAACTATTTACAAAAAAACACTTTTTAAATATATTTTATTTAATTTAAAGATTTGAGTACGTCATCCGGGTACTTATGCAACCTCAATTTTTGCATACTATCCATACTTTTTTCCATTTTGAGTTGAGTATACTCCAAATTTTAGGTATTTAGTATGGAAGTATACGAGTTGTTCTTAAACTGCTTTATAAGACAAATCTGAATGTTGAAACTGCTCACTCCTTTCTGAGTGACAGATGAGGATAAAATCCATCTGAGCTGAGCATCTCAGCAATGACACAGCCTAAAGTAAATCCCCAGTCTCCTCCACCTGGGGAAAACCTGAAGAAAAGTTTGTTTTATCTGTCTAGACATATTCCCAAATGTGTTGAGTTGATCCTGCAAGATAAAAACACGGTGTGTAGAAGCTATTTGGTTTCAGTTATCAATCAAATGATGAAACTACAGCGATAATGTTAAGGATATATAAATGCCAGCGTAGTCTGAGAGGCTGTAACAGGTGAGAAACGAGGTAGAAGGCCATAGGTGTGACAAGTCCAAGAGCGCCTGCCCCTGCACCAGTGGTGTGAGACCTTTAAGGTCAAGTAGAGTGTCACCCTTAGGGGGTGTTGTACCCTCACTGATCCCAGTAGTGGTTCAGGTCTGATAGGCCAGTTTGTGAACCTGACTGCAGTACAACGACCTGACACTGGTGTGCGCACTGCAGCTTCCACTCCATCCTTCTGCCATTAGCTCCAACACCAAGAGGGAGTCAAGTCAGCCTGAGTCACCGTGAAGAAACCACAACACCAGGCCTTCAAAATAAAAGCTCAGTAGTTAACCACACTGAACAAATATTGGGATGAATAAAGATTAAAACAACAAGGCTGCATGTTATTAGTAGTTATATGTATACAAATTAAAACAATAAGCAGGGTGGGATCATTTCTTTTATTAGAATCAAATTAATACAAAGATGCAATTCAAAATGTTTTACAAAGCAGAATACATTAAAGATGATTAACATACTCTAAACCAGGATAAATAATATGTCAAAGAACATAAAGGATAACAGTCTTGATGGTGTTTTAGACAAGTAAAGTAGCTTAAAATCTGGAGGAACTTAGGAGGAGGAGGACAGAGCCGATTCTGCTGCCGCCCCCACCCTCTGGAATTCACTCCCCAAACCCATCCGAGACTGTACAGACCCCCATACTTTCAAATCACTACTAAAAAGACACCTTTTTAACCTGTGAACTATTCTTTTACTGTATTTTCATATGGTGTCTTTTACAATGTTGGTTCTATTTTTTCAAAATTTTCTGTATTTTATATTTAATTTTTGTCTTTGGTAGGCATCTTTGAGCACCTATAAAAGTGTGTCATAAATCGAATTTATTATTATTATTAATATTATTATTATTACAAAGAATAACAATACCCCCCCCCAAAAAAAAAAAAAAAAAAAAAAAAGTAAATAAAATAAAAAATAAAATTTGAAATACTAAATATTAGGGCGTAGACATTGTATTTTGTAATATTTATAGCAATGCTTATGCTTCCTGACAACATTACTGGATTTTCTTTTTATTTCAGTAAATATCATAAACACACTTTAAAAGTGTTCTCGACCAGAAAGATGACTGCGTAGTGACCGCACTGTGTCTTATTTTGAAAATCTATGACCGGAAATGAAGTCCCCCCTCACTCTTGTGTGTGTTGACACCGGCCATCCAGCACAGAGCAGCCCCGACTGCCGTATTCACAGATCCCAGCTCTCCCTGTTCCTGCCTCTGATTTTCTGGAGCCACAAATCTCGGCTGCCGCTGCGTCACACCCAGCCTCCCGCAGCCCCGGTTGGATGCCGCTGGATGCCGGAGTACCATGCCGAGGTAGGGGTGATAATAACCGTACTTGCATGGCGGAAATATAGGAGCGACGGAGGCAGCGCTCAAACCTTCGATTCCCCCCTCCCTCCCTCCCGCTACATCCCGGCCTGTTGACTGCGCCGCTGCTGGGATGACGGCGGTGACCGAATAGCGGTAACGGTACTGGGTGATTCCTGGTCCCCGCTGTGTTCGCCGTTCGTTCGGCCGGTTTGAACGGGCTGGACCGTTACTCGGAGGGCACGCGACATCCTTTAAAAACCGCCCGCGTTCTCCTTTGTTGTTCAAACTGAGTCCGTGTAACGGTTGCGGCAGTTAGCTTGAATCTCAGAGCCGCATTTCTATCTGCTCCCCCCCAGCAGTTTAAAACAAACGGGTGGTGTGTTGTGGTTAAATTTGTTACCCTAGTTAACCGCTGAAGACATCACCATTGCTTGGACGCGAGTAGCCTGTAAGCTAGCTGTCTGTCTGTCTCTCTATATGTGTGTGTGTGTGTGCGGTTGTTTCTGCTTGTCGCTTAATGACAGGAAAATGCGTTTGACCTCCACCCTCCACGCTCATATAACAGACACATGACACGCAGCAGGTCGGCGGTTTTACACCCTTATTTTGTGATTTTTGACCGGTGTTGTGTTTGAATGTGTCACGAGCAGACAAAGCGACTGCCTGTGTTTCAGCATCAGTGCACCGCTGCCACGATCAGACATCGCTTTGTAATAATCGCCACAGCCAGGCGTGCGTTTGTTTTCAGCATGTGGAGGTGTGGTTAACGTGTAGTGATAATAATAATAAGGCCTTCTGCTGTGTGATTATGAAATTAGACGGCTCAGCTAGAGTCCTCGCAGCCTTCATCATTACATCAGAGCCGTCCCAGTCCCCCCCCTCCTCACACACTCTTTACATAGCTGGAGATGAGATAGATGGCAGCAGAAACATACACAGACAGTGGATGGAGAGGCTGGAGTCATGGCTGGTGGAGCTAGCAGCGTGGGTCGTCCATTAGAAGATGCAAGACTTCACAGTGATGTAGAAATGACATTTAAATGTCTTGGGAGATAAAGAATAGCATTGCATCACTTGGTATGGCATTATGTGTGGATACATGGACCCCAACTGTTTGTATAACCAGTTTATGTAGAATTGGAATAAGTTGACTTGAATTTGGAGAAGTTACAGTGCTCCAAATACCTGTGGTAGTACAGAAGTGCATTTGCATTTAGTGAAGCTGGACGATGGAGCCCGCCAAACAAGTTCAGTTAGGTTTGATTTATGCCTGCTCCTCTCTCAAGAGTCCTATTTTGTTGTACTAATAGGGCTGGGCAATAAAACTAGAATGACATATATTGAAAATTAATTTCCCTCAATATCAATATCATAGACTGTATATACTCTGGACAACTTGGTTCCGCTTCCCGCCTGTATATGGATTTGAAGTCAAAATCAGGTGTCAGGTATCAACCATAGAAAACATGAACCCTCTAATAACTTTTAAAAATGTAGCTGTACAGAAAAAAGAGGACTTGAACACAAACCAGTCTGACAGTAACTACATGTCAACATCACAACCAGGGGGGAGAAACATTTATGTTTCACCAGAGAGGAGGCAGACGGCATCCGATCTATATACAGTCTATGATCAATATAAAACATGGTCAATATGCTTCTCAATAGTCAGTGTTCTGCCATGTTTTGGTAGACTATACGAATAGCCAATGAAAAGGGGACTTTCTCCGGGTCGACTTGGCACTGAACCAATCATGTGCTGAATTAGAACCAAGTAGCAAACAACTGTAGTAGCAGGTTGCAGCTACATGCAACCATAACACTTAAACAGCGCAATGCTTCATGACAAAGACCTCACAGATGCAGTAGCTTATTGTATTGCAAAAGACATGCTACCAATAAGCACTGCTAAATTTCATAATTTTCTGATAGGAAAAAATATATTGCGATAATTTTTTTCCCATATCGCCCAGCCCTAAGTAATAATAAAACTATTTAGCACATATTATCATTGCACTAAGCATATTGTATTACTCAAAGCTGCAGGAACAACCATGTAATTCAAGTATTGAGATGATATAGCAAAGTCAGGCCTTTTGTCATTTCCACTACAACGCTCCTAGTTTATGAGTAGGTGTAAAAATTTCACAAAATCATAAATAAATGTGTCAAATCATGTCCAGCTGAGCAGCTGATGTGACAGATTTAATGAAGAAAAAGTGCAATTCCAGCTTATTGCTATTAAATGACATCCATTTGTGGTTGGTTTTTCCCACTAATTTCTCCAGCTAATATTAAAAGATATATGTCATCTCTGTCAGTTTATTGTTTGACAGTAAATTACAGGCTCATACGGTGTTGTGTAGTGTCACAATTATCCCCAAGTCTGGATCAATTTGCAGCCAATATCCATTGTGTTCTCATTTGAATTGTAGTTGCTGACAGGGGAGAAACGCAACACCAGTGGACGACTAATGCATGATTAATGTTATCTAATAAAGTCAGCCTTGGTAACTGGAAGGGGATTGATTGAGTTAGTAGCCTTAACCCTTTCATGAATAAGTAAACAGCCACATATATTGCTGCTGTGACAGCAGTAGTCCATGCTATAGGAGACACACGAGGCGGTCCGTCTTGGATATTAGCTGTGAGGAAGGGTCCTACTTCTGATGGATGCATGTTTGAATCCAAATTGTTCTTAACTGTCAGAGGCTAATTATTTTACATAAAGCAAAGTGAGTCATGCTTTGGCAGCAAACTGCTGTGATCTTGGCTACGCCATCTATGAAACAGATAGGCATAGCCATGGGTGGACCCGGTTATTTCAGCCAAGTGATTACATTAAAGCGGCTCACTTCAGTGCTGTGTAATTTTTGATGAAATACTTAAATAAAATAGTAGTGATAACACTCAAACTAACCCTCGAAATTGACTTGGCAGGTCTGAAGTTATTTTAGCAGAATGTCTCCCAGATTGTGTTGTTTCTGCTTTTTGAGCTGATGGCTTCAGACAAATGCTGCATTTGCTCCCATGTAGCTGCTGCAACACATGATACTGCATCTATAATACAGGAGAGAGGGTGCTTTCTAGAGAAGTAACCCTCCCTCCCCTCCTCTAAGCCAGTCTATTTTCTCTCCATCCTGTTCCTCCCTTCCCCTCCTTCTCTCTCTCTCTCTTTCTGCCCTTTGTGCTTCCACCTTCCTTGCCTCATGCCACTGTCTGTCTTCATTTTTGACTAATGACTTCATTAAACATATTAGTGTTGCTCTGCCAAAGAGGTTAGATGCAGTGTGTGCAGAGGAAAAATGGGCGGTGACTCATTTCATACTTTTATCTGTATTAAACACAGTGCACATTTGTCACGTGGCAGGCTCCATTTCTCTGTTTGGTTTAGCACAGCAAGCTTCTGCCGAGTGGAGTTTTATTTAAAATAGCAGTCGGATTTGTTTTTCATTCCAATTCTTGCCTGCAATAGCAGCCTGTCACCTGCACAGCAAGTGCCTCTGTTTGCATGAAAAGCCATTCTAATTTCAAGCATCACAGTGTTTTTGGCGCTCAGTACAGTGTGTGTATAATGCTTGATATTGGCTTCACTGTGCTGTTTTTACATCCCCTCTTTCTGCACACTGTTGTTGTCCCAGATATATCCCTGTTTTCTGGAAATGTCAGGTGGATGAGAAGAAGAGGAGGCTGAACTGAGGAAACAAACATCACATTTTGAAGACATGTCCCCTGTTTGGGTGGGGGGGGGGGGCTCCTGCTATAAAAACTCAAAGAATATAGACGTGAAGAAGAGGCTATGTGAGACAAGGACACGCTCGTTGCGAGCTGCAGTAACAATGCAACCCGAAGAGGACGGCTCATCTGGAGGCATTGTTTAGCGGGTATTGTTAATCTCTGTGCAGATTCAGGACAATATACTGTAAATAGAACAGAAGAAGCTGTTTTCTCTGTTGTTTCTGCTTTGAGGAAAGAGATGACTAGAATGACTGCGTATGGAAACATATTTGTCGAGTTAGAGTATCAAAGATTTGGTTTGTCAAAACAAGAAAGCGTAGTTTAGGATGTCTATTGTTGACATGTGGAGTTTTTGATGTGAGACTCAGGTGTGTCAAGAGTTGAGATAAAAGGAAAAGGCGTCCATAACTTTGTTCAGAATCTTAGTGATGTTGTTTTTCTGCATTAAAGCAGTGACTTTAAATCCGCCCAACTGCTTACAATTCGCAGGAACACACCTGTAGTCTTTAGTTCCTGCTACAGTTGCTGAATGCAGCCTTTCTAAAGGGCAAAATCTGCAGGGAAAAAAAAAAAACCTTTCTGCAATCACTCTTCTCCTGCTCTCATCCTACCGGAGGGCCATTATTATCTGTATTGTAAGACAGAGTGTCTGTCTTGTGATTGTAAGAGCCTATCACAGGCCGAGCGAGGGGCAGGTTTCCATGGAGAAAAGCGGGCCAGGCCATGAGGTGGCTGGAGCTCGGCTAGAGCGGCGTAGCTTGATCTGAGCTGATAGCATTCTCCTGCAGCAGGCGGAGAAAAGGCCCCAGCAGGCCTGGTCTGCCTGCTGTCTGTCCCAGTGTCTCACTGCGTGCCTACCTGTCTTACTCAGCTGAATGTTCAAAGACAGGGGGGACTTCTGAATCGGGATTCAGTCAGACAGGCACAATAGGAGCGTGGCCCGATGGCCATGCAGCATCAGATTGGATTTGTGTAGGCGCTGGATCTAGTTCACATAAAGCCGAAGCCTCGACCGACTCTGGTGGGTTTGGAGCGTGTGAGGATGTGTGTCAGGTTTGGGTTGAGGGGTAGACCAGTCAGAGTTCCTGACCTGGAATCCCCCCTCGAAGAGTGTGCGGCCCCAGCTCTGTTTGGCCCTGCAGGGAGGCAGCCCAGCCTGCAGTACACTCACATTTGAAAGGGTGTGTGTGTGTCTGTGTGTGTGCAGTTTTGTGTGCTTCTTTGCTGTATCTCGGGGAGTTATTGCAGCCTCAGCCTGAGCTGGGAAGTAGGTCTGACGACATTTCTTCTCGGCTCATTGGAGCTGTCCAGAACAGAGTGTGGACCTCTTTTTTACTTTTTTTGTCCTTTTCTAGAGGAGAAGCTGAACTTCCCATTATGGCCTTTGTGTTTAATTGCATCTCTTTACACAAACATGTATTTCTTTTATTTTTTGATAAATATCTGAACTCTGAGCACCGAGACAAGAAGAGGACAGTGAGGTTTGCGGCTCATCTTCATGAGGAACTGAACCCACGTGGCTATGACACACACTGACAATTTTTAGCTTACCAGAAGTTGCCGAGGGACTCACTACTGGACATAAACAACCCCACCACCACTCTCCCTGCCAACCACTCACCCACCCACCCACCCACCCACCTACAAAGTCCCTCAATGCTCAGTGCCCATGGCCCATCAAACAGCCTCGTCAGGCCCTCAGAGTCCACAGCTCAGACCAGGATCAGAGCAGACATGAAGGGCTGGAGGGATTCAGGGATGCTGCTAAAAATTCTCCACCACTTGACAAGATACTGTTCAGTCTAGACCTTTAGCGCCCCACTGCGCCAAACTTAAAACAAGATCAAAACCAGCTCCGGTCAGCAAAGAGCTCTTTCAGGCCTCTGAAAGTACAAACATGAACCACTAGTGGCATCTTCTCCTTCTTCTTCGGGTTCGATGGGACGGAGATTTGAAGTGTGGGAGAGGCAGATGGGTACTATGGGGGAAATTAGGAGAGAAAAGAGAGGTAGTAATTGGGACAGCTGTGCAGCTTGAGGCGTAAGCAGTCAGATCACCCACCTCACTCCCAACCCCCGCCTCCACCAGCCCTCTCCTCCCCCCCCGAAATGAAAAACAGTGCCAGAGAGCCAGATGCTGGCCATTAGGATCTTAGTGACAATAGCCCAAATTCACTTTGCAGCCAGAACACAGAATACTAGGCCCACAAGGACACACACACACGCTCACACACAGAGACACGCACACAGGGAAAGAAAAGATCATGAGCTCATCTGACAGAATGGGTGCATTTCCCACACTCGGTTAGAAAGGTTGTGTGACAGGCCTGCCTCTGCACAGAGGTTTGTGGATGTTATTCTGTTTTCAGCTACAAGCCCAAGTTTCCCGCAGACACTCCACCTCCATTCAGACGCTAAAGGACTAATGAATGGCATCCATTTAGTCAGTGCGATCTGATCCTCTGTTAGGTGGCCTGTGTGTGACCTTAACACGGGTCTAGAGAGAGTCCAACCCCAGGCACCTGTGAAGTGGAACCTGGACCGCGATGAAAGGCCGGCATTATCTCGTTTACAGGCAGGGGGGCTATTCATATCACCGGTGCCAGTCCTGCTTCCTGGGGGGCTTGTTTGTCATGGTGAAGGAGGGAGTGTTTGTTGATATTTCTGCCGTTACGGTATTGATCCCCCAAGGGTTAAATTCATCACGGTGACCTCCGTCGAAGGGTCAGAACGCAGGGTCAGCTTTGCTGCTAGTCCTCGGAGCTGGAAGGGATTCTGCGTTTAAGCCCCTGATGTTTGCGCCGAGTTCACGGGTGGTGAGGCGGTTAATGTGCAAGTGTCCATCTCTATATCTATCAGGGCTTGGCGTGCGCGGCGTACGCAGTGTTTATTACAGACAGTCGGTGGTGTTGGGCGGCGGCTGAGGGGATTGTAAAGGATCGTAGAGGATTGGCCTGATTGGATTTCCATTTGCAGGAGTCTTGTCACCCAGCATGGAGCTCTGCAGAAGACAGCGTGATAGCAATTAGACGGCGAGAACGCTGAATGTTCACAAAATCTGAGAACATCTGCCGTATATGATCTGGAAATATCCTGATGATTCAAACCAAACACCAATTACGTTTTTTCTGCAGATCTGTTTGACATGCAATATCTTCTGTCCCTGAATCTGAGAAATGTTTTAGAGAAAGAAAAGATTCTACTTAAAATAAGGTAAATGTGAGGGAAACACAGGAAGAGCAACACCGTAGAGCTTCATCCACCAGAACTGACAGACGGTTGATGTTGTCGATACAGAGCAGGCAGCAACCTCTGAAGTTAAAAAAGCCGCCTGTGCAGAAGTGCTTCACGCCGCACTTCCACCTGAGGCCGACTCCAAAGAAATCCGTATTAACCGCCATATTAAATTGTCAATTTTTACAGCAGGATTCAACATTTTTCAATGACGCCGAGAGCTTTTCAGAGCAGCGAGCACCGGGGAGACACGGGTGGGGGTTTGAGTGGAATTTAATGGGAACAATTTTAGTTTCTTAAGAAAATGAAGAGTTGAAAAATTTATAATTATAAAATAGAAACAGGAAAGTGTAAAAAAGAATAATGAGATATTCTTTTATAATGATGGCAGTATTTTTAATCTTTTTCTTCATTAAGTCTTTCCCTGCACAGCTGATGGGATTGGAAAAAAGTAGCATGTGCAGCACATAAATTTGACATTTCATAGTCATTTCAGACTCAAAAACGACTAAACATGTCAAAAAATCTTTGCATCAACTGAAAATTTCAACCTTTAGAGCCAGCACTGTTTCCTCTGGCCCTCTAAGTGTTTCCATCGTCCTGAAACCAAAATACGACGTGTTGTTGACGGAGAATAATTTTGACTCCTGCAGCCTTCCTACATAAAAGCAGAAACTGTCTGAAGGTTACATAACTCAGACTTTGGTTAACTTGACACATAACAATGAGCTTCCTTCAAAAACTGAGTGTTTATTACATCAGTCCTTCAGCTTATTAGCGAGCTAACTGTCATACCTGCAGACAGACAGAGGTGAGGCGCTTCAGACATGAGACAAAGATGAACCTCCATGAGTTAGGACAAAGAACAGATGGCGGTGTTTACACATTCATAAAACTTTATATAATTATGTATTAACTAGTATAGTCAGGTGACACACAGATAAAGCTTAATTTACGGTGCGTTCTGTTTGATCTTGGAAGTCGGAAATTATGAGACGTCTGTTCGATTTGTAACCTGGGACGCCGCCCAGAGTCTGGACTCACGACTCAGAAACTCTGGAACCAAATCCAAGACAGTTGCCCCACATCGAATGTAAAACAGCTGTTCTTTTAATGGTGTTTTACATGATTTAATCAATCAAACTGATAGCATTGTTCAGGTTTTATGTGGGGGCGTATATCCAGTTAAGAGTCCTGCTATAATGAGGTGTCATTACAGGAACATCGTAACTGTTAGCCAGGAGAATAAAGGGCCGGCCTATTTGTGTCGTGATGGGTCGACTGAAAGTTATACTGGGTCATGCTATTATTGGACCATTGTTACATCACTAAGACCATGGCCATGCTGTATACAGACTGTGGTACAGACTACGGTACAGTGTTGGGTGATCTGAAGGCTGAACTAGTAAAGGAAAATGAAACAAGAGACAAAAGAGCGAGATAAGGACATCATACACACTAAAGTTAAAAGGTTGAAATATAAGAATAAGAAGAACTTTATTGAACTTCGAAGGGAAATTCAATTGTCTGTTGTCTCATGTAATATGTCTCTAAAAGTTATCTATTATTTACACAAGAGTTATAAAGCCTAATGTCTGTTGGTACAAAAGATCTTCTGAATCTTTCTGTCCTGCAGCAAAGAGAGGAGCCGTCCACCACCATTGGTCCTTTGGTCCATCAAGGTGTTGTGAAGTGGGTGATCCATGTTCTTGAGAGTAGTCTCCACCTTCCTCAGTGTAGATCTCTCCACCACATCCTCCACTGCTTGAGTCCAACCACAGAGCCAGCCTTTTTCACCAGTTTGTTAAGACGTCTTACATCTTTGTGTTTGATGTTTCCTCTGGTCGCCAAAGAAATCAGAAACATCTAGAAGAAGGATCCTGCTGCCAGTCCAGCCAAATTAAAGGGTTAGAGTTCGACAAAAGGCCATAGAGCATAAGAAGAATCCAAAAGTGAATGACAGTCGGGTTAAAGTGTAACTTTAAAGACTTCAACAGAGTAAAACTGCTGTGGGCAGGAATGTTATTCAAGAAGAAGAAGAAGAAAGGATGAAAAGCAGGAATTTCTTAAGTCATCTGAAGCACCTTAAAGTCTGATCAGACATAGATATACCACTTAATACCAAGAACTTTAAAGAAGCTGCTGCCAAGTCCTTGATTCTTCTTTTAGGAGGTGTTGGATAGAAAATGTTCCTTTTAAGGACAAACTCCAACCAAAGACAATTCAACCCAGTAAGGATTAAGCTAACCCTCCATTGCTTGGTGGTATTTTTCCACTCCTGAGGACTGGATTTGTTTTGGGTGGGTGTCAGGAAAGATTTTTCTTTTTCCACAACTTTGACATCAGTTTGACCAGCCGTTCACAAGGTCTGCAGTGATCATAAATAAACAGGCTGGCAGTAAACACACTCAGAAGAACGTGTGTTTAGTCCTGAATCCTTCAGCAACAAGACAAAACCGTCCTCGAAATGAGCCCTTGACTTCAACAAAGCCCTGATGTGTTCACTATTTTCTCCTTACACGCGTAGATCTATAACCTACAGCTGAATAGAAACACAGCTCCATTGAGCTTGCAAGGCTTTTTCTGAAAAGCATTCTGGGTAATATAGGAAATCACTAACTGAAGTCAAATTAGGAGAGAAATGCTGAAAGAAAGTGGGTACAACAAAAATAGTAATTATTCCAATCAGAGAATAACTTCAGGAATGTATTGTTCAGCACATATCGACGATTTTCGTCAGAACACGAGTCTTGGAGCATGGAGCGTGCTTTTCTGTTCTCTCCAAAAAGATGGAGGAGGAATTCATGAAGGACACGAGCGAAGGATCAGGATGTTAATGTTAAACTGTGAAACTGGTAGATCGGCCTGAACATTGAAGGTCTCGTTGGTGGAGTGAGATGGATCTGGTCTTAATAGCAGTTCTGGTGGACCGGTCTTGTGTTTCTCCGTTTAATCACTGATCAAAGCGGCGGACGTGTCCACATTTCCATTCGAACAGAGGGATCAAAGAGGCGTTAGAGCGAGGATGAAACCTCCATCCTCCTGATATGACATCACGCCTGAACTAGTTTCCTCCTGGAGGACTGATGAAGGCGCCGCAGAGCTGGAAGTGCAAAGTGCAGATAAAACATCACATCAGCATTATTGTGACATATATTACAGCTCTGATGCATTTAAAGAATAGATATAAAGCTGCATTAGCTTAATAGATGTGACTTGAATCGTTTCCAGGAGCCTCTTCTGCAGATGACTGTGGGAATGTGTCCCGTCGGACCTCTTACTCATGTCCAATCACTTGTTTCCTGATGAAATTTCTGGCTAATAAGGATTTTTTTGTGCCAGAAAAGCCTCACTCTCAGTGTTTCAGTTATTGATCGAGTTATAAAATGAATTTTTAATGCTTATGTTGCAGGCTTTACATTACAATAAGCGCTCTCTTTTATACCCTAACATCAGTATAGATTTTCAGCATGTTTACACTGCAGACTTCTGGGGCTTGTTCATTGCACAGGCAGCTCATATAAGTAATGTACATGTCCTGTGAAAATAACATGTATTGCTCTCCAGAAAGCACAGAGCTCATAGGCTGCCAGGGGGTTTCTATCGAATATGGGTAAATTGATTTTTCAGCAACACATTGCCTCTGAAATAAATATGAGCAACGACGACTGCGAGCTGGAGCTGCACTGAGTTCACACTTGACATGTACCATTTCTACAATCACTCGGCTAATATGTTCTCCCAGTTTCTCAGTCTGTTGAAGTTGTAAAGTGTCTGATCTCTCCTGTTTACCTGTCATCTGTGCTAAACTCTCAGACCTGCTAACTCCTCAGCAGCTACGCACCAACTCTAACAAGAGAGTCCTGGATAACTTCATCGCTCTTTTCATTTCTTCATGTAAAATAAATCACTATGTACATTTCACAAACATTGATTAGCCAGTTTATCGTTGTCCTGACATTTGTGAAACAGGTTTCAATCTGCAGTCCCAGATATTAATATTTTAATTGGAAAAAAAGTATATATATATATATTAAGGGCTGCATGATTAATCGATTTTAAATCATAATCCGATTATTTAATTATGACAATGTTAAAAAAAGGTTTCATGTCATGTCTCGCGCCTCCAGGCCACCGTAGCTCCTCCTTCCTGTGGGAGCGCTCCCCAGTTTCCACACACACCAGTGTAAACAAACATGGCGTTTGCAAAAGAAGGCGATAATTTCGTGGTTAAATAGGACAAGAGCAAGTCAGTCGTGTGGAATTAGTACGACTTCGCAGTTTCAGACGAAGAGCAAACCACTCCCCGCTGTAAAGTCTGTCTGAAGGCGGTACAAAACAAATTCAGGAGTAAAGTTTTATGTTGTATCGGCGTTTCATCCAGACCGAAAACAGCATTTCGGGTGATTATAAACGGAACTTTTTTGAAAATAGGACTCACTTTGATACTCCTTAATGACTGCTATGAGCTGGTGACATAAATGAGACGATGAATGCTTCTTATTGAGCCAAAGAAAGAGCAGATAGATGATGAGTACAGCAGGATTAAGTTTTAAAGTGGTTAATACAAGTTAAGAGATACTCCTGCGACTTTTAAAGACCAAAATGAACAAAGACAGAAAAACTTTTTCCAGCTGTCTTTGCTAAGATGAGAGGAGTGATGAAGGATGCACTCAGGTCTGCAGAGACAGTTTCACTCACCTACAGGTGGACTTCATGAGCTTTAGAGTAGTACTCAACAATTACAGCTCATTTAATAGGCTGTCAGTGAGGCCTGCATTCATAGTGGCATTTATAGACTTACAGAAGAGTTTAACTGAAGGCTGCTGAGGAACGAGAGCTAGCTTAAAAAGACTGAAATACACCTGCTGTATTGGACTGGTGTGTTTGAGCTCCAGCTCAGCGTTCCTGTGTGAGGTTACTGTCATTTGCAAATGGCCAAGTGTTAACCGGACTGGATTTATTTTCTTTAACTTGTAAGAACCACAAGAGACATGAAGTGGTGACCTAGTGGAACAGAGAAACCAACAGCAGGACAGTGTCTAATGATCGGTTCAGTGACAGATTGAGAGTTGTCTTAGTTTTAAGCAGATACAGTATCTGTAGCTCAGCTGGTCACATGCAGAGAGTAGTCTGATTCCTCTAGTGTGATCCTGAGTATGAGCTGCAGGTGAAAAGTGGGATCTTTTATCAATCCTGTCCTTTTTTGACGCTCCTTGAAGCTTCACAATCCCAAGGAAAAAACACCCAAGTGTCTTTAATCACAGCCGAGTTTTCCTTTGTTCCAGTTCCTGTTGTTATTGTCTCTATCCCTGTCTTCTTTGTTAGGTTTGGTTGGTAGGGCCGGTTGTTTTGAAGGTGAGGAGAGCAGTAGCCAACATGGTCGTTTTAAAATACTTCTGTGATAATCCTATTTTAATAGTTGCTCTTGCCAAAAGTACTTGATCAGAAAACTGAATTCTTGTGTGGTAATGAGGTCTAATTTAGCTTCTTTTTACTTAAAAGTTTGGAACAGAAACTCTCAGTAAATCTCCTCTAAAGCACCTGAAGAAAAACAGTCCAAGGTCCGCTCTTAGAGTTTAGCCTCTGACGTTACATCCCCCCCGATCAGCAGTTTTCTGTCACGCTCCCCGCCGTCTCTACAAGCCTGTCGATGCCCCTCAGTCCTCCCTTAGTGATCGTTGGAGTGGCAGCGTTGGCATTCACCTGTGGCAGAGCCCATAGCAAACCAGCGTGAGACCATTTGCATACCTGACATGCCTGTCATGTACCCCCAGGAGGGCCAGCGTCCCACCGTGTTACCTCCTCCCCTTCCTTTCTTTTTATGTTAGCCCCGTACCTCCCACCACCACAACCCCTTAGCTCCTCACTGCCAGGGCCATCAATGCTGCAGAGACTTAAAAGGGCCTGCTTGGCAGAGCTATTCCTCAGTTTTAGCTGTGGTCTGGGAGAGCAATAACAACATGCCAGTCAGATATAAGAGCCCCTAATAGGACTCAATGAGATGACACAGCAGTCCAAGGCCTATTATGCTGTTAGAGCTGTGGGACAGATGGTGTGAGGAGAGGACGCACTGAGACACATCACATATACAAAAGAGAGAAAAGAAGATCCATAAGGGATTTGATTTACTGGGTGGAGGTAGTTTTAACCAGTATGAAGAGTGCACTCATTCTGCAGGTGACCCGGGAGCAGTTCTGACAGAACCAGGAGGCGGTCCGGGTTTACTAGTCCACGTAAGGCTGCGTGACAAGCTGCCCCAGAAAGAGAAAGCAGCCTCTGTGGCCCGGTTCTGTACTTTCTTTGATCTGGGGACAACAGCGCAGAATTGAAGTTGGCACGTCGACTCAGTGAAAACAGCCGGAGAAGACTCTGCCTGCCTCCTCGCTTTGATTGGTGGCGTAAACGAAGGATTATTACAGATGAATCCGGTGTTATGGTTGTCCTCCAACTCTTGATGTTCAAACAAAAACTAAAGGAGTGTCAACACCTGAACTGAAGAGGAGGAACGAGACAAGCTGGGACTCTGCGTGGCGTACTTACTCATCATTATTCCACACAGTCCCGTCGACATCTGTGATACGAGGAGTCAGAGTTAGAAAAGAGATGATCATATATGAGCTGTTTGAGTGTTTCTCCCGGTGAATGAGGAAGTCTTTGCGGCACGGAGAGGGTCGAGCCCGGTCAAGGTCAAGTTGTGAGGTCATCCTGACATTTAAGGGCTGACCCATCCACTCAGCTGAGATAACAAAACCCCCTCCACTGCTCTTTTTTCTGTCGTTTGTTCACGGCAGCGTTGGCCTCACTCGCTCTTTGCTCTCTTTTGGCAATCGGTGCCCTAATTGAGGCACTCTTGAGCCATGTTTATCACCGTAGCAACATTGCCTCGCAGATAATCATTGTCTCGTGGATTAGCATAACAACAGAGGAGAGGCTTTGCTTTAATTCCACTAACACTGGACCAAGCTCCTTTGTGTCAGCTCGCCTGCCGGGCTTGTCTTAACAGGGATTAGGAACATGCGCCCACCAGGCCCCCACATCGCGCTCTGCACCCCTGCCAGCGTTCGTGAGTGAACCCCCTTCTTACCTTCGGATGTTTCCTGGAGGACAATTTGGAAAATTGCAGTTTTCATCTCATTTTGATATTCTGAACCCCACTTGGATGTTACAGAGCGTAATCTAAAGAGATTAGCTCATCGTTAACTGCTTATGTGTGTTGACCTAAAGACAACAACGCGTTCGGTCCAAGCCTCAAAGGATTGAAGAAAACACGCAGAAGGTCTTTTCTTTTATAGAGAAGACAGAAGAAGAAGCGTGTGGCGGCCTTGTCTCGTCACTTTGTAGCAACCAATTGATCACTCCGCATTATGATCTACTCAAGAAGACACTTTCATTTGGGTTGATGTACTTTTTACTCCCGACATATTACCTCTAACCACATCAAACCACCACCCGTGATCAATTAACTCGATTAGCTGTTGTTGCCTTCTTCCCTTTGGATCAGATAACCTTCAGGCCTGATACCTGATCTGCATGTGATGAGAGAGAGGTCCTTCAGTAAATCCCCCCCGTTAATACACTGATGTGTGACGTTTCATGGTAAATATGCACATTATAACCGCTGCTTTGAAGGTTACCTGCAGATTTCCCCCACGCACTATCTTAACTGTGGATTGGTTGGAAACAATAAATCATGCAAACATGGATCACCTGCTCAGATATTGTCTTATAAAACGTAGAGGATGAATTTTTGGGATCATGTGACATACTTTCAGTCTCTCTATGAGGGCGTTTATTTCTCTGAACTTTGTTGTAACACAGAAAAGTGACAGAACCAGTCATTTCCTCGGCTCTACACTCCGAACCAAAGTGGGGTTGTTATTTGGATTGTCAGTTTTTTAAAAGTTGCAGCATTAGTCTCTTTAACTTTGACTTTCGAAGGTTATGGAGGAGGCGATTTCAGGTGCTGCAGGATGAAGCATTTTTATTCAAGGCATACCGAAGCTTTCATCTTTGCTGGTAATCATAAACTATTAGACGCCTACTGTAACACACACACAAAAAAAAACTTGAATAATGCCCCTCTCTATTATTAATGAAAATCATAATACATTAAACTGGCGTGCAGAAGTGCTCGGCCGGTTTGATGAGAAGTGAGTCACTGAGAGTGGGTTTTCAGTTGGCGGCAGGTGCAGGGACATGCAGGAGAAAAGGAGATATGATGGCGTGTTCGAGGCGAGATGATCCCGACTTCCAAAAGTTTAATAAAAAAACACAAAAAAGAAGGGGTATCTCAGATATTTAACATTAAAATGTAAGGTTCTCAGACTAAAATTGATAGATGGATAGATTATTGAAAGATTAGATGGATGAATACAAAGACGGATGCTAGGGTACAAGGTACAAAAAAAGGTACAAGGATGAAAGGAAGGGTTCATGGATGAAGAGCGTGGTACAAGTATGGATAGAAGGGTACAAGTATGGATAGAAGGGTACATAGAAGAATCAAAGGATACAAAAATAGATTTAAGGATGGATAACAGGAGAAAAGGATGGATAAGGGGGGCATTGTTGGGTGTAAGGATTGATCGAGGGATACAAGGATGGATGCAAGGATGAATGGAAGGGCACAAGGATGAAAAGAAAGGTACAAGGATGAATGGAAGGGTTCATGGATGAATCAAAGGGTTCATGGATAAATAGCATGGTACAAGGATGAATAGAACAATACAATAATTAATAGAAGTTCACAGGTATGGATAGAAGAGTACAAGGATAAATAGAAGTGTGCAAGTATGGATAGAAGTATACAAGTATGGATAGAATTGTAGATAGCTGAATAGAAGTGAACAAGTATGGACAGAAGAGTACAAGTATGGATAGAAAGGTACGAGTATGGATAGAAGGGTACAAGTATGAATAGAAGGGTACAAGGATGAAAAGAAGTGTACAAGGATGGACAGAATTGTACAAGGATAAATAGAAGGGTACTTAAAAGGGTACATTGATAAATTAAGGATATAAAAATGGATGCCAGGATGGATGGAAGGATGCATAAAAGGAGGAAAGGATGGATGAGGGAGGCTTTGTTGGATGCATGGACTGATGGGGGGGATAGAAGGATGGATGCAAGGATGAATGGAAGGGTACAAGGATGAACAGAAGGGTACATGGATCGATGGAAGGCCAGGAAGATGGATGGCGTGTGGCCTGAGCGAGCCATGCTGTCCTGCATTAAACCGTGCTTGTGGTTGCAGAGCGGCAGGAGCACCATGGGGCACTGGGCATGTGCACGTGTCTGATTCTGCAGGCAGAAGGAAGGAGGGAGGGAGAGAGAAAGAGAGAGAGAGAGAAGGGTGGAGGGGGGGTAACCACTGACCCCGAAAGAACACGCCATTAAGAGGAATAATAAAAAGGGGTCTTGGCACTGCTTCACTAATATGCGTGGTAATTTGATAGACACTCTGAGAAGAAATGTCAGTGATGTGTGGGTGAGCAAATTTTATTTGTGCATGTGTGTGTGTGTGTGTGAGTGTATATGTGTGTGTGTGTGTGTGTGAGACAGAGAGATGCTCACATTAACTCTCTCCATGTAAAACGTCTGTGGTGGAGCGTTGTGTGCTTCTCAAGCAAACAAGTGGCGAAGCGTGCAAAAGGAATTTCAGGCCCTTTCAGAAAGATGACCACACTGGTATAAGGGAGCTCCTTTGAAAGATGATCACAGCCTCCATGCTTTAACACAAACAGAAAAACCCTCCTTGTCTCGCAGCTGATTTATTTGGAGGGATTGTGGTTTCACACTTTTTCAAGTAGCTGACATTATCTAAGGATGTTTTCCTTTGCCAGCCTTCTTTCCGGAGCTAATGTGCTGTGTTTAAAGCTACCAACCCCGGCAGCCAGCAGTGTTTATTCAGCTGAACTTACTGTGAAGGAAACTCGGCAAGGCCACGCTTCTGTGACATAGCCAGCAGCTCTGGATAACATTTCCCTGATTTAATCTGAGGGACATTTTTGGACCCTTGCGATCGTTCTCTGACCCATGTTTGAATCTTATTTTCCAAACAAAACAACATAATAGAAACCAAATACTTAACAACACTGTGAGGCTGCTCATGTCCGCCTCCCTCCTCCTGTGTGCTTGTGCTGTTTACAAGTAGGCGAGTGGTGGGGGGAGGGTAGGGGAGGGCGGAGGAGGGTGGTCGTGAGTGGTAGTGTGGCAGGCAGACTGCAGGAGCAGGTGACATCTGTGACCCGGCACTACAGCAGTGGATGCTGCTGGACACATGCTCCTTCCTCAAAGGCTACTGGCACCCTTTCGCCTCATTGGGCTCATGCCCACATGCGCAGACTGGAACACACACCAACGCACAGACACACTTGAAATACTCCATCTCTCCATCTCTGTACATGATTTCATCTCTGTAAAACCATCGTGATTCAGCGTACCTTCAAGAGAAATGACCCCTCTCGTTGTGTTATCCATTTTTGGTGAGATATTTCCTTTTTTTTTCTTTCCTTTCAGACTCTTGACCTACTCTCTCTCCAAGCCGCTAACGGATACAGCGTGAACATGACAGTCTGCTGAACGCCAGGATCAACGGCGTACAGAAATGACCTCCTGATATGACCATCTAGAGCCGATACCAGGTCAGATTTTACTCTTTTAACCAAAAACTCTCCTTTTTCTGCTTCTCTCACACAAACTCACACACTTTACATACATGCAGGCATTGACACTACCTTTTTTCATCAAGGAGCTCACAAAGAACTTCAGGGGCACAATGAAAACTGATCAAATAATGTGTGTCTTATTGGTCGACATAAGTACTATTATTCGAAATCAATTTTAGGTCTTTTGGTCACATGACATGGAAGCTATTGAAGGAAAACAGACTTTTCTGAGAACATCAACCGGTAATTTATTGACGGTCCCTTATTCAACACCAGACGTTAACAGTGAGGGTGACGGGTAGATTCGAATGTCCAACCTAAAACTAACTTCACCCCTAAATGCACTGTCGAACCCTGATACAGTACAACCCACCGACAGAACACATGCGAATTTTGAACATCCCCCGACGTGACAAATTGACAATCAGATGATTGATCTTTCTTGCTGCGTTATTAACCTATTATATTAACCAAGCCATTAACTCCACATTAATTGAACTGTTAATTAAAACAAAGGCCTTCGTTTCCCCCCCAATCAGACTCTCCCTGCTGTGCTGTAGACCATTATATACAGCTGAGAGACAAATATTACAGGAAAGGACAGAATGGGAATGTATTCTCCCTCCATTTCCACTCTCCCATAATCCAATTTTCTTGTTTTTTTCCTGATATTTAGTTTAATTTTCTCTCCGTGCAGCTGCTTGAATTCTTGTATAATACAGTTTTACATCAGCTCTCCTCCTCCTCCCTACTGCCCGGTCCCTCTCCTCTCCTTCTCTCTCTCTCTCTCTCTCTCTGGAGGGAGTGTGTTCCTCCTGTTTTTTTCTCGTTGCAGACGCTCCCTCTGATGCCTCTTATCTCCTCTCATCTCCTGCAGTAAAGACGCTCTCTGTTTGTTTTATGCTTCCTGCCAGTCCTTCCCTTTTCTCCTCTGTTTTTTCTCCCCGCTCGCTCTTTTTAAGGTGACGCCCAGAGCCTCCTCTCAGTGCTGTGTGCAATGGATCAAAATTGTCAGAATAACTTAATGGCGCGCTGACCTGCCTCCTGACCCCCGCTGTTTATCAAATTCCATCATAAACTGTAAAGCCAGATACCCCCTCACCCCCCTCTGCCTTCCCTTCTTTTCTGTGAGGGGTATAGATTTGTTGCTCCGTATCTCTGGCTGTGCAGCACTCGGCTTGCTCACTGCTGTTGACAGAGAGTGTGTCCGGTGCAGGCCACGCTTGGCTGCATCGGCGTAATGCTGATAGGCTAGCTCAGATCCAACAAACAAACAACCTATATTACATTGGAGGCAGGGAAAGACGAGGTTTTTAGCCACAGGGCGGGCCTCTCTCTGCGTGTTTGTGTGCAGACTTTTACATTTTTGTGTGTGATTGTGTTTGTGTGTGTGTGTGCATTGACCTATAATCTGGGCAAGACTGCAAGACCCAGACCGGATTAAGACCTGCTTGGACCGGGCTTTAGGCAGTGTGGAAATGAGAGTAAAGTGGAGTCAAACCCAGGACAGAGGACAGATCTGTGCACAGTTAGTGGTGTTTGTTTATGTGTACTGTAACAGGGGTTTAAAGGGATTAAGGTCAGTGATGATGTGCATATTTTAGCTTCTGAATCCGTGATTTCTTTTTAAAATAATTCGGTGTAATAATGTTTTATTTGATTCTAAAGTACAGTTTAGTTTTCATACATTTCAGTACAATTCCCAGTTAATAGGTAACTTGAAAGCTCTTTTCTACCTCCTCAGTTTCATGGTCACACTGAAGCATTTTGTTTGAGCTGTATTTTTGAAGTAGACAAGTGGGTCTACATGGCACTTTTTTAAATTTGTATTTACATTTAACGAAGACACTGTATTAAGTTGGTCTACAAGGTCAAAAAGGAAATTCTGTTCATCTGATTCCCAATTAGACTCTGGTAAGAAATACTTAACATTATGAGCCTAAAAGTACCTTAAATGCATTATAACAGAGTTTTTAACATTCAATTCAAACCATGATTAATCGCAGCTGACATGAAGATTCTGCGATTAATCGCGATTAAAAAATTAATCGTTTGACAGCCCTACCAATTATAAATAATTAAATGTCAGATAGTGCAAGAAAGTACAAATTTTTCCATGTGTTTAAAGATTATTTTGAAATTTTGGTCCAGTAGTTTGAACATCCAGAAAAGTCAGAGAGGCACAACAGTAATCCAAAGACTTTTATTTTGAAGGGATGCAGTCGTAGCGACCGCAGACCCATGAAACCAGTACAAAGGAATCACAACTGAGCATGGTTTATTAAACACAGTCTGCAGAGTGTGGCTAATGTTAGCAGAGCCAGCCTCGGAGGTCATGCAGCAACTGTGCGGTGGTGCCAGTTTATTCAGACACATCCTACGTACAGCTCAGTCTCGAGTTTTTCAGATTAAAATACTCCGCCAAAATGCACCATGCTGCGATACGCCATCTGTTCGTCTGTGACTGTTTGCATCCAGGTCGTAGAGAGTAAAACTAGAGCATTTACACCGTGACGTTATATAATCAGATTAAGGCCAATATGAGAAGGTTAAGATATCTTTTCACCAAGCGAAGCAAATAAAGTCTGTAAATGACTCCAGAATAAAAGCAGAGAGAAGAGAGAGAAGAGAAGAGAGAGCTCTGAACCTGAAAAAACAAAGTCCAAACTGTCTCTTTGAAGTAAAGCAGCGTTTTCTTTGAATTTCATGAAGGTGTAAATTATCCGTAAAATCAATGTGATTATTAAAGAAATAGACCGGTCAGCTTTCTAGAGGTCAAGTTGTGTTTTTAAATCTGAATTATATTAACTTATTCCACTGCTCACTTTTCTTAGTAATTTAAGACCTGAGGAGGAGGAGGAGGAGGGAGGAGCCGATCAAAGAGCGCGTCATAAAAGGTTCCCGCTCAGGTATCTGAAACAGCAACGTTTCCTTCAGGTGTGAAGTCGAAGGTGCTTCATCAGCGCTGTTACTGATCTAACAGATGGTGCACCAGCACACACAGACATGCAGTATCTCTGTAATCTCAGTAATATGACCGAACAAGAGACATTATAAAAACCATTATGATTATTCACCGGACATCTGTAGGCATTCGTCAGAGTGAAATCTCAAAGGTGTCTTTTTTATTGCTGTAAATACTCCGTTGAGGTCATGATAGCGTTCCTCTGACTGTACTCCCATTGGCCAACTCTTATCTAAGGATTTTACTGGTGGAGCCTCCTCCCTGCTCCGTCCACTCTGTGAAGACTCCCTCTAACCCCAACGCAAACGTCTCCTTCTGTCTACAAGAAACCAGCTGAAATGACGTCTCGCTGTGCGTTTACCGTGGGCTTTAGTGTGGATGAACCCCGCTCAGAGGTGAACAGATTTAATTCATCATTTTTATTCTGATATCTTACACAGTTATTCCAGAGACACACCCTTTTTCACTTCCAGGATATTGCTCACACACACAGACACACACACTGGCCTGTGATCAGCCGTGTGTGTGTGTGTGTGTGTGTGTGTGTGTGTGTGTGTGTGTGTGTGTCTACGGTGGCAGTCTGCTCTCACTGTTAGGTCCTCAGCTCCCACCAGCTCTCCAGATGGTCATGGTGTTAGCACCACGCCTCGTGCCCACACGACACTCGTTCCACCTCCTTCCAGCCCCTCGCTCATGTCCACATCCCCCCTCCGCTCCTTGTTACACAGTACGCCGTTACAAATGAAGTGAAGGATGTCTCATTAGCACGGATCGCGCCGTGATTACAGTTCAGGGAGTTCTGGTAAAACCTCTGAGCTTTCGCGGCGAAGGAGGACGGAAACACTGAAGTTCTGTCTATACTTTGGATGATAACGACTTAATCTAGATCCCTTTAATTAGCTTGAAGTAAAGTTCTACTATTTCCAAATGTATCCTGCGTTTGATTTTGTCTTTTAAAAGCACAAATAAGAATAGATTAGACATAAACAGATTAAACAAACAGGGAGTCTGTGCGGTTCACTCATCATTTTTCAACCGCTGCGTCTTTTAAAGAACTCAAAAGACGGCTTGAACCAAGAAAACGCTGTTTCTGTATTAATCAAATCTTATTTTCAGCTGCGTTCAGAGCTGACTAAAAGTGTACTCAAAAAGAATAATCACCTGCGGTTTCTTTCTTGTGATTTTTACCTGTGGAGTACCTGCCAGTCGCTTATTTGTCTTATGAGAGAAATAAAAGCGCCCTCACAAAGTGGATTTCTCTAACGTCGGATAAATCAGCTACAGAAAATGGAAAAACAGACGTTTATTTCTTAAAACGCAGATCATTAAATTATTCAGTGGAAGTTTGCCGAGGATGTGCGCCCTTTTTCTGAAATATGTTTTTTTTTTATTCTGACATTCACACAACAATTTTAATTTGCTTGCTCTGCAGGAAAGAAAACTACAGGTTTGTTTTGTTCTGGAGCTTCACCGGAGCAGATTGGACAGCATGTGCTCTGGTTGTGGGTGCATGTGGGTGTCGAGGAACAGAGGGAGGTGTCCTCAGCCGGGCCACTTCTAGTCACAATATCATCCTGGTCTTTTAATTCTGTCTGCCGTCATTATTGCTGCGAGGTTGAGCTGTTGAAAAGCCGTATCCCCGTTCGCTCTCTGAGCCTCTTTTCATTAACGTGCTTCATTCACTCGGAGATGTTCTCTATTAATACATTCTTCCCTTCACCCCCGGGTGGATTCCTCTCTACTGTACGTATAAACAGCACATTCGTTGTCCCTATCATGATCGTTCCTCCCTGCCCTCCCCACCGTCTCTCCCTTCTCTTCCCTCCCTTTTCAATCTTTCTTCTCATCACCATGTGCTCCCCCTCCTCTTCCTCTCCTTGCATTTCTGTCTCTCCCCGCCCGCCCGCCTGCCTCCGTCCTCACTGCAGGGTTGAATCATCCCCGTTTCTGCTTGCCTTGTCACGTTTGGCCCCCTCCCTCCCCGCACGTCCGTCCAGGCCTCATCACACGGCGATGGCGCTCGCCAGGCTGACATCTCGCCACAGCGCTGAGGGCCTTTGATGTCCCTGACGCTAGCTACTGACCTGTCCCTCACTCCTCAAAGCACTGACATCATCAAAGTGGGACACGGCTCTGCCCCGGGGGCTACTAATTGCCAAGTATGGTATGAGCCACATTTTCATCCATGACATTTCCAGATAAGAAGAGGAAGGAGAGGGTGGATTTTTTTTTTTTCTTTTTTACATCTTTGTCTCCTTTTTCTGTTCCTGCTATCAAAGACACGTTCGAGCTGGCTGCAGATTCTCTCTCTCCTTTCATAAAGTTTGGACCCTCCCGTCTCCTCGCTCCTCGACATTATCAGGCTGTCGTCAGAGAGAGAGAGAGAGAGAGAGAGCGGTACCACATCAGCACTATTCTCTTCAGAGCGTCCTCTCACTTCCTCACACACTCACTCAGCTTTAAGCGCGCACACGTCCGAAAAAAGCAGAACCTCACACAAATGAAAGACCCCGCATCCTCCCTCTGTGGTGGAAAATTGAGTCATGGTCCCTCCGCTCGCGCCGACCGGCAGAGTAGCCATGCGAAAAAATGGAGTCAAAGTGTCCCTGTATTGGGGAGAGTGTAGGCAGGAGCGGCGGCAGCAGCACAGTGCGGCGGTTCTATAACAAGCACATGCAAATCCAGTCCAACAAACCCCGGGCTCATTAAATAAAACATGGCCGAGGACAAAAGCCTGCTTCTACTGTAACCTTGAATATTCATAATGAGTGCTCTGTCTTGGTGTGGAGCGGGAAGATGTTGACATTACGTGACTTCTCGGGTATGCGCCGCTGTTCTGCTTCACTGAAAGCTCGCCGTGTCTCCACGCATCGAAAGCGAGAACGGGTGGACTTATGTCACCCTTAATTGTGACCCTGCGTGGTCCTGAAACACCGAGGTGTCTCTCAGGGTTGATCTGTTGATCTCATTAAGGAAGCACCAAGGATCTCGGCTGCCCTGAATCATCAAATCTTCATTTTGTGTCGGTTCCATGTCCAGATCTTGGTTCAATGCTGGGATTTGCAGTGAAATTTCATCCAGAACAGCTCCTAAAGAGGTGATTTTGGGCGTCCAACAATTCCTACCGGATCTGTTTGTGAGGCGAATTTCGTGGCGTGTTACGGACAGCGTTAATCGCGAGAACCCACAGATTCACGTGAAATCGCACGATAATGAGTCGTTTCTACAAAGACAGACACATAGACATATAAGCAGTAGATTGTGTCCTTCCAGAGGAGGAAATCTACTTCTAGACTTCTAGAATCAGCATCTCCTCATTATGTCAAATTACGTCTAAAAACCTTTGACTTTCAATCGTCTCCGCCCATTTGCATGTTGCGAATTATTTTGAAAAGAAGCCGGATGTTTTATTTTGTGCTGAATTTATCCGGCATGCTCCAGCGTCCGGACAAAATAGAACTCTTGCGATCAGCTGTGGAGTCCAGCGATCCGCAGAGGAACGGAAAGAAGGCGGTGGAAATTGACACGTTAACTTGAACGGTTACGATCAACTACGATTGGCGGATATGGCGGAAATTGGGGGCACCATGGACAAAAAAACATTAGTTTCCTTTCTCTTATATTGGATCAGGTCACCGCAGTCTCAGCCAGTCCACCCAGACCTCCCTCTCTCTAACAACTCTCTCCAGCTCTTCATGTGACTCCTCATGGGGGTGTTGTAGACCACCCATCCAGTCTATATCTGGGCCGTGTCTTACAGCTGTGCGACTTTCAAATGTAGAGAGAGGTTTCTTTTCCCCTTAAGATGACTCTGTCCCAGCTTGGTCACAGACATGCACGGTCACGAACGCTCTTACAGCTTCCACCACGACCCACTGCATGCAACCTGACACCAATAAAAACGGCCCCCGGCTGTTTGACTCAAAAGACTCCTCAGTCCAAGGCCTTGAGTGACCTGTGGGGGGAAGGCGACAGAACTCAAGGGGAATTGGTTGCTGGTGATTGGTCCACATAAACCTCACAGATATGTTGGTGTAGGTTAGGCTGGACCAGTAACTAGCTGTACGGCAAACTCCACATGGCAAAAGCAGATGGTGCTGGAAAGAGCTTCACAGCTGCACACGGAGTACATACCTACAAATCCACCAAAACAGCCAACGTCTCTCATACTCTCATATTTTTGCACATTTTGTCATCATTTTTTTTAACTCAACAATATTTTTATTAGTTTTATACAGATTAATACAGTACAGTTCTTGAAAGATACAAGGGAAACATTAATCACAAACACCACCTTTCACTCACAACCCTGTCCAATGCTGGATATTCCTATTACTGCGCTTCAATAACAAATTCTGTAAGTGCTGTAATTCGGGTTTTATAGACCCTGAAATGTAAGACATTGAGAAATAAAAAGTAAAAAGAAAAAGAGTGAAATGAACAACCGTACGTTAAGAGAAATACAGCCGTAGACAAGTCACTGAAAACTGAAAAAGTCAATAAAAGAGATAAAAGTTTAAACTGTACGATTATAAAACATCACAGATATATATTTCAAAACGAAAACAACTAGAAGAGAAGAAGAGTGCTGTTTTTCGTCATTACCTGCGACCAAATAACGAATCTCCTCAAGGTCTAAACAAGACGTAAGGTCTTTCGAAACATCATTTTTAGGTAAATCTGAAAATTAATGCACATAATAAAATCCATTTACATCCAGTTTAAACCTTCATTGGCTTATTGACAAAGAATGGTGATTAAAGTGCAGGTAGCTGCGTCTTTAGTCGTAAAAATAAAAAATAAAAACTTGGCTTTTAAACCAAAACTGCATCGATTTTTATTTGAATCCCTCTGAGAAGGTTTATCAAATTCTGATCCAAGACTGATCAAAGTTCACTTTGGTCCTGATTTCGATTCAAACACTTCCAAGGTAGTCGTAAACTCTCGAGGGAGATCTCTGCACTGATCTGGGTGATCCTTGTCCAATAGAGCAGACGAGGAGGAGAGAGAGAGAGAGAGAGAGAGAGAGAGGGAAAAAAAGAGAGAGAGACCATTTAGATGAGACCACGCTGATCCATCGCCTGGAGTGACGGGTATGAGCTGTGCAAAGAGGACCAGGACTGTGACAGGCAGTGTTCATTAACGCTCCAGCCTCGGCTGTAGGGTCCAATCAAGGGGCTCCACACACACACACAAGCACCCTCAAACACCCTCTCACACACACACACACACACACACACACACATTCACACATATGGCTATCCAAGCAATGAGACAGGCGGATCTAAGCGTGGGCACTGATGGCTTCACTGCCTCAATTGATGGGTGCTTAGAGGGGGAGTGAAAAAGGAGCGCTGGAGATGTGGGTGGGGGTGCGAGTGAGTCTGAGTGGTGGGGTCTGCTCCCGTTGATGGCTCTCTGATAGCTTTTGCTTTAGCACCACTTCTGCTCAACATGCAAAGCCGGCGCTTTAACCCACATGACGCCCAGCTGTTTCCATTAAACGCCGCCGTCCTGAAAATCTCTTAAGCTGTCACAGATACACTACAACCCCTAATAAAGCCCCCTCACTCCCAGGTGCCGAATTTTCCCGCTAAAGAGCTGCGCGATGTTTCACAGAGATCAGGCGTTTAGCCAGAGCGTGTATCCAGGGTGAGTCACAGCGAGGGCAGCCATACACTCGGTTTATAGTTGTAAATTTCAAACATTAGAGGAAACCAATATTGCATGACTCTACAAAGAGCTGGCATGGCTGCGCGGTGGCAGAGCGTGATCTACAGTTGCAGCTGTGCGAACGACTCGACCAGGCGTGGAGATGTGTCTGTTTGGACTGTCATTCAAATGTTTACCTCCCAAATACCCATCGGAAATGTAATCAGCAGTGTGTGCATTGATCGTAAGCCTGTTTGGTGGCGTGATTGACTCAAACGCTGGACAAACAGCCGCCGGTGTGCCTGCGAGCTTCTACCTTAGATAGAAATAAAAGGACGAACGCTGACCGGAGCGGGCGTGTTGGTTCAGATCTGTCCTTGACCCGAGGAGGAGAAAACAGATGACGGTTAAAAGAGACGATTTTAGAGGACTTTTCTTCCCAGCTTAATACTTCAGATTGTTTTCTAAATACTATCAAGGTTTAAATCCAGTTGTTCTCTTATTTAGTGATATTTCCCCCCAAGTGTTTTAATCATTTAAAATTATGTTGTATTAACTTCTGTATTAAAGAGGAAAGCTGAAGCTAATTTAAGACACAAATTAGAGAATAATGTCAATATTTTACATCCATTTGTGAGGAAATGTGAAATGTGATGTTTTCTAAGCTGGTCTTATTAACCCCAACTGTTCAGAGTATTGTTCTGTTTTGATTTTGATAATTATGGCCCACAGCTAGGGCTGGGCGATACGGCCTGAAATCAATACCACTCGATAACGATAAATGGACAATAACTACTCCACAAGCTGCTCACCCCCTCCCACATTAACTTCGTCTACTTCAGCCGCTCCAACTTTCTCTCCGTCCTCCATCTCCTCACCTGTCTTTCCCTCTTTGTTACAGACTGGATGGGGTGGAGTCACGTCTCTGACGTAGGACAGCGTCTTAAAGGGACATGAGACCATAGTCTACCTACACACATCTAAAACCAACTTTGATTGATGTATTTATTTGACACAGAATATACAGACATGGGCAAAATGACGTCAGTTATTGTCGTAAAATTGATATTGGTAAATTTTCGGTTTATCGCCCAGCCCTACGGACAGCTCATAAGAAAAGAAGAACCAATCTCTTATCACCATTTCAGGTTTAGACAGTTACTATTTCAGTTGTGTAAATACGGTGTATTTCTTAGTTCAGTTCAGTTCACAGGACCACAATCATGGAGGAGCCTGTTCACACTCAAAGCTGTCCAGAAGTCAATCATAGTCACCCTCCACAGGAGTGTAAGTCACTCAGGGTCAGCGCTGAAAAAGTTGGATGAAGTGAAGCGTGTTCGTCCAAAGTTGTGGAGGGAAAAGGATTGTAAGCGCGAGAGGAGAGAGACCACCGGCAGAGAGGATTGTCAAAAACAGGCGATTGGAGAGCTTGGTGGAGCTTTGTGGGGATTGGGCTGAGGCTGGTGTCAGCGCAGGAAGAGCCACCAGACACAGACGTCTTCAGGAAAGGGACTACAACTGTCACATACCTAATCTCAAACCACCTGAAGAAAAAACGAAGAACTGGACCGGTTCTCACCGGTCTAAAGTAAATTTTTCAGTTTATTTGGAAACAAAGATCCTGGAGTCTGAATGATGAAAGTAAAGAGAGTAGTTTGAAGTTTCTGCAGTCTGAGATGATTTAGAGCGTCCTATCATCTGCTGGAGTTGCTCTGCTGTGTTTAGTCAAATCAAACATCACTGCGTCTCCACCTGTCAGCAAATTTTAGAGCATTTCAAGCTTCCCTTCGCTGACAGGTTTTAGGGAGATGCTGATTTCCTTTTCCAGGAGGGCTTAATATCTGCCCTCAGCACCAAACTAACAAAATAAAAGTACTGCGCCTGATTGGTCAGCTAGCTAGATTTTTGGCGAGGGAACCCAACCATTTCTCAGAGATTTGATCTTTCTGTATTTAAGTCCTTTTTTATATGATATTCTAATCATTTCATATAAAAGCTTATGGCCAAAATCATTCAATTCAAAACAAAAATAGTCTTTAAATATCTCCCTTTACACGTGACTCATGTTTAAGCATGCCTCTGTCCTTGAACGAGAAGTTGGGGTGTAAAAAAAAACACTTAAAGTCCTCTTAGAGAAAGAAACAGGAACAAGGACACTTCCTCTCCTCTCCTTTTAGCTCAGTGTCCACATCCATGTGAAACTGAAGCTGCAGCCGGCCTCAGATGTGCCGGCTCTTAATACTTTTACCAAAATGGATTTCTGATGGCGGCGCCTTCAATCAGCCAAATGTTAAATCGAAGCAAACGCTCAAATCTTTGCTCAATTCTCAGGAAGCGTTTTATTCCCCGGAGAACTTTTACTGCCTCCAGAATAGTTCTGATCCTGCTCAAACCGCTGCCTCCTCTCGGTGAATAAAACAAGACAATTATTCCATTGATCTAATCGGTGTCATTAAAATGAACGATATTCAAAGAGGTTTGTTTGTTGGCTCCTCACTGTCACACACTCATCCTCTCGGTTCAGCTCGTGTTTTCTTGCTCCTCTCAGATCGTGTTCCTCAGTCGAGAGTTTGCGGGTGATCACAGGAGACAGCAGGAAGCAGGGACAGGACGGATCAGAGTCATGTGATCTCCTGCATGAAAGACTGAGAGCGGTTTAAAGTGTTTGTTTGACATGTCACATCCAACATGTCTGTTTCCCCCACACTGAGTCCCTGTGAGGAGCGACAAACACAGATCCGGTTTTGCTCCACCAGGAGAGCGGCGTGGAGCTGGGGTAATGAATTCCAGGAGGCTGAGCATGCTAACAAGTTCATTATTCCAACTCGATTTAGGAGTAATTACCATTTTGCATCCAGAGCCATTCAAGTCTGGGTTTCTCTTGTCAAATTAAGCCGAGTGTGAACCCAGATAAATATTTGCATAAGCGAAAATGCACGGGGTGCTCCTCTGTGACAGGAAGAGATTGGTGAAGCCATATTGGATTTTTTTTTTCCCTCTCACCGTCTGTGTTGGTGGTAGTTTACTGGAATTCACACATATCCAGCAGCTGAGCAGCAGCAGCAGCAGCAAGGACAACTCTGATTAACTCTCCGGGTTCTGGATCTAATGGGTAGAAACTCACTGGGAGGCCTGACATGAACTTATGACACCCTCTTTTCATGCTAGTCTGCTTTTTAGCTCTCCGACTCTCTCTCTCGCAGGTCATTTTCACATTTTTGCTGGAGATTGATGTGACATGATCTTTATACGCAGCCATGCATAGAGCCTACATCAGATCAGCCATCTCATTTAGGTCTCAGAAGAACATCATCAATTATAAAACAGCCTCTGGTTGTCTGAGTTGGTACACTTACTCTCTGGTTTCTCTGAGAGCGCAGTCACATGGGTGAATATGCAAATGTAAGAGAACCTTCCTCTGCATCATTAAACCATTTTACTCTGAAGCTGTCCAACGGACTTAAAGGAGGAGACACATTAGATATTTAAAGGAAAGCTGAAAGAGGCACAGTCCCGCCTTTTACACCAATCAACACTTACAAATATTAACTTTGCTCTATCATACACAGAGTGCGTAGTCCGGAGGGTTGGTTGATTAATCGGTTGATAAGGGCTGTGTCCGAAATGGATCCCTAACCCTTATATAGGCGACTATATGGGGGTTAGCGCCATTTTAAGGGGTGTCCGATACCTGAGTGAACAATTCCAACGCCCCATATAGGCGACTCAAAATCTGATCTGTTTTATCCTTAAGTGATATGGTCTTAAAAACAACATCAATTATAGGGCCGCACAATTAATCGCTTAAAAATGATTAATCGTTTTTAATCGATTAATTGGATTATTTAATTATGACGATGTTTAAAAAAATTTAATCGTCAAATCCATTTTCCTCTCTATCATGTCTCGCACCTCCAGGCCACCATAGGCTCCTCCCCCTTCCTGCAGGAGCGCTGCTCCCCAGTTCCCACACACACCAGTGTAAACAAACATGGCGTTTTCAAAAGAAGCGATAATTTCGTGGTTAAATTGGACAAGAGCGAGTCAGTCGTGTGGAATTGGTACGACTTCACAGTTTCAGACGAAGAGTAAACCACTCCCCAGTGCAAAGTCTGTCTGAAGGCGGTATCAACCCGTCACCACGGAAACGGCGTTTCGGGTGACTGTAAACCGTACTTTGTGAAAATGGGTCAGAGAGTGTATAAATCCATAAACGACTACCATTTCATCTTTTATGGAGCCTGAGTGTGTCCGGCCAAAACAACCTTTGTACTCTGTACTCTTCTTCTGTCTTTTGTGCATTTCCTCTGCAGCGTCACAGCGCCACTTACTGGCTTGGCATATGAACCACATCATTTTCGGTGGTTTAGTTTTGAGAGATGATAGAAAAAGTTTTTATTAAAATGAAGTTTGGTGAAGTCACTGATTAAAAATTTGTGCAACCCTAATTGATAATAATAAAAGTATTTAGGTGTGTACTCATTTATTGTTTAATCAATCATATGGATTATTAAATAGAGACCATGCTCAGATGCTCTGCCTGTTTGTCTAGTATTGCACCCGTATTCGTTCTCATAATCTTAAATAGTTAGTCTGTGTTAACTAGTAATTGACTCCCTTCAAAGTTTAATTCTTCCATTTAATTTTCTCTTTTTGTTGTTTTTTCTTTTATTCTGCTAAAGGAACATTTTCATCGCAAACGTATCTGTGACTGTACGAAGCTAAAGTACACATGAGAGCTATGATTACGTGTCATTATCTCTTACAATTTACAATAGTTTGTCCCTACTTTGCATAAAGCCCATTACTGTGGTACCCATTATTAAAGTAAATAATGCCCACGCAGCTGTTATTAACAGATAAACAGTGCAGCAGGAAAGAAACTCGCTGCTGCTGCTGCTCAGAGGGACGGAAAAATGAGACGTTTCGCCTCGGCATTCGTTTTTTTGTTGTTAACAATCCACATCGAGACTTTAACAGCAGAATTAGTGGCTCTGCTGTCACTGGTATGAGACACAAACTCTGCGATGTTGACTGTGTGCATTGTGAGTCTCCACCCTATGGTGTTTATCACAGAGGACCTTTGTTGTCTTGAATAAATAGACATATTAGTGCGAGTCCAGAGTTCAGCCCACGCAGCCGTCCAGCCACAGGCACATGCTCAGTCTTCAAGGGAAAAATGTTCTCACTGCTCCAGCTTTTGGACAGGACCACCATGAGTCATCTGAAATATGAAAGCAACGGAAAGACATTAGGACTAAAAGTTTCCTCGCAGCCATATTTCAAAAACGACGCCTGCTTTAGCGGCGGGTCGAGTCAGTAATTGTACTTTCTCCAGAGTTAAATGCTGAGGAAAGCGTGCCGAGATACAATCAGTTATTCTCAAAAGCTGCAAATTCAAATTTCATCTCTCTAATTCCTGTTCGGACGACTTCCTCGGTACATAATGTGAAATAGGGCGTGAGTTTCCCTGCACTCAGTGGTTATTAACAAAGTCCCAGTCCTACATCTGCTTGGAAAATACCTGTGGTGTCTCCATCACACCCTCCCTCTGGAGATGTGACAGTGGGCTGAGCTTTTTATTTCAAGAGCTCACCACCACCGCCGCCGCCGCCGCTGCACCAGTGGGATTTGTAAAGTCGAAATCACAAAGATATCTTCTTCTTCTTCTTCTTCTTCTCCCCCCTCAGAAATATGAAACTCAGAAAGAAATAATAATCTGGAGGATTTCTGCAGGGTGAATATTTTAGTTGCCAGGCAACAGTTGTTGGCATTCAACTGAAACCCCTCAAGTAAAAGGAAAAACGGCGAGAGAGGCGAAAGGGTTGTGGGGCGCGTTTGTGGCAAAAACGTCGGAGTGAGTGGATCAAAAATAGGCTGTATGGACAAAATGGCAATTTCCCCTCTATGCCTGGAGTGGGTTTGCTGTTTTGATAAATTGGCCCACAAGCAGGACAGTTGTTTACCAAACCAAGGCCGTCTGAAACAGCAGGCGCCACGATTACTGGGATCAGAGATGACTCTTAACTTTCATTTCTTCTCTCTAAATTTCCGACAGTGTGTTTTTTAAATGTTGTAAAGCTGCCGTTGATCGCTAAAACACAGGGAGTCTGTCATTTTCTGCTCTTCACACGGTTCGTTGTGATGTGGCGTCCTCACACAAACAAACACCCTCCACCCTAACCTTCTCTCACCGCCTCAGTTTTGTTTCGCTTTGCTTGTCCGTCTTTCGCTCTCCTCGGCCATTAGCCCGCCTCTCTCTGCCCTCTGGCGACACGGTGAAGAAGTCCGTGACATTGATGCAGGATTTTCCTAACACGGATCCCCATCTAAGCCCATTTTCCTCCTCAGATTGGAAGTTGGGATATTTATAATCTCGGGGCACCAGCTAATGGTATTTGCAGAGCGAAATCAGTTTAGTGCGTGTTTCCCGTAATGGCCTCGCCTGCGTGGCATTGCCGGCGGCTCTGTCTTGAACGGTGGAGGGATGGCCCTAATTTGGGCTAATGGGTGACTCAGCCGTCATCATCATGTGTCCCTTCGGTGGGCTGCAGATGGCTGGTGAGGCATGGGTGCAGCGGCGGAGCCCCCGCCGTACACACCCAGAACAATACGATGCATCAAGTCAGTGACACATGCAGCAAACACAAACGTTTGGAGAGTGGCGCCGAGCCGGCAGAGAGCGAGGAACGCGAGTAGTCGGGGTATGAGTGCACAAAAAAGAGAGGAAGAGGTTAATGAGCGGCCACGCTAATCGAATCATTTGTCATCAGATTAGATTAATGCATTGAACTTCCCCTCGGGCGCTCATCTAGAGAGATAACCACGACTGTGCGAGGCCCAGGTATCAAATAGCTGTGAAATGATAATGCATGCTAAGTGACTGCTCGCTTTTGTTCAAACTCCGCTTATCAGCACATGCTTGAAAATACAGACGGGGCGAGCAAATCACCGTGGAAACTGGAACTCAAGGTGGGTGCTACCCCCGCCCAGGTGTGCGAGATGCCTGGATCTCTGGATATGCAAATGTGGCGAGCGAGTCGGTGGATCCCCCGGCGGGGCAGCATCTGACTGAGGCCGGGCTGGAGGAGTGCTGCAGTGGCTAGTTTACATTCCACAGAGTCGGCTAAGCTTCACCACCTCTGCTGTGCTTAGACTTGCACACACTAACACACACAGACACACACAGACACACACATGCATAAGCTGATACATTTGCAGTTTCTCTGAAAAACAGTGATTTCCTCCACTATTACCAAATTCAGGTACCTCCACGGCTCCGTCACTACACACATAACAAGGACACAATCATATCTCATCTCCCATCAGACATGCAGGCAGATAAACAAACCACCTCATCTGTACCACCTAACCCACCCACCCCCCCTTCAATCCCCAAGTAACCTTGGCAACAGCGTCACTTTGCTTCATTGCAGTGGAGGACAGCGGAGGAGGAGAGAGAGAGAGGGAGGGAGGGAGGGGAGGTGATGAGAGGTTGCAGTGCGGAGGAGTTGGTCCCTGGGGAGGAGCCAGCCAGTTTACAACAGTGGAGAGGAGAATAGCCCCCCCAACACCCCCACCCCCCCCTCCAGAGACCCATTACCAGAGGTCAGAGCGCTGGTCTCAGGATGGCTCTGCACAGGCATCTGCGTGCAACCTGTCAAAAGATGGTCTTCGTGACCTGAGTACATATGGAGGGCACGCCTGAATGGCGAGGAGCTCACTGGTGTCCACTGGTGTATGAGGGACAGGAAGGTTAAGGACAGATCTTTGCAGATTCTGCATTTTTTATATCTTTATTTGAACGGAGCAGCTGGACCAGGTTTATCCAAGACCCCCGAGAGTCTGGGTTTGATTCAGCGGCGATGCAGCACACCTCGTTGTTGTTCCTCAAACGTGCTTTGACTTGTTTTTGTTATTTTTCTCAATCATCAGCTGACTTTAAATTGAAACATCCCCCCATGTTGTTAATAACTTTATTTATAAAGTACTTTTAAAAACAGAAGTTTACTAAGTGCTTTGACAACAGTCGTTAAGCTCAGAACATCAGCACATGAAAATAAAAAGAAAAGCTCAGTTAAAAACAAGACAGTTTCATTTTTCATAAGAAACTCAGACAATACAAGAACCCTACAACATAAAATGAAACCATGAGGACCAAATAAAAACATAAAATAGGTAAGAAGAAGAAGAATGAAATAGAAAAGGAGGGCAGAAAGCAGGAAACAGGATAGTAAATATAAAAGAGGATAATAATAATGATGATACAATCATAATAAAATAATAATGATCGTAATATTAATGATCAATAAAGGACCTAAAAGGTAAAATAAGAAAAGATTATAAGTAAAGCAAAGGCTGAAAGGATAGTATAAAAAAAGTGAGTTTTTAAATTTGACTTAAAAGAAGCGACTGTCTCTGCTGTTCGCCTTATCTCTTCTGGCAGGTCGTTCCAAAGTCGAGGAGCTCTGATGGAGAAAACTCTATCGCCTTTCGTTTTGAGCCTCGACTTTGGAACGACCAGGAGGCCTTCGCCAGAGGATCTGAGGCTGCGAGTCGGCTCATAAGGTATTAAAAGCTCTGAAATGTAGCACGGAGCGAGTCCTTTAAGCGTCCTTTATTCTCAGTAACAACATTATATCACCCCAATGCATGAGAGGTGAAGGTCAGCTCACCTTCTATAGAGAGGCGTCTTGGTCACCATCTTGGAAACGCTCAGTTCACCCGCCTTACCGTGCGCCTAGCAACAGCCAAAGAAGTGGCCCATCGGTCAGCTCGGCCATATTCCTCATTAAAGTCTCATTAATGACACACTTGGCATTAATTAGCGGTAAAGTTGCTGTTTTAATAATTAACAAGGTAAACATGGATCACGCTGAATTAAAAAAATAGATTTACAGAGATACAAAGAAACGGAAAATTATTGCTGTCCTCACTCAGAAGTTACCATGGTAACTGTTGGATGGAGGCCTGAGTGTTATGGCAGTGCTTCACACACACACACACACACACACACACACACACACACACACACACGCACAATATAAACTCATATATATTTGTTTCTTCCCCAAATGATTATTACATAAAAACACAGCAAATTGCGTTTATATGATTAAACTACAAATCCTGTTTTATGGCCAAAATGAAGTTTATAAAATGAAACAGATGGGAATATCCGTTTATTATAATAATAATAATATAAAACAAAGCAACATGACGTACTGTTTGAACCCCAGAAATCAGATAGTGTTGTTGTTTGTTTATATGAAATAATGGACGTGTATTCTTCACAGACGGTATGTGACAGTGAGCATCCGTTGCTACGCGTTACAGTGTTTGATCCTCTGTCCACACAGTGTCGTTAATGAATCTTCGTATTCAGAGCAGCGGGATCCGATGTTCTTTATATGTAAGCCTGCGCAGATTCAAAGGCAAACACGCTCCCTGGTACATTTCATTTGTTATGGGGGTGGACACAGTCGTAAACAATATTAAAGCTCCACATTAAATCCCAGAATTCACATCTTTGCTTATTTTTCTGTCTGACCCAGAGAGATGCTGATCCAACTCTGCAGCGTACATCTGGTATTTGATCAGAAAACGGCTCATTCTTGATGATATAACGGAGTCCAGTTCAACACTATTGAGTTTTTCACTGCAGAACTGACTCAGTACCTGTAATGCAACCTTCACTGAAGCAGACGTATTGCAGGGTTGTTGCATTCGGTTGCATTAGATATCACAGATTGCGCTCGCCTCCTGACAACCTTGAATCATAATATTTGACTGTGCGACGTGGATGATTCTCTTTGTTTCACACGACTGGAAATGATCAGTTTGAAGTTAATTGGCAAGTTAGGTTGAGTTTAGTTTGAGATGAGATATTGAGTCGACTGAATGAAATGTCAGCCCACTTTAATACGGACACACAAGCAGGAAAGTGGAGGTGGGCGGAGGATGTACGAGTATTTACGAGCCATTACTAAATACATCCCACATCTGCATCCTCTCAGATTAATGTTGACGGCTGAGATGAAGAGAACGGTGCATATACTTAAAGCTTTATCCTTATGTTTGCTCAGCTTCAGTGAAAATAAAGCAGCCTGTGCCACAGCGCTCGCATGTGTGCATGTGCTCAGGATGATGTATGTTATTGTGATCATGTGTGGTCTGAGCCGCGCACGCCTGAGTACACATGGGCTGCGCGGCGAGTCCTGCCTTCCCTCCCTCTCCCTCGTTCGTTCGTTTCGCCCCCGGCTTTTCCGATGGAGCCACTGGAATCAAATCAAATCAAGTCAAACTCATTTCATGCCCCCCCAGTGCACACCTCACTCAACATCCCCACCCTCCGAGGAATCCCACTGACGTCTGCGGCACCAACAGAAATATAAGATGACATTTAGGGAGCGTGTAAACATCCAGCTGAGAGCACAGGAGGACGACACAGAACACATGCACACACAAACACACGCACAAACACACACACAAGCGTTTCTATGTAAAGATAATTCAAAGCTGTGGCAAATGACAGGTCGTGCACATTATGTTCCTTCCTCCCTACCCCTGTGGTCCCACAATGCCTAGTTGAAAGGACCTGTAGCCCAGCATGTACATCCTTCTTTTCTTTCCCCAGGAGACAGCATATAATGAGAAAGCCCCATTATGGGTCCAGCAGGAGCCTGTGTCTCTGCTGCATCTGCTGCCGCCGCCGCTGCTGCTGCTGCTACAAAAGTTACCCGTGAGGTCTCTCTTTTTGTTAGTTAAGGGGAAGAGCAGCGGCAGTCGTTCCTGGCTCCCTGCTTGTTAGCCAGCAGTAATGACTAGGCTGTGGGGAGCCAGGCTACCGGGCCAAGGCGCTGGGAGTCTGTTCCCCTCTGCTGGCCCTCAGCTCAGCGACAGGAAGGGGAATACAAGCAGACACCACAGAGGACACAGTGGGTGGATCAGATCCGACAGACTGAGGAGGGAAAGAGGAAGCGGGGTGGGGGTGGGAAGGGTTTTACCTCAGGATGGACCAGACTGGACCAGAAAGATCCTGCTAGACTTTCCTGTTTATAGATCTGGCATCACATCAATGCGGACTTGGTACAAGACGTGCCTCTGAGGTTTCTGAGGTTCTCCAGTGTTAAGAATATCCGAGCCAAGCCGTCGTACGAACCAGGAAATTTTGGAAAAGGCGAGGTCCTCCTCACTCGGGATTCTCCTCACAAAATCGAAAAGACAAAATACGTCAAGATTTCCTCAAACAAATGAGTTTCACAGTCGAGCCGTCTCCATGATTTCACATGTTGGTTCATGTCCAGATGGTTTCTGATTATCTCTGATTGCCATGATGTCTGTTCATTCTGTATGTTAATGCGTGAGCAGATCTGCAATTCAGAGGGGGACGCAGGAGCCACCTGAATCACAAAGAGCACTCTGCTACAGTGGTTTAAAGACGGGTCATGAGGAGAACCAGTGTGGACGTCAGGAGCTGAGAACTGTGGATAAAGATGTTAAAAAACCTGATTCTGATTGGTCAGAATTCAGTGTACATTGAGTGTATTAGAGACCCACCAATCCAATCCAATACTGATACCTGGGTTGAGCGTATCGGCCGATATCCGATACCAATCCAATACTACTGTTGAATGGCTTGACATTAGCCTTGTTTAAAAAGGTAACAAATTTAAGGTCCTTACACACCGGGGCCGACGCAAATATAGAATGCGAAATTACAAAATTTTCCCTGGAAAAGTCCCGCCTCCTTCGCCTCAGATTGGCTAGAAAAACTGGAAATGTCATCACACACTCAAGCCAAACGGTCAGCACTTATAGCCAATCAGAGGCGATAAGATAAACGCACGGTAACAACCGTTAGCTTACGTTAGCACAGACGAAAGTTAAAACAAAGACGTTTATCAAACTGTTAAAGCTCACAAACCATCGTCATATGAGAAATTCGACGCTACGACTCTCTTGTAGCGTCGGTTTAGTAACTCTCCACAAGTCGTCCTTCAGGTCGTTATCTTTGTAATGTTTGTGTCTTTTATCAAAAATCACTCTGTTCTCCGACCTGTAAACAATCAGCCGGTCGGCCATGTTGGATATACCGGTGAATAAGACGTCGCAACAACACGCAATCTGATTGGTCAGAAGTGGACACACAGTATGCGAAACTTTAGAAAAATGATCATGATCCGAAAAAATGAATGCTGCAATATCGCAGGACGGGAAGAAGTCGCTGATGTGAACGCTTGTATTGACAGGATCGTCCGAAATAATGCATGACAGAAATGGTCCCGCTGTGAAAGGACCTTAACACAGATATAAATTTACTTCAAATTATTTATTAACAAATAACAAATTACACATTAGCACACAGCGAAAAGAAGTGAGACTTCCATGTATTAAAAGAAAAATTAATGAAAAGAGAAAAAAGACTGGATCGGAACGCTGGATCGGCGTCAATCATTTGTCAATATCAGAGCCGATATCTGATCCAAATATTGAATCGGTGCATCCCTACAGTGTACTGTTTATGATTTCCCTTTTTACTGTTAATAATGAGACCAAATCTTACCCCGGGGCAGCATGGGTGAACATTATTGGGGTGTTTTCATTTTGAACATCTGACCTGCTCTTCATTTGTTTTAATTTGCATCATGAACGGCGAGGAAAGGCCTCTTAGCGACCACGGTCCAAAGGAAGAGCCATTAGGAGAACCCTTGTACATGTCAGGTGGTAATTACCGCGCAGATAAAGATGCTATATGGAGAGTTAATGTGCAGCGAGGCTCATGAACAATACTCAGTATGACGGACTGAATCTCCAGGACACGAGTGCAGTTTGGTCCTCAGAGCCGATTATGAAACCATCAATGCCGCCTGAGGGTCAGATTAGCAGCGGTTGAAGCGTTTGTTGCTCAGCTCGGCGTGTATCAATAGATGTGACGGGAAAGTTACTGCGAGCCACGGCGAGAAGGCTAAAGGTCGGCGTGCGAAGAAAGGAGCGGTTTGCATCAGAGTGAATCTGTCTAATGAAATGAGAGCTGGAGGAGATGGAGATGGTTGTTATCTGTTATTATTAAACCACCATTCGCTCTCTAGTGCTTCAGCTCGCTGCTACAGTCTCCATCCTTTTTCATGGACCGTATGTGGAGAGCACTATTGTGTGAAGACTTACAAACAACATCTGCAGCGGTGGTGACCAGGCACTCCCTCAGTGCCTCGTTCTCCTGCCAAGCCCGCCCACGCTCCCTCTCATCTGCTCAGGCCATCATCCCTGCGCCTCCTTCCTCGCTGTTTCCACTGTCGTTGCCTCGCAGAAGACCCATCTTTTATCTGGGCTGTTGACTTAGCGCAGACCTTGCCGTTCTGGCACCGTGGATCCAGTCTCGTGGAGCAGAGCTAACTGCGATGCCCAAACACAAAAGGCGGTGCATTATTGATTGTGTTTATGATCTAACCTTGGTGCTCAGGAGGAGCTCTCCTTCTCTCTCCTCTTCCCCGTACCCATGCATAATTTCTCTTTTTCCTTCTTCTGGAAACTTTGAGAGTTTTTCAATCGCTCTGGCTACACCGTCCAAGTCCAGCTAATCATGGATTCTGGTTCAGGGCCCTGTCGAAGGCCAGTACTGAAGACGTAGACGATGTCTGTGCTGGAGTGAAAAGACAGAGTCCTCTTATAAATAGATCCCATCAATCAAGGGAGTGTCCTTCACTCGGCGTGCATTTGTCCCTCCAGTCCTGGAGAGAGAAATGCATATTCAGTCTCGAACAATGAGTGTCAGTCACGCCGCTGTCAGACAGACACATGACAGCTGGGCACAGTGGCTGGTTACACACTTGTAGAAAAGACGCTGCGAGCAAGTAAGTAAGTACGGGGTTGAAAGCCCCGTCCTAGCATGAGGGAACCAAACAGGTCCTTTCCAGGAGGTGGATTATTGGATTTCCCTGCAGAGTCCAGACAAGATCTTTGAGACAGCGGACAAGATGTGCATGAAAAACAGCCTACTGTGCCTGATATACTGCTATAACGTCCAATAGAGAAAAATGGTGGACGTTTGGTGTCCTAGGGCGAGATGAAGGACACGGTCGTCCCCATAGGACTTCTCTCAGCTGGTCCTCTCAACCAGAAGGAATACTGTGTGTCATTGGCGTGTTATTGAGACAAAGATACAGCTGCTCCCAGTTGGATCACGGCGCTCCACCACCACCGGTTGAAGCGTTTAGTCTCTCCTCTCACTTTCAGCTTTCGCAAAGTCACGTCATTTCATGTAAACTCCTGTGCAGACTGCGCCGAGTATAAACAAGAGAGAAGCGCTCCCGTTTTGGAGCGATGCATGATTTCATTTCTCTGTTTCCCTGTGTGGGAGACGGAGTAGTAAACGGAGGGATTGTGTTTGCAGGCGTGATTGCATCAGCTAAGCGGTAGCACAGCCTGGCACACATTGTATTGAGTTTTTTCATCTGCTGTTAGTCAATGTGATTTGGGCAACAGGTCCTGCTTAGTGGCAAAGGGCTTGTAAAGGAGCAGAGCGGTGGCTGTTTTTTTCTTTTTTGAGGATCTGTTGATAATATCCAGGAGAGACATTGTGCCGGCGTTTTCTCTTAATCACATTAAGGTCACTTCATTCCCCCGAAGTGAGTCTGTGTTTTTGTCTGAATGAGATTTAATCTGTGTTTTATTTTTCCAACTTATTGTCCTCCAGAGGAATGCAGAGTTGAGCCATTTAGGACCGAGTCCACGTGACTGCTCTAAAAAAAACCCTGGTTATGGAAAACCACAGAGGGAACGTTTGCTCTGTAGCCTGTAATTTTCAGTTTCATTACAATAACAACCAACGGTATCTGAGAAAGTGGAGGCTGAATGTAGTGAATGGGATTAGTGTTTTTGTCAAAGAAGGAAACTCTCGAAGAAGAAGAAGATCGGATTGTTTCCCGCAGCAAGAGAAGTAACTCTAGTTGAACTCCCTCGACAGTTCACATATTTACAGTCATATAAAAGATGTTCTCAATGAACTACATTTATTCAAAAGGCACAGAAACTTCAGGAGACAACGGTGAAAAGAGTCCAATTTATTTAACATGAATAAATAGGGCTGGGCGATATGGCCTCAAATCAATATCAGGATATATTGATCAGTTCACTTCCACTATGATAAATGGACAATAACTTCTCCACAAGCTGCTCACCCCCTCCCACATTAACTTCGTCTACTTCAGCCGCTCCAACTTTTGAACCGTCCTCCATCTCCTCACCTGTCTTTCCCTCTTTGTTACAGACTGGATGGGGTGGAGTCACGTCTCTGACGTAGGACAGCCTCTTAAAGGGACATGAGACCATAGCTTACCTACACACATCCAAAAACAACTTTGATTTATTTATTTTTTTTGGCACATAAAATATTGACATTGGCAAAATGATGTCGGTTATTGTCGTAAATTTAGGTATCGGTAAATTTTCAGTTTATCACCCAGCCCTATGGCTAAGCATGGGATCAGATCAGAATATTGTGCTTATTAACATCTGTGTAGTCCTGCATTTTGGCTCTATGTAAACAACCACTGATGGAGCTATAACCTCAGCTAGGGCTGGGTGATAAACCGAAAATTTACTGATACCGACATTTACGACAAAAACCAACATCATTTTGCCCATATCTGTATATTCGGTGTGAAATAAATAAACAAATCAAAGTTGGTTTTGGATGTGTGTAGTTAGGCTATGGTCTCATGTCCCTTTAAGACGCTGTCCTACATCAGAGACGTGACTCCACCCCATCCAGTCCATAACAAAGAGGGAAAGACAGGTGAAGAGATGGACGGTTCAAAAGTTGTAGCGGCTGAAGTAGACGAAGTTAATGTGGGAGGGGGTGAGCAGCTTGTGGAGTAGTTATCGTCCATGTATCGTTATCGAGGTGAACTGATCAATATATCGTGATATCGATTTGAAGCCATATCGCCCAGCCCTAGCTTAGACACAACATTTCACAGCCATTTCAGTCCTACATTAATAAAAACCAACTAGTAATAATGGTGATAACTTTAAGTGCTGAAAAGATTAACACTCAGGTCACATCAGGTCTGAAGATCCAGAAATTAAAGGCAGAAGAAGAGGTGCGAAGCTTTAACCAACGTATTTTAACTTGAAAAGCTGAGTTAAAACTCTAGTAATGTCTGACTAATCTCCCACCAAACTCTGTTTCATCTAATCCCCCTTGAATCCCAAACATCACTAAGTAATTTCTCATTAAGTGAGAGCAAGAGTATTTAACGATTTCAAACAATCCTGACCTAAAGCAAAGCAATTAAACGGAAAATTCAGTGCGAGCTCGCCCCCTGTCTGTTCCAGGCAGGTCCCTGTGGGTTCGGGGCTTTAATGTCAAGCTCTAACAAAAATTTGTAAAGATGGGGAAGAGGAAACGGAGTTAAAAGGAAGGCAGGCGAAGGCAGAATAAAGCAATCGAAAGTGGAACAGAGAGTTGAGAGGAGGACAGCAGCCAGGCAGGAGCAGGGCCACAAAAACACCCATCTCAAGTTGTCAATTATTAATTTCGTAGTTGGCTTTAGTGTTATTCGTGCGAGTCGCCGCTCCATCAGAGAGGCCAATACGGACAGACCATCGCATGCAGCTGTGGGCAATTTCCAGTTTCTCATTTCATCTCACATGCACGTCTTTGGAGTGTGGGAGGAAACTGGAGCACCTGGAGGAAACTCAAAGAGAAGAGCAAACACAGAGGGCGAGGACGATACGGAGAAGAACAGAGCTGGGAGTCAGGGGGTTTCTCGCTGGAAGGCTGACTATCGCTGAGCAGCCAGACCCGGCGCCCCAAGAGTTGTCTTTTGAACGCAATAAAGCGAGGACAAAGAGGAGCTTTAAAGCGAGAGAAAGGAGCGTTTTAAAAACACAATGATGAACGGAGCGTTTATTAAGAGGGGGGTTGTTGTTTTTAAGGCCGTTTTAATTCTTCTCGGATCAAAAGTGAACCTGCAGTAGGAGGAGAAACATGTCGCCTGTTTCTGCTGATGTGTTTCTGCAGGAATTTAAGGTCACGGAGCAAAAGCTGGAAGACGAGAAGAGAGAGAGAGGGAGAGACTACTGCTGTTTATAGAACTCCCTCTCTGTATTAGTCAGGACTCGGGCCCTCGGGGAACACTCTACATCACTCCTTCTGTCTGTGTCTACAGCCGCCATCTTTCTTCCCATTACCACCACTCTGCTCCGCACTCGTCCTCTCTCTCTCTATTTTTTACTTCTTCTTCTCTTTTCTCGGTTTTCTTGTCATCCATTGTGCCGTTTTATTCCCCCCCTTTTCCCTTCATCGTTCACGCTTGGCCTCGGAGAGGACACTTTGACTTGTGGCGGCGGCGGCGGCGGGGGGGCTACTCTCGCCTTGAGCCACGCTTTAATGGGAGTTAAGCGCCGCCCGTAAATTCTGTGGCGGAAGATGAGTGAAGTAGGGAGTGTTGACGAGTTGAGGTGCGCCGCTTATTGTGTTGGAAACGTAACTTATTGCACGAGAGACCGCCGAGCCCCCGCTGTTCTCGTCAATCTCTGCTTTTATTGGTCGATTGCAGAGGGACGTCAGGATAATTTTTTTATCGCTGTCTTCCTCCGTCGCTCGTGTCCCTTAACTGCCGGCTCCAACCTCAGACAGTTTCCGTGTCTCCTCTCACTGCAGTGCCATCTCTGACTCTCTGCCAGGACCATCACTCCCTCTGTGGTTACGCTCGCTGCCATTTCGGCGCGATATCTGATACCTGAACAAAGACCTGATTCATGAGTCCAAGCTGCCGGGCATCCAGGCTGAACCTAGGAATGCGTATCGTGTCTGCGATAGGTGAACTAACTAGACAATCCAGCGTCTCATCATCATCATCATCATCATCATCTGTCTCGTGGTTTTCACTGAAATGACAGAATTGTAATCAGGATCTGAGTCTGACCACGTCCAACTTTCACAGGTCTGATTGTAATCTGAGCAGAATCTATATTCAGTGGATCTAGGCCTATCACATCATGCGCTGGTGCATATTTCTATGATAAAAATCTCACAATTTAGCACAGTCTAACACACACACACACACACACCTCTCAACGTCTCATTTTCTTCCATCATCCCTTTCTCTCTCTCTCTCTCTTTTCCTCCCTGGTGTTCGGTCGGTCAGTCATTAAGGCCTCTTTTAAGTGACTGAGTAAAGGTCGACACCCTCTGTATGGGGTCACCTCAAGACCCCCAACCCTCCCTCCCTCCCTACCTTCTCTTCTTGAGCTCATCCCGAGCAACCCGGGCCGTGAAAGGTCAGCCGTCATTGGGACTCATTACGAGGAAGTGAAACTGGAACAGACAAAGAGTGTGTGTGTGTGTTTCTGTCTGTCTGAGTGTGTGTGTGTGTGTGTTTCTGTGTGTGTGTGTGTATCCAGGTAGATGGATAACTCAGACCTTGAGCGTCTCCTTCTCTGTTTCTGGCGAATAATGATGGTCACGCTTCTCTTTAGCTCGCTCTCTCTCAGGCGTTCTCCTCACCACTGCTGTGAATAAAACAAATGATCAATTTGTAATGATGCTTAGTGCCACAGTGTCCCCCTCACACACACACACACACGCACACACACACACTCGGACACTTAATGTCCCTTTGGCTGTGGGCATGATGCATGCAGCTGCTTGAGTGGCATTGACTCTTGCTCTTTTCTCGAACACGCACACACTCGCCGTCGCAGAGCCAGTTCATCACCCTCACTGACACGCTGAATTTACAACGCCGTCCTTGACCAGGACTGAGTCCCCGACACCCACCTTCACTCATCAGGAGACAGATTGGGTCAGCAGGTGGGGTCCCAGGTCCGCCCCGGCCCCCTTCTGATTTCATTTGGACATAAAAAGTCATAAAGGAGCGACCCGATTGGTTCCTTTTTACTGCTAATCATGTGTCCCTCCGCCCCAATTAAAAACTTGTTTGCATAAACCGCCAGTGCAAACATCCTCACACACACACTCTGGGCTGGTAAGGTGTGTGTGTGTAAGTGTGCAGTTCTTTTTTTGTGCGTGCGCGTGCGTGTGTGTATCCTGCTGTCAGCGAATTCTCCACAGAGATAACCTTGAAGGAGAGGCGGTGTGCTTAGCCCTGATACCGAATGCCAAGCTGCAGCAGGCTCAGCTTTTGCACGCCTAGAACTTCTCTTAGACCTTTAGCCACTCCTGCGAGACTTAATCCCAAAGTTGTGATGATGTGGGCTGACTCCGGCGCTCAGGTGGCGGCGGCGGCGGCGGCGCTCAGATAGTTGCTACTCAATAATGAAAGTGTGACACGGTGTACACACACAGCTCTCTTTGAAAAGAGCTGACAGGTATTTGATTTTTATACTCTCTGGTCGCCATGATTTATAGATCCTCCTCAAGTCCTTTATTTCGGCGCTCTTCTGTTCATCCTCGGTTAGAGTCAGAAACCTGAGCCGTGTAAGGACATCATAACTGACATGTTTGAGTTGGAAATAAACAACTGAATTAACATTTAATTAACTTGACCTGAATTAACATCTAGTGAGGTTGCTGTAGGTTCTCATCCCTCCAGGTCATGGTGATTTAATTCTGTATTAAATAGAATAGAATAGAATAGAATATTCCTTTATTGATCCCCCATGGGGGAAATTTTTTTGTCAAATTTTTTGTTAAAAGGGCGAATGTTCTTGTTTGAGGTTCTTGAAGATGTTTCTTCTCTCTTCTTCTTCAGTTTTTACAAGACTGGAGACAAAGTTGGACATTTATGACCTCTGTTGGCGTCCACCCGGGCATCGTTAGCAGGGAGCACTTCTTATAATTCAGCTTTAGATTCTACGCTTTCAGGCTGGATCACAGGCTCTTACATCATGCAGGTACAGCCAACCTGAGGAGGCTCAGGAGGTCACGCCCCTCAGGTGAAACTAGGTCAATAACTCTGTAAACAGCAATGCGTGTTTATTGGACCATTATTATTGTTTTTATCCCGAGACAGTTAAAAAGTCGGGGTACAAAAGTGACAAATCTGTGAGATGAAAATGAACTGTGATACCTTCTTCAAACAGCAGAGGGCACTCTTTTGTTCACTATTAACATTTTCTTAATAATAGAGGCGCGAGTGAGCGTCCAAAGTAGCATGTTCTTTTTTATTCATGTACAATTTCAATTTTTTTTTACTAAACTAGTCAGAGTTTGTGCGTCTCGTATCCCCAGGAGTGTCCCGATACAACTTTTTGACTTCCGATACGATACCGATATTGTAGCCTTCAATATTGACAGATACCGATATTGATCCGATATTGGCACAAACTTGTGCTTTACAAGTTTTTCACTCAGCTGTAACGTCTTTTTTGGACTTTAACGAAAAATACCACCACACAGCCGACATCACTCCTACTCCTCTCTGCTTTGTTCGTACCTTTGTACACTCTGTTGTTGTGATCACGTGGTTTCTGCATGCTGGATCCAGGTGCTGCTAAAAAGAGGTGCCGGAGTGGAGTCTGGAATGGACTGCTTGTATCGCAGTGCTGAAATTTGAGATTTTAGATGCCGGCCGATATAATCTGCTCTTCGATTATTGGCTGATATCAGACAGATATCTGATATCAATATCGTATCAGGACACACCTATCTGCAGGTAACAGAGACACTAAGAGTGATCATGTAACTTCTTATCTTGGCATTTTTATTGACGAACATAACCGAATGATCATGTCGAGTTATCTGTTCTGCTTATCGAAGTAACCTAAAACCAAAATGTCTAAAAAGCGACACTTAAGTGATGAAACTATAATTCAAAGTATTTTTAAAACCTCCAAAAACCTGATGGAGTTCCTGAACGCAGCTGAACTTTATCCTGAACGCAGAGTTGACTGAATCATTTCATGGTAAACGTGTGTGAATGTTTTGGTTTTTAAAAGAGACATAAAACAGGATATAAATTAAATTTGTTCTTAGCTCACCTTCATGCCCTGCTGATTATATAAATCCATTTTAAGCTTCTTCTAGTTCTCTTGTTATTAAAATATCGTGGTTATTCATGCTGCTCACTGTGACTACATCTCTTTGTCTTTGTGTGTCGATATTAAATCCTCTCCATTTAATTTAAACTCAAACATTTGAACAAAAGAGAGCGATGAAGACTTTTCATGTGTAATTGGTGTGTTCTCGTAAACGTTCTCTTTATTTCAGACCAGTTCAACTCTGTATACTCTCCTCGGGGCTCGACCTTGATGTCCTCCTCTGATTTAGTTGTAATACGTTCGTATTAAAGTCCTCCACAGTCGCTGCTCTGCTCTCCATCTCTCCGCTTTCTTCTTCTTCTTCTCCTCCATTTAGCGTCAGTTAATGGACTTCTCCACATTCAGGTTGGAGATGTTATGAAGTAAACAGCAGCTCATGAAATATTCACCACTCAGTCAGGGTGTATGTCACACTCTGCATGCATGTGTGTGTGTGTGTGTGTGCAGTCAGGCGTACCTAACCGAGCCAGGTGACTCCCGCGCACACTCGCCCTCAGGTACACACATGCATATGAAAACGCTCGGGGCGCCCCCGGAAAGCAACGGGTGTCTCTGCATCTCAGCTCTGAGCCAACTGAGATGTGAAAAGGAGCCGTGGGAGTGGGAGCACTTTGCTGCTGGATGAGTCAGACACTCGCTGATATTCATATTGATTAAAAAAAAACAGAGTAGGACTCGTTTAATTAGAATTTTGTTGTTGTTAAGAGTGGAAGGGGAGCAAACATTTCAGGTTACACTAATTCAGCCTCCAACATTCGTCACCGCCGCCGCTGTTTGATTGAGTCTGTTTTAAATCCCTGATCCTCTTGTGGTTCTGGTCTTAGTACTTGTATTTTGAAACGTGTCCCGCTGTGTTCCCGACTCTCGTGTCATGTGTCCTCTGAGAACTGGGTTAGAGGCTGTAAGGTTGCAGCTTTGAATCCCCAGACCAGCTGAGAAAATAGGCAGGAAAGCAGCTCATTTTCCATTGGCTGGAGAGAGAGAGTGGCAGCAGCGGCGGCGGCGGCGGCAGCAGGCTGCTTTCAGGTGGAAATGAGAGTAGCTTTATGGCTATAAAGGCGGCCGTTTATCAGGAACAGCTTGCTCAGCAAAGCATCGCTGGATAAATAATGGTTAAAAATGGCTGCCAGAGTTGAAGTTGATGTTTTTCCTGCTGATCTTTTGTAGTTCAAACACCTGCAAACGTCTTCCCCTGATACTGAGTCAGACTCCTCCGATAAAACCGCTCGTATACTAAGAAGAAAAATTACAGCTATAAATAATGTAATTTCTCCCATTGGCATCCTTGTAATGCCGCTGAGCGACTCCACCTGATGCCCCTGCACCTGCTGCTTCCTGCGCCGTGAGGAGGAGGAGGAGGAGGAGGAGGAGGAGGAGGAGGAGAACATCTTCGAGTTACACCCACTTCTGCAAGAATGAAGATGTGAAGTGACACACACATGTGGTGTATATGACGCTCCTGTAACCTAAACTGTCCCGGCTCCATGCATAATGCAGCGGCTGACTTCATCACTGAGCGTATTCGCCAGGAGAGCGGAGCGCGTTGATGAATGACCTCTGCTGCAGCCTGAGTCACGCTGGGGGATGAACCAGCAGGACCTGAAGCGGGTCGTCTCTGCTGCCCCCTCAGGGTCCTGCGTGTCGCTGCAGCACAGTCCCACATGTACCAAATTACACTCGCCCTCACCTTCCTGTCGCGGCAAGGTGAGGGGCGCCACGGGAGAAGGGCGGTGCTTGAAACACAAGGTCGAGAGGATGATTTGGAGAGTACGCTGCGGAGACCAGGTCCAATTTGTGAGCAGGAAGGTCCTCTTCTTCTTTTCTTTTACAAAGGTTCGAGGTCCTCGAATTCAAAAGAAGTAATGACATATTTGATTTTGTCCAGATTTGTCCAGACCTCACAATCACGCTCCCACTTAACTCCAAATCTGAAGAGGAAAAGACAGAATAAAGAGAGAAAAGCTGTCCCGCCAACTTCTCTGAAACCCCGGTGTCAGCAAATCTGTCACACAGCCCGACTTATTGTGCCACAGTGGGACGCTTCTATATTTATTATAGTGACATCATTATAATTTCTATTATTTATAATGCCTGCTCCTGGTGAGTCGGAGGCAGATAGGAGAGGTTTGAGAAAATGAAGTAATTCTTCGCGCTCATTTTCGCTCCGACTAAATCTCTGCTGGTTCCTGAAAAAAAAGAAAAAGCGCCGTTGAGAACAATTTTCTCTTTAATCAGGCCACTTTCTGCTGACACAGGGCTCAATGGATGTCTCCTTTTTCCTTTCTCTCAGTTGTGACACGCAGCAGTCTGAAAATATCAAAAGAGAGACCCTGAAAGCATTGCGGCGAAAAGAAATCCTCGATCCTCCTTTATCCTCGTTCTAATGTCTGTAAATGTAAAGACAGTTCTCGTGTTTTGACTCCTTTAAATAGACGCTCATCTTCACTAATGGTTCGCAGTGATTAACCACAGGTTCTGTTTGCTAACCCCCTCACACTTTCTGTGACCAGATTAGCTCAAAACGGTTCCACCCAATATCAGGCTGTATTTGCTTTTCCTATTAATAGAGCATTAGGCTGTGCAGCAATTCCACCCAAAGTGTGAGATCAGCAGTCTGCGGCGCCATTTCCAACAATCGAAAACCCATATTCATGACCTTTAGTGTGACGGATGGGTTTTTCAGCGGGCCTGCTATTTTATACCTGATTATGCGGATCGTTTTGCGTTGCCCTTGATGCTGATAGTGTTAGCTTGTGTTTCGAGGCTATTAAAGGGGCGTTTCAGCAATTAAGAGTCGGACAGAGAGACTCACACAAGACAAGTTTCAGATTAGATTGTCTGTTAAATGCCCCATAATTAAAAATCCAGGTGTTAGGTGTGTCACCTGGTTCATGAATCAATCATCAGGGTGATCATGTCAGGAGTAGATTTTAAGACACAAGATGATCGCTACATAAGAGCAATTAAAGGTGAGGTAGGCAGGATTTCGTTAAAGAAGCATCTTTTATGTGGTATTTATACAAAAAATCTTCTAACATCAGTCAATAGTTATTAGTTATTGATGACATTTGGTAATATATCGATATCTCTGTGTTCTCTTATGTCTGTGTCGTCAACATTTGAACATTTTTGAGCGGTCCGCTCTTTCTGACTGTAAACAAAGCCGTTCTCCACCTCCTCTAACCTGATTGGTTGTGAGGCAGACGCTGCTCCCCCGTGTCGTTCAGGAGCCCAAACAAAGTTAGCGTGCTACAATATCGGACAGTAGAAACCAACCAGAAAGTTCGGAAAGTTGTCTGAATCCTCCTTTGGCCACGACTGCCGACACAAGCAAGAAAACAAAGTAAATACCGGAGACTCTGGAGGAATAACGGGCGCTTAAAACGGAGGTAGACCGGACAAGAGCTAAAAAGCCGGGTCAACATAAACGATGGGGGACGCTTGGGGATCTTGGTGACCCTGTAACCTTTCTGCTTGACAGGTAAACCGCTTTAACAAAGTAAGACAAGTGTCTGTAACAGAAGTGTTTCTTGTCAAACGGACCTGCTGTAGCGTGTTGTAGCGCCATCGCTAAACTGTCCTCCCTCGGGTCCTGGACTATGTCCCTTTATCCTCGTTGTAGAAGTCCTGCAAACATTGTGTTTGCTGGTAGTCTGTTGGCATCTACAGTAGCACCAATGCTTTTGACTTTCACCTTGACTGGGCCCCATTTGTAATGATCTGAAGTATTTATCTGCATTATATCTGAATTTAATTGGAACGATACGAGCGAGCAGGAGCGTCTGTTTGTGGGCGGGGCTTGAGGGGAGAGGAGGAGCTGAGGGGAAAACTGGTTGGGAGGGGTAGAGTTTACATTCAAGATTTCTCTCCTCAGATCCTAAATGTGATCAGTCAATTCTTGACCTGATCCCTCGTCAATAATCAGTGATTTTTTTCTGCAGAAGCTCTCAGTGCACCTCTGAGTTGATGTACAGCTGAAGTTGATCACTTTCTTCGTCTTTTGCCTCTCTTATCTGCGATGATATCACTGAGTCGGACATTAGCAGTGAGGAGTTCATGTTAATTTCCCCAGAGTTGTGTTCATACATCAGTGATATACGACTGGCTTAGCTTGACTTTCAAGTAGAAGCACAACACTGGCCAGAAGTGTTATCTCCAGAAAACTCTCATATCCTATTTGGCAGCAGTTGCCTCATCCCACAGTTTTATATATATATATAAATATATAAATATATATATATGTCTCAGTTTTAGTCTACTGAACACAAACCTCATTACGGCTCCTCAAACACAGTGACAAGGGCTTTTTCTGCCTTTCTCTTAGTAAAGTCCCACTTGTGCATTAGCCGCTGAGTGCTGCCCTCCTGCAGCTCTTATTCTCCACAGTGAAACACAGCTCAGCACATCTCTGTGCCGCATGCATAAAGAGCCGTCCCGGTGTCAGCCTCGGTTAGCTGCGACAGGATCGACGGCGGCGAGGAGGGGACGTCTGTGCAGATTTTAATAATCCTGCATCATTTAGTATAAGGCGAAGGAGCGATGGTCGCCCCTCGCTGTTTGAGCGGTCTGAGCGTCTGTTTTTTTTAAGTGTGAGGAGTCTCTGTGGAGTTACAGCAACACGCCATCATCAGTAAACACCATGTGCTGCTGTTAACCTACTTCTGTGCCTCATCAGAAACACTGCCACGTGTCAATCAACCCCACCGCCACAAAGTTTCCGATGTTTGGCGTTGTTCCAGCCTCCTGTGGTACACACTCACAGATGATAGCGCTCAAACTCACACACACTTATAGATGCCGAGCACTGACACACCTGCCAGTCCTCATCCCGTCACACGACCGGTCTTTGTTGGGGAGCTGACAGTGAAGGTTGCTTCATAAACCCGGCACGCGTCCATCCCCGTCTCCCCCGCTGCTCCGCGATGAAGGGAAGTGATGATCCAGGGATTTTTTTCATTCCCTCTGCTCCATTGAGCTCGCCGCATCACCTTGACAATGTTGCATCCTGTCACGAAGGCTTAGGGGATGGCAGCGGGCACTTTGAGGAGCGGGGAATGTTCGGGGGAGGTTTAGTCACCTCCTAACAAATCCATCAGCTGTTGGACTAAGTCCTGCTTTTACTGTTGGACGTGAGTCTGTGATGGCTGACATGAAATATATGTTTAGTTATGCTGCATGTGTTTGTGTGTCTGTTGTTCAGGAAGAACACATCACTTTGTTCATGTAAAACAGGTTTATTCTGATCAGTCCAGTCCAGACCGGGTCATTATGAGAGGACCAGTATCTGTGTCTCGGTCCGCTCTCCGCTCTCTGATGAACTGTGTTTCAGGCTCGACTCGCCTCCATACTGGATTTTTCTGTCAAGTTTGATTCCTGTCCGATCGCTTCAGTGGGTCCAGTTTGCTTTAAAGACTGTGGCTGTTGGTTCTGATGGTTTGAGTCGGGTCAGTCCTAATGAAAGGTTGTTCGTACGGCTGCAAAGGGGCGGAAAACTTCCAGAAACTTTCCAGAAACTTTCCATGGGAAGTAAAGCTGGAGAATTTTGGAAATATTCCAAATTGGAAACTTTTAATGGGAATTTTTGGTAGTTGGGGTTAATTTAAACAAACTGTATCATATTCTAACATAAATGTAAATATTTTTGTTTTGTCATGAGGAGACATCCATGAAAAAATAATACAATTAAAAAACGTGACACACATCAGAATATCTTACATTTAGCAACTATTTTTATTCAATTTTCTCAAGTTAAATATTAACACTATTATAGATCAAATATATTTACCCCATAATATTATCAAAACTTACTTGACTTTCTAGAGTTGGTGGACTCAAATGTCTTGTGCTCTGGGCTCCAAAGTGTGGCCTCCAGGGTTCAAGAAATCATCTGCACATGTGATGGAGGAACGCACAGTACATGTAGGGGGTGTGGCCTCAACAGCCCTGCAGTAAACAGTGTGATCATGTGATGGAGGAGTGGACTTGGATTATATCTGGTTGTTTTAGTCAAGATTATGCCACAAGATATTTTCACCAACTATATTTAAGTTCCTGTTGAGGGCCGACCTTCAATTTTGGACATTTCAGATTTATTCCCATTAATTCCTGTGGAAAGTTTCCAACTTTTTTAAATTTTGAAACCCTAGTTGTTCACAAACTAAACTATGACTTCATGGTGTCTGTCTTCACTCCTCTAATAGCCAATCATGAGGAGTCTTCAAAAGTCAAACCTCGATGTTTAACATCATCCTAAAATCATGTCTTCTCTGTTCCTTCAGGACACGTCTCTGATACAAGAACCATCTGGGACCGAAGGAGACAGCAGGTCTGCGAGGGACGGGTCGGTCAAGAGAGAGCCGGTCGGCGGGGACAGATCACAAACCCAGTCGTCGTAACACAAGCGTCCAATCATGGTGGCCATGCTTTAGCACGGAGAGGAAACGCCGGTTGATCGCTGGAGAAACGACCCCCACCAGTTCCTCACACACTCCTGAGCCACAAGCCGACACTCTCATCCGTCATTCGCCGTACGACGTCCCTGCAAAGATGCCGAGGTTGGCACTGTGGCGCTTGTGGTGACGGGGCACAGAGTGTGTGCGCTCATCCGGCGGGGGCAGGCCGGCAGGTTTGGTGGCTGCGCGGGCACACCAAGACGCGTTTTCAGAGTGGGCGAAGTTGAACCATGCGGCCCTGGGCGGGTTCATGGCGCTGGATTACCCTGGTGCTGTTGGCCTGGGGCACACTCCTCTTCTACATCGGGGGTCACTTGGTGAGGGACAGCGAGCACCCGGAGCGGTCCAGCAGGGAGCTCTCCAAGATCTTGGCGAAGCTGGAGCGGCTCAAGCAGCAGAATGAAGACCTGCGGCGCATGGCCGAATCTCTCAGGTAAGAGCTGTGTGCTGACGGTTACTGCTGGCAAACGTAAACAATGATGTTTGATTTTCTGTCTTTTTTCGATCTACTCAGTCAAATTCAGGCTTTAAATGATTCGCAAACCTTAACCCCCTAATTTCCACCTTCATCCTGAACGAAAAGGTCGTATCCTCCGATAGTAGCTGATCGTAACCATTCAAGTTAACGTGTCAATGTACAGACTTCTTTCCACTGTGGATCGCCGAGTTCTATTTTTTCTGGACGCCGGAGCATGGCGGATAAATTCAGCACAGATTAACCCATGCTGGAAAGGAAGTCGGGCACAGACACAAAATAAAACATCTGGCTTCTTTTCAAAATAAAACGAGTGAAAGGTTTTTAGATGTCATTTCACCCCGATGACACCATGGATGAGGAGATGCTGATTCTAGAAGTCTAGAAGTAGATTTCCTCCTCTGGAAGGACACAATCTACTGCTTGTATGTCTGTGTATCTGTCTTTATAGAGACAACTCGTTATCGTGCAATTGCGCTTGAATCCGCAGGTTCTTCTGAGTTCTTGCGATTACCGCTGTCCATAATCCGCCACAAAATTCGCTGGACGGTGAAAATCGCCGCCGTTCCAGATCTGGGCTGTTCCGGATGTGGTGGAAATTCGGGGTTAGATCCTTTTTTGACACGGTGGAAAGACTAGAGATGGAGACGTCTAAGTGCAAAGACTCAGCACCTAATCACAGATGTGCTCAAAGTTACTAAAAGTCTTTACTCCGACCGATCAAAACAAAAGTAAGACTAAAAATAAGTTTGTGTTCACGTCGACGTGCTTCACGAAACGTTTGCAGAATATTCCAGTGACAAACATTTCCAAAAGCAGCAGCTGTAGTCCTCATCCTGATCTTTGAGGAGAAACCAGGATCTCCTCTGAACATCTGCAGAAGCAGCAGAGCCAGCGCTGCGTCACATCTGAAGTGGTTTTTCTAAAACGCATCCTTTTGTCTTGACCGCTCTGGCGTGTCTTGGATGTTGCGCGTCTCTGTGCGGCGAGCTCGGTCAGTGTTCTCGATGTCGTGCTGGTGCAGTGCATCACTCTCTTAAATCTCTGCCAAACCCCGTAATTAAGTCCACCCTCCATCCTCCTGCCAGTCCAATCAGTGTAATTTTTCAAATGCCAGAGTTTTTGCAGCGTTTTTGTTCTTCTGCTGAAGTTTCTGTGAATATTCAATCAGCATCTGATTAAATCGGCGTCTTCAGCCTCGTACCGTTAAACAAACATGCCGCACGCTTTCATCAAAAGCTGATCAGCGGCGTCAGAGATGCTGTGTGTGTGACAGACAGATGGATGGACTGTCGCACACCTCACCGGATTTCATTGTGTTATTTTTTTGCAGACAATAGCACATTGCAGAGCCCATTAACCACGCAGCATCACTCACACATCCGAGCTATGTGTAATCGAGAGACAGATGGTTCTGTTCTTACCACCGCATGCTGACAGCATTTCTCTTAACACATAAACATGGGGCCTGTACATGTGTGTGTCTGTGAGTGTGTGCGCAGTAGTGTGTCCTGCTGCGCTTCACATTAACAGGAATCCGAAGCTTCAGACGCCGCCATCGCCGCTCCTCTGTGATATCAGGATTCACTTTGATGCGAGGCCCTCATCAGGACACACCACCCTAAAAAAACACGCGTGTCGCCGCAGACGTCTCGCCCCTGATTAAATCCCCGGCTTTTGTAATTATTTAGATTTGGCTCAAAATTAAAGGTGGAATCCGTGACGTAAAAATAGAAGTGCAGCTTTCAGTCCAGATGGGTCCCCGACACACACTGCATGCTTGTTGCTTGTTATTGAGTTTGGTTGTTGATCTGGGACCGAGGCCTCCGCAGTTGTTTACTAGAGCAGCAGCGCTACACTGCCTTCTCAAGTCCCTGTAAGCCACAGCTAAGTATCTGCCGCTGCAAGCCCAAGGCGGGCTGCTGAGGTTAGGCTTTATGAGCTATCGACAGAGACGGGGCTGGGTTTGTGCTCTGTTCGGTTTACCTGTGTGTGTGTGAGTGTGTGTTTCTGTGTGTGTGTGTGTGTGTGTGAGCGCGGTGGTCAGATACAAGCCCAGGAGAGAACTCCAGCTCCACCTCATCATGTAGTGTCTCTTATCCTCATATTAGAGCTCTAATAGACACAAAGAGGCTGTTAGTGAGCTGCCCATCATTCCTTCCACTTCTGCCGCCCCTCCCTCCCTCCCTCCCTCCCTTCCTCGCCAACACGTTTCACTCCTTCTTCCTCACCTCCCTCCCTCCCTCCCTCCTCCTCCTCCTCAGCCTCATTCAACCACCAAACTGCTGACAGAGGCATGGCGCCGGGCCAGGCTCTGGCCTGCAGGTCGTCACTGACTGAATGACTGACTACATAACAAGTCAGTAGCACACTGATCAACGAACTCGCCGCGTGACTGACCCGCTCTTCAGATTTGGGACATGAATCCTTGAATGAGCTCTTTGAAATCATCCGATGATAAAAAAGCTGCTAACCTTCACAGTGGCGTATTCAGCGCTAATGAGAAACCTCAGAGACACAATCTTATTACCACGGCGACTCTTCGAGTTGTTGTACAGTGGAAATCTGTGCCAGTGTGATGGATTTACAGCTCTGTGTGGGATTTAACTTGTTTAGTGTCCTCTCGCCAATAAAGGACACGATGTGTACGACGTTATTATGGGGCAGTATCGTACATTCATCATCGACCCGAGGGGAACCTGTTCATTTACTCTTGATGGAGAGTTACAGTCGAGCTGATGAGATTCTCAAAGATTTGTCTTCATTATAAACGATCAAAGTTTGTGTGTCTTCCCTGAGAGGATCTAGAAACCTGTCCGATAGATTCTTGTAGATCCGAGTCCTGAATCCTGAACTCAGAGGTAACCTGTGATTAATTGAATTTTAGTCATGATTTCTTTTTTGGCTCCCCACTATCATAAAATCACGGTGCGGCGTGTATGTAAGTTTCTATGCTGAAAAAACACCTTGACTGCGTCCCTGTTAAGTAGGGCCTGACCGATTTGGATTTTTTGGGGCCGATGCAAGTACAGATTATTAGGGGGGAAAAGGTCGTGGATGAAGATTGTCATGAGGTCGCTTTGCCATCTATAGGATAAGAAGGGGAACTTTTCAAACGGCGGAACATTTCCGAAGTGAAACTGAATCTTATTCTCTGCATTGTATTTCTGAAAATATCTGCGAGTTTTGGCCAATTACTGATTAGTCTCAAACGGGATAAAACTGACCGATTTATTGGCGTCGGACCCTACTGTTAAGTGACGTGTGTGGATCAATGATATGAGGAGCGAGCGATTGAAAACATGACAGGAAGGCAGCCTATGGTTTCTAAGTAAGGTAGGACAACTTAAGGAACATTTTGGCTTCAAGTTGACGGACGTGGAGCGAAAGGAAATGGTTTGCAAAGTTTGTCACACTGTCGTGTCTGCTCCCCAAGGAAACACGAGCAACTTCAGGGTTTCCTCGACATGCAGTTGATCGTGGCGCACCACCACGGCTGAATATAAGCCGCCACGCCAAAATTTTTTTTATTTTTTTTTATTTACACATCTCCAACTCGGACTCATATGTATTAGTATATGTACGCACATGGGCGCTGCACCGCGGTGCATGCGTGCGCCGAGTATCAGCATTAGCAAGTTATTGTCTGCAATCATCACAGAGCTGATTTTTTTTTCTTGTTTACTTGTCACTAATTTATTTCTGTCTGTTCTTTTAAGTTTTAGTAAAAGTTACGTTCTTGTGGTTCAATAAAAACTCAATGAATAATCATGTTTATTAATCGTGATTTCAATATCAGTTAAAATAATCGTGATTTATTATTTTTGCCATAATCGTCCGGCCCTACTTTTCACACACCTAGACTGTTCTTGGTTGTTTCATAAGCCGTCTTCATAAGTGTCTGACAAGTCCGGACTGCAGACACTTGGACTCTTCTACTACAGAGCCATGACTTGACCATGACGAAGGAGACATGATTAAAGTGTCTTTTATGTGGTCTGAATATACACAAAGATCGTTTGTATTCAGAGGACTAAATACTTTGATTCTTGACGTATTACTCGTCGTCATGTTTTACCTTCTTTATTCTGCGCTCCTGGTTTCTTTGTGGAGGAAGTTTGAGGGGAAATTAATCATTCTTTAATCAACATGCACATTTAAATAAGTATCACCTGGCAGGCCCTCAGATCCAGTCCACTGACTCCATTATCCGGGGCTGATTTGATTGACAGGCAGCACGCCAACCCACCACTCACCCAGCAGCAATAATGAGAGGTGAGCATCAGGTCGGGTTGCTCAGTCTTCCTGGCTCCGCCCTCTCTGCAGCTGTCAGTCACCCCGGGCGCCCGGCCACGAGCCCCTGCAGAGACAATGACACGTGGCAGCCTGATGGTGTGACATCGGAGGGAGCGAGGGGTTAGAGTGACAGCTGGGCTGAGCGATGAGGACCTGATCAATCCTCCAGGCATGCCAACAGACGAGGAGAGGGAAGAAGGGGGTGATGGAGAGGAGGTGAAGAAGAGGAAGGGACTGATATGGATGGTTGAGGAGGAGTGCACCGTGGGAGAAGGAGACAACATGTTTTCTTTTCTGGATGCCACCTGGACCGGAGGATCTAACTTGGACTGGAGGATCACCTGGTGCCAACATCTCAAGGACACAGATACAAACTAAAGGAGGGAAACACATCTTTCTGATACTTCTAAAACTGGAAAATTAATGTGACAGTAGATTCAGAACCATCAAAGTCAACCAAAGATCAAAAACGGAAATTAATACCAACAGTACTTTGATCAAAAACACATAAATCTACAGTGACCTACAGCCTTTTCTCAGCTGAACATCATTCTCTGAAGTCTTGGCTATCAGGAGAAGAAATATTGGGATTGGAACAAACACACAACAGAAACTATTGACATATTTACACTCATATTTACAGTTTTTTTCTGCCACTCCTGGGATGAGACAGAGGACCACATCATACTGCTAAGAATCTCTTCTTTGCTTGTTTCCAAACATTGAGGACCAATATTTCTGATTTTGAAGACAAGCAGGGAACGTTCTTGTCTCTTGTTGATCTTTGGTTGCCTCTTATTGGACACTACTGTCAAGGGAACAAATAGACGTCATCAAAACAGCTTGTGAAACCCGGAAGACAGTAGCGGCATTTAGCGATAGTGATCTTTTTTTTTAATCACAACAATCTGATAAATAATCCCGTTTTCACCGGTTTTCATCACTGCGGATTTACCATCAAACGTCTCTGATCAAACACCTGTTTTTGTGGCTGGATTGTGAACCTTGTGGCAGGTGTAGAAATGTCTGGAAACCCTCGATAGATCGCTAAAAGGGTAATCTTTTGAACACTTTTCGACCCATAGAGATACACAGTATAGTTCCTGAGAAACTGTAAACAATATTCATGGTGATCCAGTGGAGTTCGAAGTGTTAACTTGGACTTCTTCTGCTCTCCAAAGCCAGCGTCTCCTTCTGTCCAAAGGGACTTTATCCAGTAATGGTCTTAACTCCACGCAGCACCAACCAACAGATGCTGCTGTCACTCCAGACCTGCGCTCCCGTTGACCCCACCGCCGGTCAGACCAGGCGAATCAAAGTCTACTCCTGCAGCGGCGTACACTCGCCTCTTTGTGGAGGACATCTCTGTCAAGTACCCGGGCTCAGAGAGCGTGGCGGCGTGGCTCGCCCTGCCTGCATGTACTGGAGCATTAGAGCGTGTGAAGCAAGAACGCGGCATTCCTAATCAGTTTAGTTTGAGTCGTGGACGGGCGTTACATGGATACAGCAGAGGAAGGAGACATAGAGATTAGATCCATTTATTTGAAACAACAGAGAAATATTCCCCCGACAAAAACAAACACATGATACTGTAACAGTCAGTGGATAAAAACAGAGCTCTCTTTGTTGTTTCTGTCAGATTAGTCGGGCCTCACAGGAGCAGGTTTTCATGGTCATGCCACAGTTTTCAGTCCTCTCATTCCTCCATCATTCCTCTAATTTATAAGCTTGACTTATTGGAGTCAAGTGGTTTGTGCAACACATGATGATGACTTTCCCAGAATCCATTGAGTGATGCATCACCATGAAGTACTGGACACACTGACAAACACGTGCAGAAGGGAGATGTCCTGATAGAGTTAGTGTGTGTTTGTGAGTCCATCCGTCAGTCAGGAGAAACTTAATCAAGAACTGATAAATATTTGAGCGTCTGTGACCGTGATGGATGAAAACCTCTGTAGATGTTGATGTTTTGACGATGGTTGGAAGTCCCAGTGGACTGGGTAACTTAGGCTGCGCTCAAGTTTCCTCGGAGGTCAGAAGTCCGAGCTGAAAATGACGTTACATTCGAGTTCGCAGCGTTTCAGTTACCTAGTTGGAAGAAAGCAAAATCGGAGGTGCAAACAAGATGGCGACATCTACGAAAGTTAGTTTAGCGCTCGCCTTATATTTGGAAAAGGCATCTACATTTACGATTTTGCTTTTTTTGGACTAGCTAACTGAAACACTGGGAACTCAAGTGTGACGTCATTTTCAGCTCAGACTCCTGAGGTAACTCGAACACACCATTATCGGTCGATACGTGCTGAGTCGACCAAAATTCTGATTGGTCGACTCAGTTTTTTTCCGCATCAGTTTACAGTCTGTGGTTAATTTCATCAGGAGGAACGTATCAAGTGCTAATGGGGGTGTTTTTACTGGAGACTGACGGGAAACAGGAAGATTGAATAGCGTCCACGTCAATCAACGTCCGCTGGTTTGCTGAATATTTATTTTTATTTTGAAGGTTTCGAATTTCATCGTGTTCAATCACCTTCTTGCGCTGATATCAGTATATTTTCTCCGAGCCGTGTCATCCTCCGCTGCAGAAGGGTTTGCCATCAGAATTGGAAAATCACCCCTCCGATTAGTCGCTTTTTGGTCAAAAATTTTGGGGTTTTATTCGACCAAGAATTTAGTTGATTACAGCCCAAGTTTCGCCTTGTTTTGAAATAATTTTATTAAGTCAAGATGAAGCAGACACTAACACAGCTATAAAACATCTTTATCACCACAGTTAGCTATCTTTGTCTGAGTCTAAAGTTCCCATGAAGGACTCTCAGTTTGTGATAAATTTGTGGACAAAGCCGTCTTTGCTCATTTCGTCCTCTCAAAGCTTAAGTCGTGTATTTTGACAAAAATAAACTCCTCCTGCTGACTTCTGGAGGTTAAATCGATCTGTTTTTGAGATTATTTTAACTGGATTAGGGTTTAAATTTGCTTTCATCCCATAATAATGCACCACATACCATTCTTTTCTAACTGTATAGACAAATATTCACTGAGCAGAATCCTGTTGATAGAAAAAAACATGTTTTTCTGTTGATGATAAATATCCAGGCTTCGACTTCTCTTCTTCCTGATACCTGATCGTCCATTTAAAGCAGGATCAGAGGGATTTCTGTGATTGTTGTAGTTATTGGAATAAGTGAAACACACAGTATCAGAGCGTCACATCAAAGTCTCTTTGAATGAGAAATAATCAGATCAGCAGGTTCAGATTTCTGGGCTTGAATCCGCTCTTCGTACGCTTTGATATTTGTGCCGTTAATTACATGGAAACAGATTTCTAGTGAAACATTGATGAGTTTGGTGCGCTGATGTTGTTTGTTGTCGGCTGGTATTATTTCACACACACTTCTGCTCCTGATGTGGCGTCTTCACCTGTATGAACGCTTTTCAGGGTCGGCTCATCGATATTCTCCTGAAGCCGACGGGAGTATATTAAATCTCACTGCAGAAACATGCGTGCACTGCAGAGTCGCTCGTGCCCCCACTGTTCACACGACTCCGCCCACCTCTGATCACCCCATGAACTCCGTGCGTACGAGGTGCAGGGGGGGGGGCGAGCCTGCGACAGCTGGGGCCGCGGTTCACAGGAAACTGGGTTGCATGCTGAACCTCACCTGCTTTCCGGCTCAGCGCTCGGCGCCGGTGGGGCTCATCACCATCACCCCCCGCTTTCACAGCTTGTCTTTCACCGCACGGTACCCCCCCACCCACCACCACCACCACCACCTTTCTGCCCCACCCCCACCTCTATCGTTTGATTAAGACGCTGTTGAATCCAGCTGCCTCGTCTCTGCTCCAGGTTCTCTGGAGATACCGTCACTGATCATTTGTGTATTTGTGCTCTCTCTCTCTCTCTCTCTCTCTCTCTCTCTCTCTGTGTTTGCCTCTGAGTGTTTGGATTTATTTTATATCTACTTCTCTTGGTTGTGTTTCTCCTGCACCAGCGTTGTGTCTCAGCAGCTTACGTCTCCTCTGAGCGTGTTCGCTAACCTCTGTACCGCGTCTCCGCTCATTAGCCGGCGCTGCTCTGGCCTAATTCTCCTCCCTTGTTCGAGGAGATATCCTGTTGCTTTGCGTTTCAGTTTTAGCTGCACTTAAAACCCCTGGGAAATGATGTCACTTTGGAAATAGTCCTACTTCCTGTACAATGGTGTTGAAAGAAGCAGGCTCGGGTGTGTCCTAGTTGAATATTGTTTGAACGGATCGTAGAGTTCACACAAGGAAAGGAAATACACCTGGGTCGTGTTTCAAAAGATCTGTGTCAAGTAGCGAAGAGAGGGAGCGGGAAATTATGACATTTGAAAAGGCGTGATGATGCAACAAAAGTCTAAAAAGATTTGTCTTTGTCCGGCGCCGTCGTCACAGCGTTACATAATCAATGAATCTCGATTTCTGCCATTTTCTTCTCCGTTATTTCCCCGACTTTGAAGCACAACGCTCCGTCAGCGCTCGCTCGGTTGCAGAGGGAGGCCGGCGGAGCGTCTCAGGAGCGAAAAGACGAGCTGTTGCAACTTTAAAAGTCTCATCTTTATGCCTGCCAGCGACTGATGTTCCTCACTCAGCGAGCAAATTGAGTTTGCATGCCTTGATGACTCATTAACATGGCCTTTGCAGCACTTCGCCGATGCCCCTGTGCATTCCAACATATTCCATTTTTAATGGTTTCTGTGGAGGAATTGATTCACGGCTTTCTGGTCTGAACTCAGCGCTCTGTGTTTGGCACAGTCCTTGTTTGTGTTTCCTTCACATGGACGAGGCGCTTATTCATTTTTCGTTATTGTGCAGAAGTGCCAGCGTGCTCTTTTATATCTTTGTGTTAATTAGGATGTAAACAGAGCGGTTTAATATTTAAATACTATTCACTTGGAGTAAAAGCGCGGTACATTAATGTAGAGCATAATAAATGGACTTTGTCTGCCTAAACATCATAATGAGCATTCAGGCCGCGCTGTGTTATTAGCCGTTTCCCGTATTGGCGCTCTCACATCTCTGTAAATGTGTGCTTACATTTCAGCGATGTGCATTAAAGCATAAAGACCACACAGCTCAGAGACGATCATACAGATTTAATCGTAATGTAGAGAGAATTAGGTTTTAATCCTTCATGATTTATCAAACTTCAGATCTTTATGATTCACACGTATATAAAGCTAACAAAGCTAACATGTCCGCTGCAATAAAAGGGGATTTCCAGATAAACGGTTCAGTGCAGGACAAATCCTCTTCCAGGAATCGACTGGACTCTGATCGCTTTTTAAATACATATATTACTGAGTGGGATACTCAATCAATGTAAGATAAATTCAACAATCCCTGAGGGGAGACGGTATTGTCATCGCAGCAAATGGTGTTAAACATTACAAGGTAAAGATCAGCAGAAAAAAGCAGAGGAAGAGGAGGATGATGATGGGAGGAGGGTGATGATGATGCACCGTCTGCTCAGGAGACGCAGACGAATCTCCAAGGTGACCTCAGACATATTGTCAAGGTTGATGTGATAAATGGTGATTGAAGTGATTATAATAATCAGAATAAAGACGGGGATCAAATGAAAGGGAAGTGGTCAGGTAGACTTTAAATAAAAGTAATCACCATCTGTCAGTGATTTTAAACGATCGATTTTATCCTCCTAAACTCTGACCCACAAACTGACATTTACACGACTTTAGAGACAAACACATTATTTCATTGTTTCAGCCTCTAAACTCTGTAATAGAGCTGGACGATTCATCAAGTTTTAATCATGATTTCGATTTTGTCTTCTTATGATCATAAAAACATTATAATCGAACAAAGACGATTAATGCGCCTCACGGTGCAACGTGTATGCAAGTTCCTGTGCTTGAAAAACACCTTGAATGCACCTCTGTTACGTGCAGCTGCAGCAAACATGTGATGTATGTGGGTCAATAATATGAGGAGCGAGCGATTGAACAACTTCAGAAACATTTTGGATCAACATGACGGACGTCGAGCAAAAGGAAGTGATTTGCAAAGTTTGTTACACTGTCGCGTCTGCTCCCCAAGTAAACACGGCCGACTTCAGGGGTTTCCCTACATGAAATTGATCGTGGCTCTAACTCTACCGTATTTTTCGCACTATAAGGTGCACTTCAAATCCTTCTGGCTTGGTCAGAGCGCTGCAGCTACCATAGCCTCGCGGCGTTATTGAATGAGTTCAGTAAAGTTTGACTAACTGACTGTTTTGTTTGGTTTAATGCGCTTTAGAATCCGGTGCGCCTTATGTATGAAAATAGACGTGAATAGACACATTCATCGATGGTGCGCCGAATAGTGCAAAAAATAAGGTAATTCATATACAGTTAAAACCAGAAGTTTAAATACACTATAACCTTTTTTTTTTCTCACCGTCTAACATCAAATCAGATTAAACTTTTCCTGTTTTTGGTCAGTTAGGGTTACCTAAATTATTTTTATTTGTTAAATGCCAAAGTAATGATGGAGAGAATTTTTTAGACAATTTTTTAATTATTACTTTCTTTAATATTCTGTTTGCTGCATGAGACACCAGAAAGTGAAGAAACTGGATCTAACACCATCAGGATTTGTTCTAAAGTAAACTGACCAGGTTTGCTCCAGAGAGAATAAATTCTTAGTTGTCTTAATAAACAATAAAGTTTGAAGTCGTGTTTTAGTCTCTGAGGAAGAATAGTTTCTTTAAAAGGTTGAAAATTGACTCATTTCTCTAATCAGCCTAAACACGGGATCACAGTGCTGTGAGACGCCATCTGTCCTCCATGTTTGTTTACACCCAGCAAAGCGTTCAGGCAGTAACCGCTGACTGGAGCCGCAGCCCGGGTTCGTGGTGGGTGGCTGTGCTGCAGCTGAGACTCCACACACCAACACAGTTTCCCTGATATCGATCGTTTCTTTAATCCGCGTGGGTGACGATGACGTTAAATCGCTTCGTCATCTTAATGCACACATCCCTTAAAGTTGCTGATCTTCACAAACAGGGAAAAATGGACTCTGATGAAGAAAATAATCTGGGACAGGAGGCTGTGAAGCTCCTCCGATCCTGATCCAGCTCAGTTCAGAGCAGGTCGGTCTGATAAACACTCTCAGACTCCTTCACCTCGTTAACCACCGTTCAAACTCCAGCCATGAAGACGTAAAACCGAGTCGTGCAAACGTGCGGCCCGCAGCGTTTCTCCACAGACTTTGTTGATGGTTAACAACATTAGCCGAGCCGCAGCCTCCATGTTTTTCTAATTACAGTCAAGTGAGGGGTGTGCGTAACCTCCAGTCGGCGGTGGGAACGGTTAATGAAGACGCCGGAGAGAAGGAGAAAACCTTCAATCATCTGTTAGTCAGCCTGCTCACAACTTCAAAGAAGAAATAAGAGATTTCCTCTTTATTTCTTCAGTCGGCTTTGATTAGCTTCAGTCTGGATCTGCTGAATTTAACACGTCTGAAAAAACACTCGGCTTTGATTGACAGCTCTCTAAAGTCTGACTGTAAACTAACCGTTCGTTTTTCTTATTTTCTTCAAGCTCATAATTTCTCTTCTGATTTCTAACAGGACACTTATTTAGAGTTTCGGTTTTGCGTGTTTTCTGTTCTTCTCTATCTCTTCCTCCTTCGATCGATGTGCTCACATGCTCCCGTACTCCCCCATCACATCCTCTCCTCCTGCGTCTCTCTCTCTCTCTCAGGATACCAGAGGGTCAGGCGGAGGCGGGCTCCCTGGCTGCCGGGAGACTGCGCTCCCTGGAGGACCAGCTAACCAGAGCCAAACAGAAGATCCACAGCTTCCAGAAACTCACTGGAGACGGTAAGCAGAGCGCCGCCACCCGAAGGTTTGCGGGCGGGGATTTGGCACGGCGCTCAGAAATGTGAGAGGATTGATTTTAGAGGTGGGGAGGTCGACTGTATATGGTATTACACCAGTCAAAGGCCTTCTTGAGCTTCGCCCTCCGGCGAGAATCTCCGACTACTCCGAGGGTAAACCTGCCGCAGCTCAGCGGCGATGATGGCGGGGCCGGGCAGTCGGATAGGCAGGGTTATGTGCGCACTCGCCGCTCTAAGCAGCGGTCAGAGGAGCAGGAAAGCTGTCAGGGTAGAGGGGAAACGTGTGAATGAAGTGCAAAGAGTGTGAACGCTCCAATGGCAGCATCGGAAACAGGCGGAGAGGAGAGAAAAGAGAGCGACAGGGAGAAAATAAAGAAGGACATGTGAGCGTGGAGGGCAGCGAGAGGTCAGCCTTTCCATCTCGCCGCAGGGGAAGAAAAAGCTAAAAATACCCTCCAGCTTTTTTTTCCGAGGAGGAAGAGGGAGAGAGGGAGAGGAGAACGAGTGGAAGAAAGGAAAAAAGAAAGATTTTCCCTCTCCACCAACACCTCCTTTTTATTCTGCTCGGGGCTGTCCTCTCCTCTCCTCTCCTCTCCTCTTTTTTGTGTTTGTTTCCCTTCACAGAAACCAGAGCAGGCAGATGCGTTGTCCATGCGAGTCTCTCCACATTGTTTGTCCTTCGGAGGGGTGTAGAGTTCCTTCCTGTTGTTCCACTAGTCTGAGAAAACGAGGAAAAACTGCTCCTTAATGAGGTCAAAGCAACACCCAAGGACAGAGTGAGCGAGGAGGACGGGTTTACGGTGTTTAGCTCATAATCGAACCCTCAAACGTTCCCGTCTCCTCTCTTACCTCCTTCCTTCGAGCTGTTTTCCCAAAGAGACGCTTTGAAGGCAAAAGTCATTGATTCTTTGTTTTAGATCATACATGTGCTTCCAGCTGTATATCTGTGTTTTGTTTTGTTCTGATTTCCCCTCCTCCCCCCTCGTCTCACAGGCCCGGGGCCCACTCAGGAGGAGCTGCGGAGGAGGGTGGAGAACGGCGTTAAGGAGTTCTGGTACTTTGTGCGCAGCGAGGTGAAGAAATTGGCCATCATGGAGACCAGCGAGAGGCAGAAGTACGCCGACACGCTGCTGCAGGACTTAGGACACCAGGAGAGGTGGGGAACGGTCCACAGCCTGACAGTCATGAGTGGAAACGTGGAAACGTCCCAGAAGGACTCGAATCAACAGAAATGAGTTTAAATAAATAAGACTGACGGGTGTTTAGAAACTCGCTCATCAAGGATAAATATTCTTATTCTCTGACATGACGGTCCGAGAGTTTCCTGAAGGTGAAATCAGAATCTCTGTTTGTAGATCCTGATCACAGCTGAAATACTGACCTGCATATGGAGCCTCTTCTCTTAACGGTGTTAGTCTAATTAAATCTGTTACCAGATTACGGGACTATCCAGACCGAGCATCAGCATCGATCACTCTGATCGGATTAGTGATCCTCGCACTTTTTCATCTCAATGTGTGAGTTCAAAAGAAACGTTTAATTCTCATATAGAAACTGAGAAACTGAATCCACCCTCCGCTAACCACAGCGCTCTGATTTTTACAGTGTAGTTTCAGCTCCACACAGCAGACTCGCCTCAAGGCCCGCCAAAATAAAACAGATAAATCAGAACTGAGGAAGGTTAAAATCAGCTAATTTGACGATTGATTAATCAGTCTGTAACCTTCCAAAAACTCCAATCAATCCAACGTCTTTCAGGCTGAAAACTTGATCAGTTATCAGAGCAGAACAATGACTAATTCAGGTAAGAAGAACAACACTCCTCCAGGTGAGTAGAGATGAATATTCAGGCGAGCCGCGTTGTTTAGAGACTCACGACCTCCGGCCTGATCGACCCCCGGTGTCAGAAACTTTTTACAGGCGCACTTGAAAGCAGCGCTCGCAGTTCTTAAAGGGCCGACGGAGAGCAGAGGCCGCGGGCGCACCCTGTCTGTGATCCGGATGACTGGTTTCCATTCACCTGAGCGAGGAGCGGCCTGGTGTCACTGAGCAGAGAGCGCCTTTGTAATCCTGCTCAAGTGGTTTAGAGCGTCTATTGTCTCAGCCGCAGCCGTCTAAGCTGCTCTCAGAGGCTGACTCCTCACCCCCCACACACACACCTACACATACGTGCACTTAGGTCACCGACTCTCCCATGCATTTACTCTGTGTGTGTGTGTGGATCGGGGGCAGAGGTGGAGAGAGTCATAAAAAGTGTAACCGGCGGTTCCTCATTTGAATTCTGCTCAGGAAACAGACGAGGTTCCAGTCTTCAAACGTTTCACAAGTCAAATAAAACGCCGCGCATTAATAACACGTGCAATTACCTTCCCGCTCCGGCAGTGAAAATGATCGCCGCATTATGAGGAGCGCTTAGTTCCTGTCTGCGGTAAAGACAGCCGAGAGGAGACGGTGAAGGAGATTCAAAGAAATCAGACGGAGAACTCGACCGGTTTGTGTTCAAAGTTCAGATCAGTCTGCAACAGAAAATGAGGGAGATAAACACGTCTGCAGATCTGACAGAAACAGAGAGAGAGAGAGCATCAGAGCGCCGCTTTAAAACCATCTGTAACTTCTCTTTAATATATATGTGAAATACTGAGAAATACTTCATCTTCTGTTGTTTCCTGCTGTTTAAACACTTCAATAAGAGATCTCTGCGATGTAAAACAAAACGCTTATTTAACCTGAACACACGCCTGAATTATGAAGCCAAAGAAAAACCTATTTTTGTTTTTATAGACGACTTCTTATAAAACACGGACTAAATGACCTCAGACTCATCGTAAACTGACGCTGAGGAGTAAAAATAAGTCCGACATGGTTCCTTTTTTTCTGCAGAAATACCGAAACGGAAACAGCTGTAGATTAGTTTACTGTCTTTTTTTTTAGATGAACTTGTTTTTGCAGCTGCGAAAAATCAAAGTGAAGCCAATTAAGACTTACAGATTTAATTCTGGGTATAAAAAAAACTGATTTAGAGACGTTTCTGGGATCTATCCAAATGTAAAAGTTTTTAAAACTGAAACTGAGATGAAAAAAGAGAAAAAAACAACATCGTAGATTAGATTCAGAGTCGAACATCTAAATACTCTGAATTCCCCACAGAAAGGTAAAAATAGGGTGACCATTTTCTAACTTCCCAAAAAGAGGAAACAACTACGCGGGGGCGGAGTCACAGAGTCACATGAGGTTAATTTTAAGATTTTTTGGGGGTTGGATCGAGTGTCATTTTTGCGCTTTTAACTCAGTAAGTCCTCGTGACGCAAACTCGAAACTTCCGTACAAAACCGCGGACATTTGAAGGATTTTATAAACTTCCTTGTAAAAACCCGGACAGCCTCCAATATAGGACATCTCCGGGTAAAAGAGGACGTATGATCACCGTAATTAAACAAACACGACTCAAGGTGCAGCTTTAAAGTGGGTTTAAGTTTGTCTCCACTGAGCAACAGACGCTATTAGACGTTTTTTAGACCTGATTTCAACCGTCTAGATTCTTTATATCTGTAGACGGAATTTAGACGTTGCACTTTAACCTGCTATTCGATAAGTATTTATTTCAAAAAGCAACTGTAAGATGCATAACTGATCTCCAAGTACTAAACCAGAATATTTATGTTAGTCATTGAGCAAAATACAGGTAGACCTCTGTTAGCCGGCTAGTCTAAACTCGGTCTAAATTTAGACGTCTGAAAACTTTCATTTTTAGACCTGTGGTAACCTGATTTTAGACCAGTCGTCTAGACTACATTTAGACGTCTGTTAGACCTCTTTTAGACCGAAAAAGTCCTGAAACAACACGCCGTACAGCGATGGGCGAGTCGACTCAGGCTGTAACGTTAGTTCACCTAAAAGCGTTTCCTCTCGGTGCGTTTTCACAGCTCGACTCCGCTGCCAAGCTGAGCCGCTGCAGCCTCTCCGTCTGTATCATCGGGGAAGCCCACCAGCTTCACGGAGACCACACAGCACGAGTCTATCTACACACACTGGAGCCAAAACACCTCCAACACGTTTAGATGTCAGGAGCGGAGAGCTGTGGCGGCGCTCCGTGTTGTGTTGTGTTCCTGTTGGGTCCCTCGGGGCCTGTCTGTTGATTCCTTCTGGTTAAGATTTGCGGCCGCTCAGGTTTGCTTTTCCTCCCCTCGGAGGGGCGGCGATGGCTCCCCTGTGAGCTCCTCAAGGAGAGTTTGACACCCGTTCATCACACACGTTCATCTCACACTGTGGGTCCTGCTATAAATCAGGACAGTGAGTAATGATCCGGTGTTAGACGCAGAGAAAGGAACTCTTCACCCTGTTGAGAAAGAGGAGGCATGCTTCCTTTGTCTGCTGCTGCGTGTGCGTGTGTGTGTCTGTGCACGCACTACTGAATCCACGCTAAAGGATCCTCACTCACACAGGATGTGACTGATTTGGGTCGATGATGTGAGTAATAAATGAAGCTTGCATAAGTGTTTATGTTTGTGCGAGTGTGTGTGATGTGTTTGCTTCTGCCCTCAGCTGCACACTTCAGAGCTCTCGGCGGCGCTCTAAGTGGTCGGTCACGATGTTTGGCCGTCTTTGACACGTACACAAATTCACTGATGGCAGAAGACTTAATCTGAAAGAAGACGCTGACGTCAACAGAAACGACACTTGTGCTAAAATTATCCTGAGAGCGGTTTGAGCCTCGGTCATTTTCACCGTCAATATTTGCTGTCTGGTGGGAGAAAACGGGGAGAGTGATGAACTCTAGGAGCTGAGATAGACCGAGATTAACTCTGAGGTTAGTTCAGGAGAGTCTGAGTTTAAGACGAACAAAGTCAACGAGAAGAGACACCAGATTTATCAAATATCTAAGACCCGGTCCAGTTCATGTCCACAAAACCCGTCTGTATATTTATGAGGGTGATGGTTTTAGGCAAGAATAAGATTTATATTTCAGAGTTTGGTGGTTTTATTAAATAATAGTGTTGACTCCAGCAGTTACACAAGTTTATTCTACATTTTTAAAACACTTACACAAGCAGTAAGAGATAAAATACAGTTTTCAGCTGTTTTAAAGGAGAATTACACTTTTTTAGGAGGTCAACGAGGAAGTATATTGTTCTTTTTTCAGCAGTTCTCAAAGCAGATGTCGACTTTCTTGGGAGTAAAAGTAAGGTTTATACTTACAAGTTATTTGAGAAGATGACTGAATGTTTTTTCTGCAGTTTAACAAGTGCACTGTACAGTTTTGAAGATGTTGCATTAGAGTTTTTACGCTAAATGAGCAAATCGTAGAAGAATATTGTGAAATTGCAGGTAAATAAAGATCTCGTTGGTTTTTACAGTTATACTGTGACTTTGTTCACTCTTTAAGCATTTTAGGAAGTTTTCTGTCCACTCATATGAATTGAACATTTTTAAAGGAATCAGACACAATTGTGTAAAAGTATTTCTGTCACTTTTTGCAGGTTTTAAACAGACTTTGCATTTTGCTTTTCATGTAAACAAACAGTCGTATCGACTGCGAACGCCGTCCTCCATGTATTCTCGTTTATCGATCCTTCCACCGTAATAATCAAACAGTTTCTTTATGACTTTCTTTCTTCTTAATTGATTAGAAAAACCTTCTTTTCACAAATCCAGCTCTGTACGGTCTCTTTGTCGATGAAGCGGCGCCTCGTGATCAGAGCTGAGATTGCGGATGTGACATACAGACTAAATGAGACACGCCGCTCGTCTGCCTTTCCCAATTAGACTGAATATCATTTGGATTTTTACCAACTCTCGTCCCCGGTCAGGTGTTTGTTTGCCAGGATCCAAACAGAAACACTTATCAGGGTATAATTATTCAGCGCAGATCTCCTGTTCCCTAACAAGTACACTTTTAATGTCATGGTGACCGTGAACATCGCCGTCTTTAAAACAGAAAAGGAGGTGAGCCGTCACAGAATTAGTCATTTTGTCTGTCAGCGTCAAATTAGAGTCAAATTTTAAACTAACAAATATTAAAGGCAGACTGATGGAGAGCTTTAGCTTCGTTTGTCAGCATGTCAGACTGTACTTGAAAATGTGAATACTGTGAAAACGTCGATCGTACATCCCTGCCTCCGTCTAAAGATGGTGTTTCCACATGTGTGTGTCTGCAGGTCCATCATGACAGACTTGTACTACCTCAGCCAGGCAGACGGAGTGGGCGAGTGGAGAATAAAAGAGGCTAAAGACCTGTCGGATCTGGTCCAGAACAGAATCACCTACCTACAGGTATCTACAGACGCACCTGCTGCTTCACCAACTGGCCCTGCACTCTCTCCCTCTCTCTCTCTCTCTCACTCACTCCTATATCAAGTCATAAAACACACCCCTGGATGTTTCCCTCACACGTACGCGCTCTCATACGCGATCTTCGGGACATCTTTCACACTCGCTCATCTCATTTGCACCATCCATAACTGTCAGCAGCAGCTCCCACGAGGAGCAGGTGAGCTGCGTGATAGCAGACTGTTCCAGCAGTTGGATCTGACAAGCAGGATTCTTGTTGCTTGTCAGCGCTTTAGCGGCACACACACACACAAACACGTGCACACACAACATGCGCAAAAAAGCACAGACACCGACTCGCGAAATGACAGATCGGCAGACAGATATGCAGACGTGCAGAAATGTCGACACAGAGCGGAGACAGACACGGGCGCAGATAGATGCACATATGCTTACAGCTCCATAGAAACAACCTGAGAGGCGCCGTGACACATCAGCTCACCCCCCGCCGACTCACTCCCCTTCCCCAAATCTGGTTCTGCTCGGGTTGGGCGGCGCGGCGCGGCACCGGGCCCCGCAGCATTAATGAGCCGGTGTGTTTGATGAAGAGGACCCAGTCAGTCTGGCTGGGTGGAGACAGCACCACTAACAGCTGCTGTCACCACCGCTGAGGGATCACACCGCTCCACCAGCTGCCATCACTAATTCATCACACACACACTCACACACACACACACACTCTCCCAAAGTCGTGCGCAGATGGATTCACCCACACCTAAGCGAGAAGTTGGCACACACGTATACCCTTTGCCTCAAGATTGATGCACATACTCATAAGCAGAGAGATGCTCTGCGTGCGTGTGTGTCCCCTGCTATCTCTCTCTATATGTACACACAGCGACAGACTCCTCCCTCCTCCTCTCCTCTCCTGTCCTCTCCTCTCCTGCTGTCTCCTTCTCCCTCTCCAGTCTTGGTTTTAGTAACTCCATCTCTGAGTCTCTGCTCCATCTGTCCGCTCACAGCGTTCGCCGAGCATGGCCGCCTTTCTCAGATGGACTTCTGTCAGACGAGCTTTTCATCTATTTTTGTGTAATGGGACGGGATTGATTGATCATGAGAAATGGATCTTTTCATCTCCCATGGATCAGTTGTCCTTAAGTGGGACGGTCCTACAGCTGCTATAAGGATCAGCTGACCACACGGAGAAACGTAAAACAAAAGAACATCAAACTGGCTCAGGAGTCGACCAGAAACAGAAGAAGAAGATATATTTTATATAAGTAGGGCTGGGCGGTGTGGTAAAAAGTTTGTCACGACATATTTTTGTTGTATCAGTCCATATCAATATATATCAGGGTATAAAAAATCTAATTTAACAGCGTTTATTATTAGCATGTCTTTTTCAAAACGGTAATCTACTGCATCTGCTCTTCGACGTTTTGTCGTACGGCGTTGCGCTACAGAAAGCAGACTAAATGGTCACTTCAGCGCGGCGCAGACCCGTAGCAACTCCCCTTTTCATTAGCTATTCGAAAAGTCGACCAAAACATGTCAGAAAAAGCATATTGACCGTGTTTTATATCAATATTGAGGAAAATTAATTCTTAATATATATCATTATCGTTTTATCGCCCAGCCCTACATACACACTTGTTGAGTGGACAGTAAAGCTCCATCCCCCACTCCTCCTTTCTCCTGAATCCCAGTCCCACCCACCAGAGATAAGCAAGGAGATAGGAATGGAGATAGGAAGGGAGGAAAGGAATGAGGAAGGGTGTTTTCAGACACAAGACATCCTTTCCTCCAGCTGTCTGTGTCTGCACACGTGCACACTCACAGATATTTCTTACCTGCTTAACAAACACCTGCAGATGCAAAAAGAAACTCTACTGAGGCAAGTGTCTGAAAAAATGAAGCGCAGGGTGGATCGACCACAACAGAGCAGGAGATGAACGGGACATGATGTTCTGATACAGACGCTGGAGACTCTGATCCAATCATATCTGTGTAAAGTGTCTGATCTGGTGTGTTTTTGTCCCGTTCATACATTCATACGAAAAAGACGTGAGTGTGACACCATGTTTGATGGAGGTGAAAACATGATTTAATGTTCCCACTTGAATTTCTTAAGTTTCATCCGTTTTTGTCAGACTATGTTTCGCGGCGGTCTAAATCCCGACTTTTTCAGTCCCGCATATATATGGAATATTCTCTGGAAAACGTTCCTCTACAAATTGAATTGTAGCCTCCTCGTGCCGGACTCCTTTTCAAAAGTAAAAAAGCGGCTTCCTCTCATCCTCCACCACTGTTCCCAGCGTGGGCATCACAGTGGATAATTACCTGAGTTTGACATTCGATTTCTCATATCCTGTTGTTCTCCCCGCACATAAACAATCTCACTTCAGTCTCTCTGAACTGCATCACTCTGCGGCTGCCTCTTTGTTTCACACTCAGAAAAAGCACATCGTTTAAAAAGGCACTTAACCTGCAGCACAAAGCCGCACTCAGACGCTGCCTTTTGTTGCACACATCCGCCGTCATTAGCCTCAAACCAAACCTCGCAGCAATTTGGAGGAAATTCTGGCCCGACGGCGGTCGACTGAGGTTGGTGGATCAGATGTGGACGGAAAGGCTTGTTTTTGTCGGGGGTGCTGATGGAGATGATTGGTGCAGAAAGTCGGCTCAGATCTGCGGGGTTGGTGGTGAAACTGCAGCCTGTAACTCAAAGGAAAGACGCGTGAGTCGTGTCAGCTGCGTGGTTAATGTACTCTCAGTTCATACGATTCAAGAAGCTTCACTTCTTCTTCTTCTTCTAACTCTCTGTTTTCCCTCTTCTCTGCACCCCTCATCCTCTGCCCTCATCTCTCTCTCTCTCTCTCTCTCTCTCTCTCCTGCTCGTGTGTGATAGGCAGCGTTAGCCGGTGGGTGCCGTGCGCCCTGATTACTGTGAACCATCCACAGCTGCAGCAGCCTAATGAGGAAAACACTCCCATCAGCCAGTAATTGCTGTTTAGGAAGCTGGTTGGCAGGAGCAGTTGCAGAGTCGCTCACACCGGCTGCCGAGCGCAACACAATCCGCCCGGCGACTCGACGACAGCACAGCGTGTGTCGCTCAGATGTTTTTTTTAACTTTTCTTTTCCGCGCAGAAAAAAAAGAAAAGGCTTGTTTCAACCTCCAGTGCTTCTCATTTGGTATTCTTCCCCTCAGACTTAGTATGATAGTGAAGCTAATTTATAGGGAACAAGAGTGAGAAGGGGGCAGGAGGAGGAGGAGGAGGTGGTGGTAGGCGATTAGAGAGAGAGCGGAGAGGGAGAATGCAAAAGGAGCGATAGAATTAAAGAGAAGGAATATCAAAAGATGAAGCTGGCTCTGCTCTAGATCTGGAGTCTAGATCCTCCTTACTGTCTGTAGATTCGAGGAAAAACAGAAACAGTCACTCCACTTTGGACTGGGCGATTATATGATTGTGATTCATGATTGTGATAAATTTCAGTTCGATCACGGTGATCAACGTCACAACAGCCAATCAGAGTCAAGCTCTTCCCGCTCACTTCTGTAAGCTCCTCAGTAAGAAGTAAACAGAATGACTGAACGTGGAGCTACACGCAGAGCTGAGGGCAGCAAAATAGTTGTCATCCATGACTCTGAGTCAGATGTCATTGTTGAGAGGAAGTTATTCAGTGTCGGTCGTGTGGATATCGTGTCGGTTTGGGTATCTCCAAAGTGACGTTGAGCAGCGAGCTGATGTGCAAGTTATGTAGACAGTTGGTGCCCTGGAAAACAGGCAAAACACCAGATCTGTTAAATCATTTGAAGAATTACTTCCCAAGTCGTTATGTGGAAAGCATGAAAGTCCCAAATTTCCACCGCATCCGCAACGGCTGCAAAAATGTCATATCCTCTGATCATAACTGATCGTAATCATTCAAGTTAACGTGTCAATTTACACCGGCTTCTTTCCGTATTGCTACGGATCAGCAGACTCCTCAGCTGATCACAAGAGTTCTATTTTTTCTGGACGCCGGAGCATGGCGGATAAATTCAGCACAGATTAACCTGTGCTGGAAAGGAAGTCAGGCACAGACACAAAATAAAACATCCGACTTCTTTTCAAAATAAAACACTTGTGATTTTTTTTTTGCCCAATCGCCCAGTCCTAATTCCACTTCTTCAAACTCAGTCCAAAGCTCGCTGATCCCTAAAAAGCTGAACACAAACAGATATTTAGTTTTTAGAAAGTCCATAACGAGCCAGACGCTATAATTTTAACCAAGATAATTCAAACTGGAATAAATAGTGCCTTTACTGAGGACTATTTTCAGCTCCATATTAAAGTGCAATCCTGAATGTTAAGACCACAGAGTGAGCGTGTGTGTGTGTGTGTGTGTATGAGCTGCTATAAAGATGATTTACAGCGCCCGTGTTTACAGTATTGAAGAGACCTGTTCGCTCGGTGGGCGGTCGCTCGGCTCATTTATGGTGTTTGGACAATAATGAAAGAGCTTCATCTGGATTTGATAAAGGAGGACGTTACCTCCAAAAAAACTAGAGGGCATTGTCATTTTTATCCTGTAACAATAAGGAGCTAAGTGGAAGAAAAGCTGATTGGAAACAGGAAGTGAGAAGGAAACTTTCAAGGTTATCGTGTAAGAGCGGAGAGAGAGAGAGAAGCTGGCAGGTAAATGGAGAGTGGAAACGTAGAAATTGAGTGAATAGGTGTAAAATTAGAGAGAAGTGGAGTTAGAGACAGACAGGTGGAGGGAACAAAGGAAACAATATCAGCCGCGTGTTATTACCACTCAGAGAGCGGGGCTTTGTGAGATACAAGAGCGAGGTCAAGCAATAAAAAATGTTGAACCATCTCTTCCTGTCTCCCCCCAGAACCCCCCAGACTGCAGTAAGGCCAGGAAGCTGGTGTGTAACATCAATAAGGGCTGTGGGTACGGCTGCCAGCTCCACCATGTCGTATACTGCTTCATGATCGCTTACGGCACCCAGCGCACGCTCATCCTCGAGTCTCACAACTGGCGCTACGCCCCGGGCGGCTGGGAGACCGTCTTCCTGCCCGTCAGTAACTCATGCACCGACCGGTCCGGGGCCACGACGGGACACTGGTCAGGTACGTCCTCACACACACACACACACACACACACATTAGCAGTGCTCAGTGCTGCCTTTAATTAACATGATTGGTTCCCGCCTCTTATTTTGACTGTCGCAGCTGAAACGCTTCGCTCTGCCAGCGCCGGCGTTTGTGCTGCTACAGCGAAAAAACAAAAGTGTGAATTCACTGGTTAAGCAGGACTGTGCAATTCCAGTTAAAGCTCTTTGGCAGCCGACGTAGCAGCAGCAGCAGGTTATTGTCCAAAGGTTTCATTGCCAAGAAATCACATGACTGGATCTGAGTAAACAGCCCGCTCCTCTGATTTACAGTAATCCTCGACTTGTGGCGAGAGAGCGAGCGAGAGAGAGAGAGAGAGAGCGCGAGGGATGAGACTCATCTTTTCTATTATTTATTAACTCCGGCTCCTTGCACAACACTTCTCATTGACTTTCCAGAACAACAGAAGAAACCTGTTCTCCTGTACGGCCTCTGGTTGTTGCATAATCTAACTAAAGGTCTTATATTTTTACAGTGAACGCTCGTCTCGTGCAACATAAACATTTTCCTGACAAAAATCCACTCTGACGTTAATATTTAATGTGGTTTTCAGGCGGAAGAAGACGTTGCTGTTCTTGAGAATCTACTGCTGTGTGAGCGGGTGCGAACAGGAATCGATCAAACCCGTGAATGTGCCCGTTAACGTCTAAAATAACCGTAAATATCCAGGGTCCAGAGCTGAGAGGTGTTGGCTTGTAATTAGTTTAATCTGAACTTTGTGGTTCCTGTTTTTCTCAACACAATTACGTCAACACAACCTTGTGATGTTTTGCTGGAGGGCTATTTTTTGCATCTAAGCACAGCTGTAATTATGAGTTAAGATTAAGCTCTGAACAGAGAACCAAAGCGCAGAGACACTCAGAGTTAGGGTTAGGAGTGAGTTTGAGCTGCTGCAGAACGAGAGAAAAAAACAGTCTCTGGGGATGAAAATGATAAAGACGCTGTAGAGGAGAGTAAATCATAAATATTTCAGTCTCAGGGGTTTATGTTGTTTATGTCCAGAGCTAATTACCACAAATTATGATCACTTTCTCTGAATACACAAAAACAAGGATGTCGTTTTGAGCATCTTACTGAGTTTAATATAGGGCTGGGCGATAAACCCAAAATTTACAGATACCAAAATATGGGAAAAATGACAATAATCAACGTCATTTTGCCCGTATTGGTATAGTCAGGGTCAAATAAATAAATAAATAAATGTTGGTTTTAAATGTGTTAAAGTCTCAAATCCAAGTCTGAAGTAAAATCAAGTCATTTGAGTCTGAGTTAATTCTCAAGACCTCTATGGCAAGTCTATTCTTTCCAGTCTATTTTCAAGTCACTTAGTGCAAAAACAAAAAATGTCTTAATCTTGCACTTCAAGTTAGGGGTGGGTGATAAACTGAAAATTTATCAATACTGAAATTTACAACAATAACTGACATCATTTTGCCCATATTGGTATAGTTATGTCAAAAAAAAAAATAAATCAAAGTTGTTTTTGGATGTGTGTAGGTAGGCTATGGTCTCATGTCCCTTTAAGACACTGTCCTACGTCAGAGACGTGACTCCACCCCATCCAGTCTGTAACAAAGAGGTAAAGACAGGTGAGGAGATGGAGGACGGTTCAGAAGCTTGAGGTAGTAATCATCCATTTATGGTTTTCAAGGTGAACTGATCAATAAATCGTGATTTCGATTTGAGGACATATCGCCCAGCCCTAGGTTATTGTAATTAATTCTAGTCTTTTATTTTATGTATTTAAATTCACTTTTAAACAACCTGAATGGTAAGAAAGTGTTTTTAATTCACTTAAATGAATCAATCTTGGACTGTAGTGGAATTTGACATCATGATCCCCAGAGGATAAACCACACTTACTAGATAAGCCTCTCTTTTTTCCGATATTTAAAGAGCGATTTTTTCCTATTACAGTGTCAGTGTCTCTGCTTCTAAACAGGTAAATATTTAGATACAGATATTTGTGGTCCCCAGTTTAAATCTAAGTTTGCACGACTTCAAACCTCTCCCTCTGGTCAGTAGATGAGCACTTTGTGCAGAGAGTGTATCCTGACCCATCGAACATCCTCCACTCTCAGTATGAACTCTATTTTTTTTTCTCTCTATATCGTCCCTCTGAAAGTTTCTTTACATTATTTACTCTTCAACAAACTCTGAATATATTCAGACTGCTGTCTTTGAAAACCCTCATTCAGCGTCTGTCTTCAGCCTCTTTCCCTTTAAGTCAGTTCCTCAGCTGTCCACTTGAGGCCGACTCTAAAAGCTGATATTGAACACATCATGATACCATTATTCATTCTTACCTAATTCTCTAATTCTCTGAACACTTCACGATGTTGTGGTGTGTCGCCTCGGTTAGCTAGCTCGGTCAATATTGAGTTCCTGGTTTTTATTTTCGGTTTTTAGAGAACACAGAGGGAGCAGATTGACTTCAGAGTGATGCGCAGATTTCAGGACAGAGCTCAATTGCGCTTTTGTTGAGATGAATAGGTGGAGTTATGGTCTAAGTATGCTTCCTCCGCTCGGATCAGTGATAACTTGGAGCTTTTATATGACGCTGTGTCTGCCTCTCCATCATTTCCTCGCTCTGTCACTGCTTTTTTGTTCTCATTTCTGCATCCTTTCAGCTCCTCATTTTCTCCCAATCGCTCCATTTGGCTCGTGCTCTCCTGGGCTCCCCCCCGTCTTATCTCCTGCTCTCCCGGCACCTTTCTTTTCCTCTCCTCCTGCCTTTCATGTGTCCTTCCACGCTATCTGTCTCTGTCTCTGGTTTCTGGTCGTGCAAACATCCTCCCTTAGATCAGATCCATACATAGCCATCTCTCTCTCAACCCTTCCATTAGAAATTCCTGCCCTGAGAAAGTTTAGCATTTTGCAGAGCTGGTATTTTCTCCTGACCGGCCCCTTTAACCAGCTGTGCATGGCTAATGTAAGCCTGTTGGGTACTTTGCTACGCCTGTTTTGTTAACAGTGCAGGCAGAACCTTCCTGAGAGTGCGGGACCTCAGGGGGACGCTGAGGCCTTGAATGAATAAGTGGATATACATTGAGTATTATACTAATTAAATGTAGTGTTTGCCCATGCCAGGAAGATTACAGCCGCTGACCCCGGTGAATACTGATCTGTGGAAAACCTCCCAGTGTTTTGGTCGGTTCCTCTCACGAGCTGATAAAGGGATTCGTTTAAGTTTTGAGAAATTTGCACCTCAAGGACAGTCATTTTGTCCCTCCTGAGCCTCCATCATCCCGTGGTAAATACCAGCGACGCTTTGGTCACCTTCACATCAAAATGGCGCTGACAGCTGGAGGAGTCGTGTGCTCTGAGCTCGTCTTTGTTTTGTGTTTTTTTTTAGGGGGAAACTGACTTTGTTTGTGTTTTATGTAAGAGCTCCACCACCGCCGCCACGTTCCACCTTTCCTCGTTTATTTTCAGATGGTTAGCCCACTTTCTGTTGAGTGTTTCCCCCGGGACGTGAGACATTTAAAGACAGAGAGAGGATGCCGAGTGGGTATGCATCTGTGACAGGGTATTTCTGTCAGGAAAACATACAGCCTGGGGGAGGAAATCAAAGATAGCGATAAAGTCATTATGGGACCTGCTGATTCTCTTCCCCCCCCTGCAAATGGGAAATGAGAAAAACAAAACCTAAAGAGAAAATCCACATGGAAGAGCTCGGGTACCCGTGTTATGATTTGTTTTCTGTCAGGAAATGGAACGTTTAAAAGGAGGAAAGTCGTCGTTTGCTGATGTTCAGGCGGGTAAAGCGTCAAATCATCGGCGTAGAGAACGAGACAAAAACTGGACGAACGCGACAGAGTTCTTCACCTCATATTCCTACAAAAACATCCCGTTTGAAGAATCTGACTCGAAGCTCACAGTTTGATTTTAACGTGCGCTTTTAGACTCGGGAAATGTTCCTGCTCGGTTCCAGCCTCGAGCACACAGAGCCGTGTCAGAGTTTGTAATGTAAACAGACTCTCAGGTGAAGGTGTTTCTCACAGCGCTGCAGGGATCCCTGTCTCTGTTATCGTGTGTCTACCGGCCTGAAGGTGTGTTTAAAATCTCCTCAAGACTTCGTGTAGCCCCTCCCCCCTCTTTTGACTCCGCCCTTTCTTATGTTGGCTTGCGTTTTGGTGGTGAGGCGAGCAGAAGTGGGGTTTTTTTGCGTCCTACGCTACTTTTAGCCGCTCAGAGCTCCGAGGAGGGCCGAGGGAACCACGAGAGAGGGGTGTGCGAATACAGCGAGGTGATTGGATGGAGAGGCGGAGCAGGAGTTTGACCAATAGGAGCTGTCTGGGACGGATGGCTCCCATTGGTCAATGATTTATTCCATTCTTTTTTCTCTTCACTTTGTGGAGATCGCTCTATAGGACCATGATCGCCATAGAAACAAGGTTCATAATAATTACCGATCTCTCCAGTCGTCAACCGTGACTTTAAGTGATGATCTGGTTTCAGAGGTGGGCCTTGGCTGTGTGACTCCTGATCTGTCTGATCCTTTTAACGCTGTAATGGTCAAAATGAAAATGTTGAATATTTCAGGTCGTCTCACGTGTCCCTGCCTGCACCTAAAGAGAGTAATGAGTGTTCGATACTCAGCCCTGCGGTCTTTTTTCGCTCGGCGGAGCGTTCAGCTGTTTGAATACAACTTTTATGTTGAGCGGACAGCAGAGAGGACTCAGCGCCGTCTCACCGGGCCGGGGTAGCAGACTTAAATTCCGAACACATAAAACAGGACCCGGTCTTCTCGGGGAACAATGGTCCGCTGATCAAAGAGCTAATTTGCCAAAGAGAGTGTATTCCTTTGAGGTTCTCAGCGGAGATATTACCGCCGCCGTATGAGTGCGAGCGGCAGGAGAAACATAATGTTCTCTGCAATATAAAGACGGGAACAAGAGTTCTTCAAGTTCATCAAGTTTGTCTCAAATGTATAATAAATGGAGAGGTTTTGGATGGTGTCACTCTCGCCTTCTCCCGGTTCCTCGCCGTGTTAATCGATGAAATATTTATCAGCCTCTCTATGTATCTTCGAAAACATAATGCAGGAACTCTGCAGACCTATGAGCTCGGAGTCATGACTCATACAGGGAAACATATGCCTTCAGAGTGGAGATGGAATTTAGAGGAAAGCTTTGTGATCTAATTAAGTAGCAGTGGGAGGAAGACATACGGCGGATCTGTGCGTTTTTGCCAAGAAGAGCGAGCCTCCAAATACGCCCGTTCCCCCCTCTGTGAATCATGCCAGTGTGCCGTTATATAAGCAGAGACATGCCTGGGAATATTTTCTCTGCTCAATATTTAATGCTTCCACCCATTTATATTCACTGCATGTGCACACACACTCACACACACACACTCGCGTTGTGTTTTCCTCCTTGTTTTCACGTTTTCTTTTATGTTCCCTGTTTTCAGCAGAAGGACGTTTTTAATGAATCATTACGCCGTCGATTCGGAGGTGTGTGTTTGCGGTCGTATTAGGGCCTGTCTGTCGTGGTTAGAGGAGCCACTTTAGTCCGACGGAACACGGGCCTCAAACTTGTTTCCACGTAAATCGGTTTACACACAAATGCGCACACAAACGCACAAACGCACACAAACACGGGCGGACTGAAAAAACCTCTTTGGGTTTTAAGACTGAAAGGGAGCGAAGGTTTTGTCTGCCAGGCATATCCCTTCTGGTGAGATGAGATTAGCTGAGGCTGTTGGTGTGCGTGTGCATGTGTGTGTGTGTGTGTGTGCGTGCGTGTGTGTGTGTGTGAATACAGATTTCTTTTAATTTCGTTGAATCGAATCCTTTCACTCATCACTGTAAGATCACATTTTTCCATCTGTTCACAAAAACCCCGCACCCTGCGAGTGTGTTCATACGTGTGTGTGTTTCCATGCGTGTTTGTGCGGATGTTCCCTTTTTGCTCGAGAGCACGCACGCTCCTCCGTGTATGGATTCTTGGCCTCGACGCGTACGGAGGTCTGGCGGTGCACAGGGAAGGCTTTCTGCCGCCGAGAGAGGTGACCTTCATAATCAGCTGTGCTCAACCTTCTGCCCACGGCTTTTTCTGCCAAGCAGGACTCAGCCTGAAGGGGCCACTGCCAGACCACCAGCAACCCCCCCCCCAGTAACACCTCCAATCCAGCTCTTTAAATCAGCCCCCGGCCTTACACAGCCTTGATAAAAAGGAGCTTACCTGAGCTTGGCCTTTGAGCAAGGACAGGAAAGAGCTTCCATCAATCATAAAGACCGGACTCTCCGCGGCTGAGCGATGATTTTCACTCCTGTTGGAAACCAAACAGGAGGGGAAATAATCAGAGAGAGGAAGAAAAGCAGAAAGATTCCCAACATCTCGACGTTTTCTTTGACAGAGAAACTTCAGTGAGAGACTGTGAGGCTCGGTAACACCGCAGACAGACAGACAGACGAGGGCTCGTACAGTTTTGTCAGATATCCGACAGATCTGACACACAGCTGGACTGACAACTGCTGAAGCCTCGTAACTCCACGCCTTTAACAGGAGATAAAATAATAATCGAAAAGTGCAAGTGTGAATTTTCTGAGAAAGTGTTTCAGGCACATTTGATTCTATACAGAACTCAACCTGCTGTAACGCTGACTCTCTTTATGAACCTTCACACCTCCTTCAAGACTTTCACCGCCTACAAAACGTCACCTTCTAGTTTTACCACCAGTTTCCACCTTCATCCAGAACGGCTACAGAAGGCCGTATCCGCCGATCGCAGCTGATCGTAACCATTCAAGTTAACGTGTCAATTTCCACCGCAAGACTTCTATTTTTTCTGGACGCCGGAGCATGGCGGATAAATTCAGCACAGATTAACCCGTGCTGGAAAGGAAGTCGGGCACAGACACAAAATAAAACATCGTGTAAAACTCCGTGTTTCAGGAGGATCGTATTTCACACCATGCAAACGGGCGGAGACGAACAAGTGAAAGGTTTTTAGATGTCATTTCACCCCGATGACACCATGGATGAGGAGATGCTGATTCTAGAAGTCTAGAAGTAGATTTCCTCCTCTGGAAGGACACAATCTACTGCTTATATGTCTATGTGTCTGTCTTTAGAGAGACAACTCGTTATCGTGTGATTTCACATGTGAGTTCTCGCGATAACTGCTGTCCGTAATCAAACACAAAATTCGCCTCACCAACGGATCCGGTAGGAGGATGTCGAAAATCGCTGCCGTTCTGGACTGGAGCCGTTCTGGATGTGGTGAAAATTTGGGGTTAGGAGTTCGGCTTGTACACGAAGTGTCGCCTAAATGAGGACAAACTCGACACTGACTTCAGCCTCGCTCGGCGCACTGCAGCACTAACACACACTCACTGAAAACTTATCAGGAGGGGAACAAAAGCAGAAGCTGCTGAGCGTAGCAGGACGACAGTGCCGAGTCCTCTGACAAAGGTCAGCTGGGAGACAGGGACAGGTGGTTTTTACCAGAGACCAGAGAATATTTGACGTTTTTGAAACTTCTCAGAGTCGTCCGTTTCTGTCTCGGGGGGTTTATAAACAGCTGTTGAGTGTTTTTGTATCTGCGGCTCTCAGAATAGAGCCTATCACTTAATCCGGCCTCCCTGGATCGTATTTCATACATCACTGGTACCTGAGTGTGGAGATAATGGAGGAAACGTATTGCAAATGGAATATCTTTGAGTTACAGACTCCTGGTTGCACAAAAACTTGAAAGTTCATATTTGAGGCTCTTACTCAGAGAGTGATTTTCTTTTGTTCCTGAAACTGCACGCAGGGAAAATTCATCTCATTACTGTCCTGCGCCGCTCTGTCGGTGTGTTTTATCTCTGTGTGTGTGTGTGTGTGTGTCTCACACTCATCCCGCTTCTCTTTGGACCCTCCAGGTGAGGCGCACGATAAGGACGTCCAGGTTGTGGAGCTACCTATCGTGGACAGCCTCCACCCTCGGCCTCCTTACCTGCCGCTGGCTATTCCCGAAGACTTGGCCCCGCGCCTGCACCGTCTCCACGGCGACCCCTCCGTCTGGTGGGTGTCACAGTTTGTCAAGTACCTGGTGCGGCCTCAGGCGTGGCTAGAGAAGGAGATTCAGCAGAGCACCGCCAAGTTGGGCTTTAAACACCCCATCATCGGGTAAGAACACACACACGCACACACACACACACGCGCGCGCACACACACCTCCATCTCTGAGTGTTTCTTATCAACTCCTCGGCTCTAATGACTCTGGAGCAAAACTCTACAGTTTAGTTTACAATTAAGACAAAGAGAGGCAGAGCTGTTGGAGATTAAAGCCACAAACACAAACAGGAGTTCAGGTTTAGGTTAATGTGAGGTTAATTCAGCGGCGCTGGGTTTAACTTCGTTTGATAAGAGAGGGTTTCCTTAATTTACCACCTCTGTTCATCCTCAGAGGACGACTTTACAGCTTCACACCCAGTCAGCCCATCTTTATACTCAAGGAGCCTTTTAATAAAAAAGCCCTGAGTCTGTTTTCTTCACTTTGACTGATGTCCTCCTCATTAAAGTCCCACTCCAATCTTTTTTTAAAGTACTTAAAGTCTTCTCAGTCGTTTTTAAAATGTGATTACAAGGTTTTTTTAGCGTCTTTTTCAGAGGCTTTTCTTCTGCAGAGCTCCAGTAGATAAATTAGTAATTCACCTCTGAGTCGTGGGCGGAGTCAGCGCTGCTCTGAACACTGCTCCTCCTAATATTGCCGGGAGTAGAAGTAGCAGGTAACAAAGGAGGTATTCAGCTCTCGGACACTAACGTCTTTGGGGACACGATGAAAGTTAATATCATCATTAGCTTTCTTACGAGCGTTACAATCCGCTAACGCACAATCGTTCTCTCTACTTCTCAGAGTCTGGCCTGCATAGCGAGGTTCTGCATGCGGAGCTTACTGTATTTTTCTGATAATAAGGCGAACTTAAAATCCTTTAATTTTCTCAAAAATCCTCAGTGTGCCTTAAGTATGAATTCTGGTTGTGCTTACTGACCTCGAACTGATTTCAAGTGGTACACAGCGCTCAAAAATCTGTCAAAATGCTTGTCGGAGCACTTAGTTTGGCTCAATGGGCTTTATAATCCGGTGTGCCTTATGTATTAAGATAGACGCGAATAGACGCGTTTATTGATGGTGCGCCTCATAATCAGGTGCGCCTTTTAGTGCGAAAGATACGGTAGATTTGTGGCGTTGGAAATCTCACTTTTTTCTGAACCTGCAGTTTGTTTTTGTAACAGATTCACCTCGATTTAAATGCAGAAATACTCAGAAATGCAGTTTCACACTTAGTTTCCTCATGATATGTCCTGTAGCATCAGAAAAATGACATATGAACATGAAGACAACAAGAAAAACAAGATTTTCATCGGAGCGGGTCTTGAAATCCTCGCTTGCTTCTCTGCAGTTTACCTCCTGATCTTCCACCAACTCCCTTTAATTTAAAGCCTGATGTTGTTTATTCCTCTGAGCTCCAACCCTGTATAGAATAAACTGGATACTAAACTCATTTAATTGGCTGCTATTTTTGCTCTGAATAATACATTCATTTTTTACAGGAGTTATAGAAACTGTCTCTCATTTAGAGTCGAGTTTCTGCTCCTGATCAGTATTTTTAATCTGTACTCTCGTCTGAGCGTCCGTGCTAATCTCTGTTCTGCTTGACTTTGAGTTGGATGCTAATGTTAGCCCATGCTAACGGCTCACAGGGTCATTTCTAACACACTGAGCCCGTCACTGTCGCTGAGTTTGTCCTCTGAGATTCATCTGAAGTTTCTTTTAGAAGGAAGAGAGTCGTATAAAATCCTCACACAGTGACCACTGCAGGGAACACTTCAGTATTCAATTATAGCGCGCTCCAGGGTGCTCAATAATCATTTACCCCCAAAACTAGAGAGAGAGAGAGCCTATCGGAATAAGTGAAATAATATTAAGTGAAACATAAAATAATGACCTTATTAAATAGTGTTGAAAGAAAAGGAAAACCCCATACCCTATTCTTTAAGAAGTTCAGTTCCACTTATCGATTTTTTTCAGAATTAGATTTTAAACTTTAAACAGTCCGTGGTTTTGTTTGAAGGATCCGGCTAACGCTGAGGATTTAAGTGAAACGTAACCATAGTAACCAAAGAGCAAAAGTTCTGTATCAAGCCTCGGCCTCGACACAATTTAAGAGGCTTTCTGCAATCCTCCTAAGAGGAAGCCGTGAGCTTTTGGAGGGAAAATTCACATCAGAGTTGAAATAAAGTTTGAAGGTAGTTTTTCAAACCAGTTACTGATGTTAAGTCGACGTAATGCCGAGCAAAGTTAGTCGGCTTTATCCTGAAAAAATCAACGTAAAGGAATATATCCAACAAAAGAGAGAGTGTCCGACCTCTGTTCTACGCAATAATCCCAAATAAATCATCAAATAATCCCCCATAATGCACCTCAGTGTCCGAACGTCTGAATACGACACCTTTTCATAAAACCTGGCGTCCCTGGACCAGATGAGACGACACCAACCTTCTCAAATCCGCCTCTTTAAGGTCTGATTACTGAGCGCCTGAGTGTCGTCTCTGTCTTGTTTTGCCCCCAGAGATTCGTCTCTCTGCTTCAGACCGACTCGGGACTTGTTGTTTTCTAGTGCGGTATGACTGGAGAGAATCCATCATCAGTATGAGGTCCTCTGTTCCCCTGAGAGCCGTCCCGTCCCAGGGGGAAATGTATGAAGTCCTAATACTGTTCGGCTCTTTTCAAACAGGCGTCTCATAAATTGGAGAACACATTCAGCTGCTCGTGTTGATTTTTCTCTCTGACCTTGTCAGGCGGACATCAACAAACATTAGTCTGCTCTCTGGCAGCTCCTCCTGATTAATAAATAATTCTCCTCCGTTCTGTGAGCGTCACATTACACCTGAGTAAAAAAAAAGGAGATTTTCATTAGTGTCCTCCATCTTCAGCAAATATCCAGGGGAACCTCATCAGACCCCAGGTCCCCCAGGACAGAGACCAGACCTTCCTATCCAGACAGAAACCTGGAGCAGAACCAGATTTATAGGTGGACAGTCATCTGCCAAGACTAGCTGAGCAAAGAAAGGGTTGAGAGGTTATTTAGTCTTGTTTAATATATGGAAATATTTTTGGATTTGATTCTGACCCCAAATTTCCACCACATCCTGAACGTCTCCGTTCTGGCAGCAGTTTTCGCTGTCTGCCAATTCGGGAAGTGGGAATCGTGAGAACTCACAAGAACCCGCGGATTCACGTGAAATCCCGCAATAACGAGTCGTCTCTATAAAGACAGACACATAGACATATAAGCAGTAGATTGTGTCCTTCCAGAGGAGGAAATCTACTTCTAGACTTCTAGAATCAGCATCTCCTCATCCATGGTGTCATCGGGGTGAAATGACGTCTAAAAACCTTTCACTTGTTCGTCTCCGCCCGTTTGCATGGTGTGAAATACGATCCTCCTGAGACACGGAGTGTTTTATTTTGAAAAGAAGCCGGATGTTTTATTTTGTGTCTGTGCCCGACTTCCTTTCCAGCACGGGTTAATCTGTGCTGAATTTATCCGCCATGCTCCGGCGTCCAGAAAAAATAGAACTCTTGTGATCAGCTGAGGAGTCCGGCGATCCGCAGAGGAACGGAAAGAAGTCGGTGTAAATTGACACGTTAACTTGAATGGTTACGATCAGCTACGATCGGAGGATACGACCTTTTAGGAGACATTCTGGTTAAGTTAGTGAAGTTAGTCTGGTTTAGATCGTTGAGTTAGTCTGGTTTATTTCATGAAGTTAGTCTGTTCCAGTACTCTCAGGTCCATCTGGTCCTGGTCCCCCTGCCCTTCAGATCTCCTCTTTTTGTCGTCTTCCTCTTTACATTTTGCTGCGAGCGATCAGCGCTCCTCTTCCTCTCTTCTTCCTGTCCTGCTCTGATTGGTTCTCTCTCGCTCGTGTTCCCTCTCTCCTTCTTTTATTCCCTCTCCTCTCCTCCTCTCCTCTCTTTGGTTGTTACCTCTCTACCTTTCCTCACCCTGGCAGCTGCCGTCTCTTTCTCTCTCCTCCCCCTTTTCCCCTTATTTTTATTTCTTTTTTTTTTATTTTCTCTGACTTCTCCAAACTTTTTCAATCTTCATTTGTTCATCCAGCTTTGAGATTGTTTAAATTTTGATATTTCACACTCACCTCTCCTCACGTTCCCCAGGCGCCCATCCCTACCCACAATCCTCTCTCTCTCACTCTGAGCTTTACACACATCTCAGCCGCTCCTCCTTGTGTTTCCACTCCTCCTCCCCCTCCTTACTCACCCGTTCCTCCCCTCATATCACTGGGGAAAGGGTTATTGAAATGAAGTGCTGGATAGAACAAAGTTTCATCCCTTTTTTCCCCTCCTTTCTAAGCTCTTGATACCTCCATTTCTCCCCACACTGATGTAGCAACAAAGTGCCTGTGTGCTTCTATCAGCGCCGAGGGGGAAGGTGATATATAAGGGGGAGGTGGGGGAGATATAAAAGGGAGGTTGAAAAGGATCCATAGTGTCAGTGCAGGAGAGAGAGAGAGCCAAGAGGGACAGCAAGACAGCTTGTCCCCAGAGCACCCGATGAAAACCAGCTGACCCCCACCCACTGTCAGCCGTCACTGCCTCCTCCTCCACCCTCCTCTCCCCCGCTGCTTCTCCCCCAGGATGGGAGCTGCAGGAAGGACTAAAAGCCTCCATCAGCAGCAGCAGCAGCAGCAGCAGCTCCATCCTGCTGCCTCTGTTTAATGCTTCCTAATGGTGAGAGAGAGAGAGGGGAGGAGGCACACTCGCCGCCTCTGTTGCAGCATTATCGCCGTGGCGATGTGGTTGCCAGGCACCAGAGCTACTATTTATCTTTTCTAATATCATGTGTCAGGTCTGTGCTGTATAAATAATGCCTAGAGTGTGTTGTGTATGTATTTTTATCAGAGTAAAACCTTAAGAAGAATCAATAACACAGAAAGGTCATGATTTAAAAACAGAGATTTTCTTCTTCTTCTTCTCCAAATTTAGAGCCTCTGGTGAATAATCAGGAGGAGCAGAGCTGCATCTGAACCATTTTCTCTCTTCTCCCATTTATTACGAGCTTTTCTGCGCCGCTACAACCAAACAGAATCCACAGAACCTGAAATGTGAGCCCGTATTTCAGGGTTCTTGTTTCTGTTTTCATATGTTTGTGTTCAAAGTAGGATTAATGATCTTTAGGAGCAGCTTCGGTGTTTGTATGAAGAGTAAAAACAGGTGGAATACAATCTGCTGTGTTTATTCATCTCTATCAGCAGATACCTTCATGCACATGCAGCCAGTGAGACGTTCAAGATGAGAAAATATCTGTGAAGCTGCAGGATGCTGTTAAATCAAAACCCCTCAGAGTTCAGATTCACTGAAGTCAATTAAAAAGGGAGTTTTTCTGGATTTCGTTGCACAAAGAAACATTTTCAAAGCTGTAGAGTAACAAGACCTCCTTTTTCATTTCTTACAGATCTGATTTTATTTTAACAAACTGAAAATAAAAATTTTATTTAAATATTTAGTTTTCAGCTTAATACCGCTGCAGTAAATCAGAGTGAAGCTGTGAGTAACAGAGGATTTACAATGAGACCTGTCAGAAACAGATAAGAATGATGTAATGACTGTTCGAAGTAGGTCTGAGCGATATGGCCTTAAAATCAAATATCATGATATATTGATCAGTTCACCTCGATAACGATAAATGGACGATAACTACTCCACAAGCTGTTCACCCCCTCACACATTAACTTCGTCTTTTCAACTTTCTCTCCGTCCTCCATCTCCTCACCTGTCTTTCCCTCTTTGTTACAGACTGGATGGGGTGGAGTCACGTCTCTGATGTAGGGGGGACATGAGACCATAGCCTACCTACACACATCCAAAAACAACTTTGGCAAAATGACGTTGGTTATTTTGGTATCAGTAAATTTTCGGTTTATCGCCCAGCCCTACTAAATTCAATTTAATTAAAATGTCCGTATTTCGAGGCATGCAGATGGCCGATTGGGTAAGAGCGCTCCATGTATGGGGACCTACAGTCCGCCTGGGGTCGCAGGTTCAAGTCTGGCCCCAACCACGTGTTGCATGATGTGTCCCATGTGCCCCCGCATCTCCCTACATATCAATAAAAGACAAAAAATCGCCCCAAATAAAGGCAGTTTTTCTGGATTTCGTCGCACAAAGAAACATTTTCAAAACTGCAGAGTGACAAGACCTCTTTTTTCACTGCAAACCAGAGTGAAGCTGTGAGTAACGTAGGACTTACAGTGAAGCTGAGACCTATCAGAAACAGACGTGCGTGTTGTAATGACCGTGTTTGATTTCACTTCTGAAGCTGCTAATCGGACTGTAAACGACATGACAGCATCCATCTTTAAAATTCACCCTGTCATCTCAAAAGGCCGATAGATCCTCTTCAGACGATAACATGAGGACAGCGGTTAAGGATGTCTCCTCAGTGAACCAGAAAATCTATTTATATATTTGTCTGTTTTATTAAATAATGAGTAAACGATGTTATTCAATAAGTGTTTTCTTATTTATAAAAATATGCTGCAGGTCATTAAATTCAATCTTACATCACGTATAGAGCGCCGAGCTGTCAGCTCTGTTCTTTGAAGATGATTTGACGATTTTATTTTTATTTTGAAGATGTTTACATCAGTTTTTTAACACCAAGAGTAAAAATAACTGACGGGTTTTAATGTCAGAAATTCTACAGTCAGATTTTACAGATACTTCAGGACAGACATCTACGTTTGCAAAGGTTAGCGGCCCAGACCTGCTCCTCTCTCCTTAATCGGAGTTATCGTCCCAGTCTGCTCCTCTCTCCTGGTGTGGAGCGTGGGTATGTTTGATGTGAGCTTTTACGCCCACAGTGAGGATCGCCCTGCCTTTCCAAAAACTGTCTGAATAGAGAGAAATGAATTATATTGAGGCTGTGAAGGGGGGATGGGGGGTCCTGCTGATGGAGAGAGAAAAGGACAAGACAAAAAGAGGAACAAAAAGCAGCGGACATGAAAGGCGTGAGGAAACAGGAGAGAGGAACCCTGACAAAGGACGGAGTCAGGACCCCTGTCTGATCACAGAGACCTAGAGTCCATGATGGACTCTGGCACCTCTGCCTCCCACTCACCCACTATTCCTCACTGAGCTTTTATTCAGCTCTGAAATAAAGGGGCTGTTTCTCCAACAGCAGACCTCCTGCTGGTCTCTGATTGATCACCGCTGAAGGGTAGAGATAAGGTCCAGCTTTCCTCCACCTTTGGCTCCTGCTCTTATTTACTCTTCTGCCTTTTTCTCAGTCAAACCAGGAGAGTCCCAGGAGATCCATGTTCAGAGTTTTTCTGGGTAGCTGCTACCTGAAGCTTCGCTAACATCCAGCTCAGACGGAACAACGCTGACGTCTGATCGTCGTCGTCGTTTTCTTTCGCCTCTAACCGGAGGCGTCCAGAAGGCGTCCTAACCAGATGCCTGAGCCACCTCAGCTGACTCCTCTCGTCATGGAGGAGCAGCGGTTCTCCTCTGAGCGCCTCCTGAGTGTCCGAGCTCCTTCCCCTATCTCTAAGGCTGAGCCCGGACACCCTGAGGAGGAAACCCATTTCAGCCGCTTGTATCTGCGATCTTGTTCTTTCGGTCATTACCCAAAGTTCATGACCATAGGTGAGGATCGGGACATAGATCGACCGGTAAATCCAGAGTCTCGTCGTACGACTCCACTGTTTCTTCACCACGACTGATCGGTTAAGCGTCCGCATCACTGCTGACGCCGCTCCGATCCGCCTGTCGATCTCCCACTCCATCCTTCTCTCATGAACAAGGGATTGGACGGCCCTCAATAGGGAACCCTCCACCCCGTACACCCGCAGTACCCCCCACAGGATCCCCTTAGGGACACGGTCGTAGGCCTTCTCCAAGTCCACAAAACACGTGTGGACTGGTTGGGCAAACTCCCATCTCCTCTCAAGAACCCGAGCGAGGGTGAGGAGTTGATCCGTTGTTCCGCGACCGGGACGAAAACCGCATTGTTCCTCCTCGATCCGAGGTTCAACTATCGATCGGACCCTCTTCTCCAGCACGTCTGATCTTGTTTAAAAAAGAGAGCAGCTCCTCCCCTCAATAAACACGTTTTTACCTGCTGCTTCGCCTAAAATATGCAGCAGGATCCACCAGATATTTGAGCGACGACGTTACTAAGGTCCTGAAACAAACACAGCTGACTCACTTTGGCGCCTAATTCTCTTGGAGAGGTGAAAATGATGAAATCTGTTACTAAGAGATTCGACCTGTTTTCTCCAGACCTAATGAGTTCTGCTCCCAGATGAGGCTTTGTCAATTTTAAGTGAAGGTCAGATTAAAAAAACAAAAATCACTTTTTTTCTGTTATTGTGAAAATCCAGTCGGTCCTCAAAGCCAGGAGTCAACAGCAGCTGCGGCTCGTTGGTTGTATAATTTAATAGGTCAAGTTGGAGTAAAGTGTGTTTCAGCATCCATCAGTTTGAGGGATGCCTCTTTGTCAGGAGAGGAACTATTTCTGCTCCTGCCTCTTTTTGTTCGGCGTTAAAAGCTCGTCTCTCTTTTTTCTTCTTCCTCAAACATCTGCTGAAAGCTCCGTCTCTTTGTCCTTGCTTACTGAGAGTGGTGACAAGGACACGGGGAGGAAAAAACAGACTATGTGTTTGTTATTTCTCTATCCGCTCTACTTTTAAGCTCACTTTAACGTCGCTCAGCTGCACTCTTCTTTTTCTTTTTTCTTTGATTTTCTGTTTTTTTTACGTTATATCAACAAAAAGAAGTTTCAAAATCAACCGTTTATGTTCGAGTGCAGTGTCTTTACTTTGACAAAATGGGCGTGTTATCAGGGAGACTGTTTTCTAGAGAACATATGAACACCAGCATCATCTCAGAGACTCATATAGATATTAGAGATGCATTTTTAAATGTGATTATGATGCTTTTTAACAGGTGGGTTCATAATAAGAAGTATCACAGACCTTAATGACAATGATGTTTCTGCAAAATGTCTTTAGTGTTCAAGAATCTTTTAGTTCACATTATCGTCGTCTAATCGAGCGTCCAAAGAGGACGGAGAGAACATGCTGGAACAAATGTAAGGTCTCTGATCGTTTTAATTTAAAGTGTTAAAGAAGTGTTAGACCTCATTAAGTGAAGATTAAAAACAGTCAGACTCAGTTTCGACACGCTGCGGTCGAGTTGAGATATTTTTCATTTGTCACAGATTCAAAGAAGTTTGACGTGGAGTAAAGTAGGGCTGGGCGATAAACCGAAAATTTACCGATACCGAAATTTAGGACAATAACCAACATCATTTTGCCCGTATTGGTATATTTGTTGTCAAATGCATAAATAAATCAAAGTTGTTTTTGGATGTGTGTAGGTAGGCTTTGGTCTCATGTCCCTTTAAGACGCTGTCCTACATCAGAGACGTGACTCCACCCCCTTCAAATGAAACACACCTTCAGCTGCGCGTCAGACCCTTTCTCTCCACCCTTTTTAAGAAGTAGAAGTTTCTAATCTGTTATAAAAGCTTTAGCAGTGTCACAAAGAATAAAGAACACAGTGAATCCATCATTTCCTGGTTTGATTATCGGGTTTGATAATTATCGGAAAATAATCCGACTGAAGTTGCACCAAATTCAACTTTTGTTCGTCAAACTAACAAACTTAGATCATTTGGATCGGGTAGATTTTCTTTTTCATTTAGAGTGAAACTGACCCATGTGTGCTCCAGAGTTCATGCTCTGATCCTTAATATAAAAGTTGAACAGCACAAGTGTGTTGCCAGTAGGGCTGGGCGATAAACCAAAAATTTACTGATACCGAGACGTGACTCCGCCCCATCCAGTCCGTAACAAAGAGGGAAAGACAAGTGAGGAGATGGAGGACGGAGAGAAAGTTGGAGTGGCTGAAGTAGACGAAGTTAAAGTGGGAGGGGGTGAGCAGGTTGGGGAGTAGTTATCGTCCATTTATCGTTATCGAGGTGAACTGATCAATATATCGTTATCGTGTGACGTTAGAAGACAGTTCAGCTCTGAACGTCGTTTCTTTTGGACCGTTTTCAAGTGTTTGAGTCTGTTTTTGAAGCGACCATCAGGAGTCTTTTTAAAGATGGTGGTCACCCGTCATGCACTGACCTAATCCACTTTCAGAACATCCAGACCTCCCACTGCACCAGAGTGTGTCCGAAAGTATCTAGGACACACTCAGAGGATAGTTTTCAGAGGATTAAACCGTTTTCTTCTCTTTGTCTGTTTTTACATCGACTAAATAAAACTTCTACAGTCCAAAAACACAAAAAAGAAACTGACAAAACTCTTTATAGTGAACTGTGGGAATGTCTCCTGACCTGGTCTGTGTCTGTGTTTGTGTCTGCAGAGTCCACGTGAGGAGGACTGACAAAGTGGGGACAGAGGCGGCCTTCCACCCCATCGAGGAGTACATGCTTCACGTGGAGGAGCAGTTCCAACATCTGGCCCGGCGAGTCCACGTCGACAAGAAACGAGTTTACCTGGCGACTGATGATCCCTCGCTGCTGCAGGAAGCCAAGACCAAGTCCGTGACCTTCTGAGTGTCTAAACTTCTTCATCTCACCTCCTCCTCCAACCGGATCTGATCTCATGTGTGTCGCTCCTTCTTCCAGGTATCCAGACTACGAGTTCATCAGCGATAACTCCATCTCATGGTCCGCCGGCCTTCACAACCGCTACACCGAGAACTCGCTGAGAGGGGTCATCCTGGACATCCACTTCCTGTCTCAGACGGACTTCCTGGTGTGCACCTTCTCCTCGCAGGTCAGTTCATCTCTCCTCCGTCCACGTCATTAAAGACGCCGCGGTTTTACAGAGCTGAACGGTCTGGAGGATTATTCAAGTGAAGGATAAATGTCTGAATTAACAAAACGACTTTTTTGTCAGATAGTATTTTGACACTTTTGTTGTTGTGATCCTGACAGTCCCGTTTACGTCGTATTTACCAACAATAATCCCAAATCAACAGTGATAATCCACGTTTAAAAAACACACCTCATCAGATAAAAGCCTCCGTCAGAAGAAAAGACGAAACGACACGAACAAAAAACCTTCAGAAGACAAAATCAGGTTTCTGTAACAAACGCCTTTTTTCCTTCAAGAAGCCTCTTCAGCGGTAAAAGAGCAGAAACACAAAGACGAACCTCATCATGTGATTTTCAACAACCTCATTGTCTCGTGATCACTCACACCTTTCAAAGCAGGGAAACAATGAGCTCATTTAGAGCAGCTCCGACATTAAAACGCCGTTTATCATCCATTCTTCTTTAACGCCGAGTGGACGGGCGCCACGCCAACACTCAAAATAGAGAGAGAGGCGCATCCTCTCCATTCACACTCCGGGTTTATTAATCCTCTCGGAGTCTCTGAGCTCATTCGATCCCCTTTTTTAGTCGCGGCGAGAGGAAACGCGTTTGTCTTAGAGTCTGTTTGTCATCATGAATGTTTTAGTTTATCGTGTTAATTTTGATTCCGTCTCCTCTTCGCTCTCCTCCTCCTCATCCTCGTCTCTCAGGTCTGCCGGGTAGCGTACGAGTTAATGCAGATGCTTCATCCAGACGCCTCCTCCTTCTTCTACTCCCTGGACGACATCTACTACTTCGGAGGTCAGAACGCCCACAACCAGATCGCCATCTACCCACACCAGCCGCGCAACAGCGAGGACATCCCCCTGGAGCCCGGCGACGTCATCGGCGTGGCGGGCAACCACTGGGACGGATACTCCAAAGGCATCAACCGCAAACTGGGCCGCACCGGCCTCTACCCCTCCTACAAGGTCAGAGAGAAAATCGAGACGGTGAAGTACCCGACGTACCCGGAGGCGGACAAACTGCTCAACTCTCAGAGGAAGTAAAAAGAAGAAAAAGGAAAAAAAAACAAAAGAAGAAGAGGAGAATCACGCAGACTCCGGTTCCAGGGAAGGAGGCTGCTTTTGTACAGAGAGAGGTGTACTTAGTGCGCTAAGCTGAAGAGAAAAGAAAAGCCTGTACCCAGGGGTGGTAGGGAAGAGAATGCACTCTGTGTCTATGTGAGGGTGTGTGTGTGTGTGTGTGTGTGTGTGTGTGTGTGTGTGTGTGTGTGAGAGAGAATGTGTGTGTGTGTGCGCACTTGTGTAAATGCCTGTGCATATGTCGGGTCATGGCAGACTTCCACCCCACCACTACTCCCCCGCCCGGCGCTCTGACGTCGGGTCTGTAGAGACGTAGACATGAACATCGATTTTAAATAAAGCAAGAAAACAATTAAATCCACACGACTGACCGAGCTCGCTCTCTCGCTCGCTCGCTCAATCTCTCGCTCTCTCTCCCGGGACTACGAGGACTGGGACTACTGTAAGACTGGCACACCCCAGAGTTCGCTTCAGAATCAACGACGGAGAAAACAAAAAAAAAAAAGAAAAGACAAAAACTGGAAAAGTGTTTGATTTTTATTTAATTCCTTTCGGTGGTTTTTTGATTCTTCTCTTGCCTTTTTTTTCTTCTTCTCTTGTTTTATTTTTTTGTTTACTGAATGTACTGTATCCTCTTCTTGCCATGCTCACAGCTGCCCCCCCCAACACTTCCTCCTCCTCCTCCTGCTGCTCCTCCTCCTCCTCCTCCTCCACTCACTGTGCTTCCTCCACCTCGTCTCTCTTTCTCTCTATATGTGCAATTAATTTTTTAAAACCATATTGTGCTTTTTATGGAGTGTTTTTAAACGGTCTTAATTTGAGTGTATGGGGCTTGTGCATTGTATACTGTACAGTGTGTGCGTGAGTGTGCGAAAGTGTGTGCGGATGTGTGCGAGCGATCAAGCGTGCCTGCGTTCACGTCTATAAGGGGCCATGTCTGAACCTGGTGCCTGATGAGTCTCATGATGAGCAGTGTGTGTTTGTGTTTTTCTTATTTTCCCACTTTTCCTCCCAGTTGAATCGTGTTTGTGTGGCCGGCGGGGGGAGACTGGCAGTGACAGAGGGGGACTGACTCCGCCCTCCCTCCTTCCCTCCCTCCTAGCACTTGGAACAATGGTGAACTCCAGTCACTCCTCTGGTGACCTCTAGTGAACAATGGTAAGATTATGTGGAGTACGGTGAACTCATGGTGCACGCACACACGCAGACACAGGAGCCGTCCACCAAAAAAAAAAAGAAGCACTCCGCGGCGGAGAAATGTCCTCTTTTCGCACCTCTGCTGTCCAACTGTTGTTTTATTTTTCTTTATCATTGCTGTTTTAAAACAAACAAGGAAGAATATGCCTCTGTTTTCAAAAATGATACTGCTATGTCATGTCCAACTCTCCCATCATGAAGGCTTTTTTTCATAACTTATGTTCTCGGGCATTGTCTTTGATAACCACAGATCAAATAAACTTGAGAAACCAACGCAGCGTTTTCCCCCCTCTTTTTTTTTTTTTAAAGTCTGGTCTGATTCTGTTCGCCATCTGCTCCTTCTTCTCTGAACGGGCGACACCTGCTCGTTCAATCAGGCTGCGCATGCTTCAAACTCCATAACACACACATCGCGAGCTGAGAATCGAGGCTTTTTTCATATTTGAAGAGCTCATTTCCAGAAGGGTATCCGTCTATTTTTGAAGAGGAAAAGTCATCGCCTGAAGTTCATCTTTTGATGTCTTCATAAAAAGGAGTACCCTGCCTCTTAAATTGGTATCATTTTGGCATCCTAGGATTAGAGCAACCAGTAGTTTGTTTTATAAATCATTCAGCGAGAGTGCATATCCATTTTGGAGCCGTTTGGCATCAAAAACACTCGAACCCGTCTTTGGTTTACGTTTCAAACTCGAGCACAAGATCAGTACCTTTAACAGACACGTCAGCGTCCCCTCATTCCAATATTCCTCCTGACAGCTACGTGACATTTCTGCTCCAAACGCAGAGACGCCATTAAAGCGCCGGCAGACTCCCCGCTCGAGCTTGCTTCACGTCTCAATCGTTCCTGATCTCATTCTTTGTGTCTTATTTATGGACTGTCTAGTTACTTCCTTACTGAGGGGGCTGTGGGAGTTTCATTACAGATCCCTCTTTAATTTCAGCGATGATCTGCATGCTTCATTGGACACCCATAAGGAAAGCCGCAGCAGTGGTAGCGGAGATGAGCTTTTCGAGAGAGTAATAGTTTTATTGCTTTTTTTTCCCCCTCCTGCCTGACAACAATCTGCAACCAATTTAGCCCGCGTTGACAAAGCGTTCACAACGCACACGCGGCGTACAGCAGCTCGTTGAACATCTCTTTTCTCCAGGAAGGAGTCCCTCGTGGGCTTTCTGAGCGCGCACGCAAACTGGAGGGCACTTTAATTAAAATACTACTGGTTGCTGTCACAGTGGCCTGTAACAGTCGTTTAAGAGAGACGTTAGTTCAGTTAATTATTCTGTTAATTGGACTCTGCTCTTGATAGAGAACGTTCAGGTGTAGAAGCGGGCGGGTTCCTCTTTGTGTGTTTGCGCTCTAATTGCCGCTGAGGTAATTGATGGGACAGTACGGCCATTTAAGAGGCCACCACCTAAAGTCGTGCTCTGAAAGGTAATGTGGTTAAACAGGATACACTTTTCCACAGATGGTCCGCAGTCTGTTCTCAGGTAATTGGTCGAGACCCAGAATTGAGGTTCTGAACCGTTGCCAGTGTGTCGTGGATGTCCTTTGCTGCACCTTAAAGCTCCTGTAAGGAGTTTTTAGCTGGTTATGAATCAGATTTGAGTCAACAGTCAGTCCGTTTACATGACACTCGAGAAAACCGAATTATCACCTTACTCCGATTAAGACCGGACAACTGAAGTCCAAACCCTAACTCTGATTAAGACACCCAGATAATGAGATTGGAATTTGATTTTCTCGAGCATGTAACCGGCATAGTCAGAAATGGACATTTTAAAGTTTACAGACGGTCGCAAAACAAGGAACGGAGACATCTTTAAAAATGGTCCGGAAACAGCGCCGCCGACCTAGTTTTGGGGAGGAGGACACGTTTACGTCAATAATTCGATTTTCTCAGCTGCATGTAAACGAGGACAAGAAGAGAAGTCTGACTCAGTGAAAAAAAACGAATTATGAGCTTAGTCTGATGAAGCTGTGCATGTAAACGCACCAAGGGACAACTTTCCAGGACCTTTAAAAGCAAATGAACCATCAGCGACAAGTCAGACTATTTCTACTTTGTTTTCTTTGAATGTCTTTGGACAGAAGAAGTGGACAAAACCTCATCTGTGTTGAATTTGTGTTGAAAATGCACCTGTAGAGGTCCTCTGGTCTCTTTGTAAAGTTCCTGTGGTTGATATAAAAACACAGAGGGTCATTTGCAAGTTCTGCCTTCTAAGATGTTATCATGCAAACATTTCCTTTTTAGCACCCAACTGAAACTGAACCGGACTGAATCCAGCATCTGTGGAGGCATACAGCTGGTGTGGTTTCAACAGCCTCTAGATCTGACTTTCTCAGACGACTCAGTGCTAATACTTGCAGTGAAATGTTGACTTAACACTTTTGTTTTGTCTCCTTGTAAAGGAGAGGCTGACACAGAGTGACTTCAGCCTCATTTTGTAAGTTTTGTTTTTAGACCACATATCTCAGGGGAATAGAGATCATTCACAGACAGACTCGGGTGCTGAAAGCCCAGTTTGATTCACCAAACAGAACCCTGTCAGTCTCTCACTCCTGTAAAGTTTCTTTGATTTTAGTCCAAACTTTGAGTCCTTTCGCTGACCCAAGGAAGAATAATATTCAAGCTTTGATTTAAAATCTTGACAGGAAAAGTCGAAGCTCTCTTATCTTACTGCGGAAAGAAAGAGTGAGAGGAGGAAAGTCTGTAAGAGTTTCCTTAACATGGTGATTATTTAGGTGTCCAAGATGCTCTAATGAAGTTTGGAAATATTGGAAATATTAACAAGAGAAACTCGCCCTTCATCTTTTCCTTTTAAGGGAGTAAAGTTATTTTTCTGTCCTCTGAAAAATGGAAAAGTGAAAGGGTAGAGCAAACATACAGGTCACTACTTCTTTGCTTTCCATTTGAGGTTGTTCGAGTGTCTTTATATCCCGAGCCAATCAGAGATTTAAGGAGAAAAACCCTAAAACTTGAGAACGTGTCCTTTAATGGTCTGAGAACATGGACCAAGTCTTCATTGTAACTCTGATGAAATTCATATCAAACCGAGATGTGCGGGTTCACCATCGCCTCGTGGATTTCTAATCTTGTAAAGGGCAGCTGAATTAATTCTGCCTGACTCATGAAAAAAGGGAGAGGAAATGGAAATGATTATTGTAGTCCTGGCCGGCTCCAATCAGAACTCTGTTGGCGCTGCGGTAACAAGTGGAGCCTGCCCCACGGTACCTGGCCCACATCAAAGCTGAGGGGGAGCACTCAGACAAGACGCTGTCAGCTTTTCACGAGGCACTGAAGATTCACAGGCGTCAATCTTTCTCCTCCTCTCCTTAAATCAACTTAAAGCAGCGGGCCCTCTGTGTTTTTAATCCACACTGCTCACTGGCCTCACTGTAAACCTGATACTATAAACCCGATTCTTGGCACTAAGCGAGGCTGCTGAGTACATCATCACTTAGAGCAACAAAGGGTGATTTGTTTGGCACTCACACTGTACTTTGCAGTGATCTCTGCTGGGCATCCACTAAATCAGGGTTTCTAATGGACTGCTGCTGACACACAGAAACAGAAACTATTCAGCTGCTAACGTAGCACTGCGCAAACCCATCAACCATATCTGAAAACCAAGAATGAGGCTTTAGACACTTGCAGATTTGTAGTTAGAGGTCTTCACAAATTAAACAACCATCAAGGATGGTGCTGGTCAACAGGGGGCGCTATGGCTCTGCTCCACCACCCTTCACAGGAACAATGGCGTGCTAATAATGGAATAATACGTATTTTTAAATTAGTCAGATTGGGGTTTTGATAAAATAAACTGTGGTAAATGTGTTACCAATTGAGTAAAATGAATAAACTGCAGTGAAAATGTAGGTTTAAGATTTCATACGCGTGTGATCTAAACTTGTTCGATCATGTATTTCCTGTTCAGGCCTCTGTTAAACATAGATATATAAGAAAGGCTTTTTTTATTTTTACGTTTATTTTATTTATTTTTATTCCAAGCTGTCTAACTTGGCTAACAGACTCGCTGTGAGTGAGACCAAGTACATGTTACAAAGTTGACCCAGTAATTTTAAGTTTGTTGGAGATGCAGAAATGTTCTTTTGATTCAACATAACTGAAGTTGTACATGATTTCCAAACTGTTTGGTTTGTTAAAAACATCTAAAATGGCAACATGAGGCAGAAATTTATATTGAAAATAAATATTCATATATGTTATTATAGTTATCCCTATAATCAAAATATCAATTATATAACATACATGGAATGATTAAATGTTTTATATATAAATGATTTGATATAACTGCCTTGTGTGTGTAGGCGTATAGCTATTGCTCTATCAATCTGTTTAGTGTTTCTTTATGAAAATCCATGGTTAAAATTATTCTTGAGTATGCAGGAACATAACTAAAACGCTGAGGTTTGATACAAACCAAACCGTTTGAAAATCGGTTCAAAATTAATCAATTTATGGTTAATTAAATGCTACATGCACCGTAGACTGGAATGTTATGAATGGGCGAGCTGCCCGTAGCAAAATGGCCGCCACGCGCGAAGGTCGGTCGGTTTATATATCTGTGCCGTTAACTGCCGTTCTAAAGTTGCACATGCGCATTCTCACCTGTCGTTAAAAGCGATAGGAGCCGGTTTGGGCGGGAAAGATTGCGCTCCGGACCCGGAAAAGGTTGACCGAACAGTTCAGAACAGGAATATAAAAAGTACCGAAACCGGTTACTTTAAAAAATGGGACAACGCCGTTACTGTTATCGACATTTTAAAGGACTCATTAATCGTTACTTTTGGTTAAATAGCAGCCAACTACACCAGATAAAGCTGAAAGTTGTATTAAACCGTTTACAAACCGGACTAGGTGGCTAAGCTAGCTAATATTTCAGAGGGATGGATTTACGTTTATGGTACATTGACATTGGACCCGAATCGGAACAACAAGAACGGAGCTGCGGATATTAAAGTAGACCGAGGAGAGGGTCCAGGATCCGGACTAGCTGAGGAGAGCATTGATGCGAGTTTGGAAGTTTCTACTCTCCGGAACCGGTACCGGGAAACTGGACAAACAGCGAAATTTCTGGTCCTGATTCATGGAGCCTACGGAAAAACAGACCAACAGACCCAGGACAGCTAAACCCAGCACCAGGTTTCAGGAGGAGACTGTCTTCACTTTTCCTTGGATTTACATGGACCCCCTGTGGACATCTGATCCGGTACCGTTCTTGAGATTCTGGATTAAAGCAGGACAAGGACTTCTGGGGACCAGGACGGAAACGACGAGCAGCTCGGTCCATTAAGGTCAGAGAGAGATGTTGTGATTTCAACTCCATGTTTGCTCTAATTTAACTGTGATTGAAGGGAAATATACAGAGACTTAGGAGCGTGCGTGATTTAGATTCGTGCGTGAAGCGCGAGTGTGTAGTGTGTGTTTTTAGCACCAGTGTCAGTAGGGGAGAGTGGGTTCAGATGACCCATTTTTCATATTTGGGATCACTACATCAAGTCAAGCAACAGGGGGTGGCTCAACTTCCACTTTGGCTTAATTTACCCCACTCTCCCTTGTTAGCCTCGGTGGTGATGTGTGTGCGGGCGTGCATGTGCAAATTGTGCACATGCAATAGTTACAATCCTGTGAGCTGCATGCTGAATCCGTGTAAGACTTCAGTATTACTCTGAAGCAGTATATTACACAAGCGCTCCATATGCTGTTGAAGACACACTCCTGAATTTGCTGCTTTCACTGAACAAATGAATTAAACACCAGACCAGCGACAGGTACATTATAGAAGAAGTAAAAGCCACCGAAGCAAGAAGTGAAGCATAATTTACATTTTGAAGGCACTGAAGGATTTTTCCTGATGCAGTTACTCAGTAATTCTGTCATTTTTGAAAAGAGGCTGGAGTCACAGAGAGTTAAGATGTATAAAAAAAAGACCCAGCCAAGTCACTGAAAATAATGCTGTCTGAGAGGAGGTCTGTGCAGGCTGAGAGTTAAATGGTTTGGGCCTGAGCGGCTGTACGTTAGAATTAAACAGGAAAAAATGAGACTTTCTAAAAGTCTTAAAATACTAACATGAAAAAGCTTCAAAATACAGACCAGGGTCCATGAGAAAAATACCAACTGCCCTTAGTTAACATAATTTAGTGCAAAGAGTATGTCTATTTTTGATTTAGTGATAGTTATTACCTCACTGGACCTGATAAAATGTTAAAACCAAGTCCATTATCTTTGTAAACATGCTGAGTCTTGTCTGAAATATCTTCATGAAAACCGTTGATAACATTTTCATAAGATCCTTGTATCCTGGGCAGAGCTGCTGACAGTTTCCTGAAGAACAGAGCTGGTCTTAGCGCTCTGTGATGTCAAACAAATAATAGAGCCGCAGTCTCTCGGCTTTCTGTAGCTCCCTTTGTTGTAAAATAGACAAAGCACGTTGTATTACCAGCCTGATGAACACCGAGTGTATTATTAGCACTGTGACAATGATGTCTAAATAGTGCCTGTACGTACCTGAACACAGTGAGGGTAACACTCTGACGGCTTATAATTGATTTTAGCAGAAATAATGTGACCTGTTAAAAGTATATTCACAGATTTCTGTAAGTGTATAAAAACAAATGATGATTGGACAACTCTGAGTAAGTACTTCAACTCTGCTCAGTAAAAAGAGGTCAATTAGATGCACTAAACATGCTCTTCTTTGTGTTTTCTGGAGCTGGGTGGGGGGTATTACCATCAGTGCGTCTTCGTTTTCACATTAAATAAAGTGGTTCACATTCAGCGTTATTAACGCACAGACAGGCCAAGTACTGGACCATGGATCATATGCTTTATTGCCACTCGGAGACAATATGATTATGCATGTAGAGTCGAAAACTAATTATACATCTCTATAGGCTATTAAGGGCTGTACGTTTTTGCTGTAATTAACTTGAACTCTTGAACAGTACGTCAGCGTGGCACATTTCCTCATCACTTAGTTACTCACCCCCAACATCAACATGGAGATATTTAACCACACTCAGTCATCATCAGCAGATGAACCAGTCTGTGATTTCTCTTCTTAGACTGACTGGGTCCATTTAGTAAAAGTTTATATGAGGGTTTCTTCAAGGTTCCAGCAGATCTTGTTCTCTGATTAACACCAAGGATGGACAGACTAGTTTTCACTTCATGTGTAGGTGTACATGATCCAAAAATAACAAACTACAAAAAGACATCAGTCATTGATTATCAGTGAAAAAGTCTCAATATTAATGTCCTCTCTGACTGCAGTAGGGCTGTGGCTCTTATTCCAGATCTTGGCAGTGATGCTAAGGAACCTGTGAAGAGTGTATGAAACAGACTAGTGCTGGACGATAATTCGATAACAATATATATCGATCGATAGACGTGTGGTGCGATAGAAAAAAAACGGGTCGATAAAAAGTTCGATAGAAAAACACAGTTTCCCTTTCTTTTTCATCATAGCCTATCATGTAGCTTTTACTACAGTCATTACTTCCTCCCAACCAATCACAAACGCAGACCCAGGTACGCTACGGCACCAAGCCCAGCCCCTATCAAACCACAACAGACAGCACGTGTATTAGAAAAAATGTATCAGCAAGGAGAAGCGGAGGACATTGTCCCGAAAAAAGGTCTCAGTAGTTCTCCAGCATGGCAATGTTTTGGTTTTTAGAAGTCTGACAAAAAGCGAACAGCGGTCGTTTGCAAAATTTGCCGAGAATTAGTAAAAACCAAGTCTGGTAACACAACCAACTTGTTTTACCATCTAAACCGGTCGCAGCCGCAGGAGTACGAGCTGTGTCGGCCGCGCCGCGGCTCCACGTCGTCGTCGGAGGAGGAATCCTCTGGAACCGCTGCCAGCACCGGCACAAAGCAAGTGAAGCAGACCAAACTGGACTTCGTTTCTTAACAAAAATACGACAAAGCGTCCAAGCGGCATAAGGACATCACCCATGCAGTAACATGCTCCATAGCGAGGGACATACTGCCAATAACTACCGTTGAAAAGCCTGGCTTCGACCAGCTTCTAGCCACTCTCGACCCGCGATATGAAGTGCCTGGCCGCAAGTATTTCTCAAACACAGCGCTTCAGGCATGAAAATGGGTCAGGGGTTGAAAAGGTGAGAAGGGTGCGGAGGAAATACGTTCAAATGAGCTCATATTTTACAAAGACGCGAGTATTTGGATCATGGCTACTAGCAGGGGGTGCATTCGGCAGGGGTGCAATCTACGACACAACACCGGCGTGGATAAGTCCTGCTCCTTGTGCTCAGTTTGCGTATTAAGTCAATCACATGATAATTAA